AAATGAACGGCTTGCATTTCCAGGGAGTGGAGGAGTTGGATCTGAATGAATAGATTTCACAAGCTGGGTAAACTCTCTTGCCACAAAAGGAGGTCTTCCTGTGTAACATTCATATAGTACACAACCAAGTGCCCACAGATCAGAAGCAAAAGAATGGATCCCTCCATCTTCATATAGCTCTGGAGCCATATAATACGGGGTACCACGTTTTCCCTGATGCAAGTTATCACAAAAGATATAGAGCATTAACGACGCACAATTTCCAATGTAATTTGAGATCATAGATTCACTAACACTGGAACAAAACGATGGACAAAACTATTTACCGTGGAAGGAGATTTAGAAATATCATCCAGCTTCCTTGACAATCCAAAATCACACAGCTGCAACACACGGTGTTATGAGATAATTTAAACGATATAAACTATCATCATAAACTACACACCAGACAGAAACATGCGTACCTTAATATGCCCGTTTTCATCAAGTAAGATGTTTGATGGTTTCAGATCACAATATATAATTCCTTTCGAATGTAAGTACCTGAGAAATTTAGAAAACAGTGTCCATAAGAGAAAATATTTTCTAGATGCACCTAGAAGTTGTGTCAAAATGGTTTAAAAAGGATCTTACTGCAGAGCTATAACAAGATCATAAGCAAAACCATAGATTGATTCTTCTGGCAGTTTACAGTCCTGCAGAACAAGTGAATTTCAGAAAACCTGTGACCATATATCATCAACAAACATAGCCAAATTACAAGCAATACCTGCTGCAATAATGTCCTGAGATCACCTCCAACGCAATATTCCAGAACTAACCACATGTGAGCAGAAGTTTCATACCTGAGACCACAGGACGACGACAATTAGAAACAAATGTATACATACAGGGAGCCAAATAATTTGTTTAGATAATAGCTACTAAGTTTTACCAAGCATAGAACTTGAGTACGTTTGGATGATTTAGCGAGTGAAGGATCCTGACCTGAAAAGGAAGTGCATAATTACCAAATTTGTCAGTATCCAAGTCACTCCAAAAACCAGAGATAGTGAAAAATCAATTCGCAAACATCACCCAGAAATAGAAACTTAAGATCATCGATTTGACAAATCCAGAGTGAATCCGTCACAATCCAGAGATAAACTCCTTAAAATCAAGCAGTTAAAGCAAAACCGCAGGAAAATCGTAGGTAGCCCAAGCATTAATCACTAATTCGGCATCGCGAAGACAGATCTACTGATTAGATTACCTCTTGAAGAACCTTACTCTTCCGCGACTTATCGACACTCTTGCAGGCAAAATACTCGATCGTCTTCTTCTTCCTTCCTTTATACACAGTCTGCGAACCGATTTGAACAAGAAATTACTATACAAAACATTTCAGAAAGAAAAAAGTTATCGGAGAATGCTAAAGCAGATTCTAATTTACCGAGCATTTGCCATGTCCAATGGCTTCGTATATGTGGTACTGATTCATCGTCGGAGCTTCAAGTCGCCTGAGATCTGATTCGGAATTTGTCAGCTCTAAGGAGAATCAGTGGCCGTTGTTGAATGGATTTGGGAAGAGAGAGAAACAGAGGGGGAAATTGGTAGAGAGAAGAAAATGGACAATTTCAAAATTCAAACCCTAAGGAAATTTAGAACAATTATTATATCTTGAAAATAAGGAAGATAAATGTTTCACCGGATCCATTTTTTTCTGAAGCTGGGCTTGTTGGGCTCATAATGATCGTTGGCCCATTTATCTATCCTCTTCTCGATGAAAGGTTTTCCCGCCAAAACTAAATTGCCAACAAGGTTTTTTACCGCCGTGAAGTGAGAAGAGGGGTAAATTTGGCAGAGAAAAGTGAAAGAGTTTTAGATTTTCATTCTCCTTCTGCGACGACGTAACCCTCGCCGGACCACAGTTCTCTCCGTCGTCGGCCTCTTAGACAGAGTAAGCTTTTTATAATCAGCTTTATTTTCTTTGTCTTCTCTAATTATCGTTATCCGGCGAAACTCGCTGCCATTTTTTTTTTCCGTTGTTGCATAAACCCTTGTTTGAATCGTTTCGTCGGTCTGTTCTCTCTATCACAATTCATCTCTAGGGTTTTGATGTATTAGGGTTTTGTTCAAATGTGGGTTCTTTTAGTAAGATACTTCGTAATTTCTTCCGATTTTAGAAATTTCGGTTGTTTACTTCTACTTGTCTTGCCTTTTTCAAAGTTTTTCTCTTCTTCTTCTCTGCGTTTAATTTTGAGTATATGACTAAGGAATAAATGCTTAGATCACTTATTCGTGTGCCTACTGTTTTGATGTTTGCTTGGTTTTTGATTACTTTATTTGCTCATTGTTGTTAATGAAAAGGACTGACCCTGATCAAGTTGAGATCAGATTGGAGGAGCCACTCAAGGCTAAAGCTGTGATGGAGAAGACTAACCCTGATGGTGTTCAGGAGCTTCATTCACCGGGTATCGAACAGGCTCCACTTCATCACAATCAGAAGTCTGGTGAGAAGAGAAAGAGAGAAGGATTGGTGAGAAAACAAAGTGAAACTGGAAACAGCAGCGAGAATGAAGAAGTTATTATAGTTGGTGACACTAAAGCTATAGAAGATTTATGTTTTGATGGAGGAGAGCAGTCTCAGAGGTCTGTGTATAGCAAGCGACAAGCTTTCGATGTTCAAAGCAACAGAAATGGTGAAGGGTCTTTGGGAAAGGAAGAAGTAGGAGAAGAACCAGAAAGAGCAAAGCAGGTTTTAGCTTTCAATGACTTTGATAAGCTGAGGAAAGTAAGCAATTTTGCAGTTGGCCAGACTTGGGCTCTTTATGATACAGTGGATGGGATGCCTAGATTGTATGCTCAGATCAGAACAGTTTCAGCTTCTGGGTTTGATGTTAGTGTCACATGGCTTGAGCCTGATCCATATGACGAGGAACCAATACAGAAGTATGAAAAAGACTTGCCTGTTTCTGTTGGTAGGTTTAAAATTGGAAAAGATGAGACTATCAAAGATCACAGAAGGTTCTCTCACGAGGTTCATTGCAATGAAGTAAGTAGCGCGGGTAAATTCAGTGTATATCCAAGAAAAGGAGAGACATGGGCCATCATCAAGGGTCGCTACAAGATTAAGTACTCGGAAATTAATTGGTTAGCTGACCCCAATTCTCCAAATAAATATCAGTATGCATTTGTCGAAATCGTGTCAGAAAATGCTGGACCAAGGGAACATTTATCTGTTGGGTTCTTGCATAAAGCAAAAGGCTTTTTAAGCTTGTTTACTCGCTTTACTGAGAAAGTTGATGCATCTTACATTTGTTGTGGCGATGAATATCAATTCTCTCACCGTGTTACATCATTTAAGACGACTGGGAAAGAAGCAGAAGGTGTGCCTCGAGGTGCTTATGAGCTGGATCCCGCTGCATTACCAGCAAATATCAAAGAGATAGATGTCCCTTTACATCTACTAGCAGAGCCTAAAGTGTCAAATTCCGAGAATAATACGCATTCGCAATGCGTGCACTTTGCTAGTAAGGGAAGGACTTTCCAAACTGGCCAAGTCTGGTCATTTTGCAGTGGTGAGGATTATTTGCCCCGGTACTATGGCAAGATTCAGAAAATCACATTTGTTCAGGCATTTGAGCAGGATCCGGTAGTTAAATTGCATGTAGGTCGGCTAAAGGCTACACCAACCAAAGGTGTCATCCAGTGGATTGACAAGAGAATGCCCATTGGCTGTGGGAATTTCCGGGCAACAAAAGCTCTTGAAATATTCACCGATCTTGATGTATTTTCACGTCAGATTAGCTCAGACTCATCCGGGGATGGAAATAATTACAGTATCATGCCAAAGACTGGTGATATCTGGGCTATCTACAGAAACTGGACTAATGACATTGATGTCGTTGATCTTCAATCCCAGACATATGATCTTGTGGAAGTTCTGGATGATAAACAGGACTACAAGGTTTTGCTGCTGGCACCTGATGGTGGCTTCAAATTAGCCGATCGTGCAGGTTTTGGTTCGGTGTATTTAGCCGCTACTGAGCACTGGTTTGATGGCGCGGATGTGAGATTTACAATCCCGAAATCTGAACTGTTCAGATTCTCGCATCAAGTTCCTACTTCGAAAGTGAGAAAAGAGATACATGGAGCTTTGCAAGAAGTCTATGAACCTAATATTGAGGCATTACCCGTTAACTTGATTCTATGACTCTGGAGCTGAAACAAGACAGTGAATCAACTGAAAGAGAGAGAAAGATTTTTTGTGTTTGCTTTTTTGGTCAAAAGAGGTACTTTTGGTGGTTTAGATTAAGATGAGAAACTTTGTTCATGTTCACTAGTCCCTTTGATCCATTGTAAGTTCTCCATCTATGAAGTAGCAGTATTTGCAGTTTGGTCTAAAGCTTTCTTCCTGCATATTATAAACACGCAGACTAAAGGATTTTTATATCAAGTATGAAAAATTGATAATATGATATACGAAAATAAAAGACAACACCGTTTTTGACACAATTTTGCAATTAGAAAATTCATATTTGATCTCTTTTTATGTTAATCAATATCAGATTTGTTTCCCGCGCATTGCCTATGAACTTTTCCCGCTAAAAGGATTATTATTTTGTCTACAGTAGTTATATTTTCCTAACTTAGGTCCTTTAACGCACGAGTGCACGACGGATCGTCTTTCCTTTTCCGGCAAAAGCCTCCGCCGCTTACGACTGCTGTTCCCTTTTGCTGCTGTTGTTCCGGAATCGGTTAGTGGATTGTCTCTAAATATTTTCATTTTTCTTAATTTCTGTAACCTGAGGGAACTGATTGTTCTTGTTCAATCTAGGATTTAAGGTTTTGTCCCATTTTTGCCTATTGTGAGGTTTTTTTTTTTAAATAACAACGACGCTTGCTTTTAGGTTCTTACTACTTTGTGCTGCTTTTGAGATGCTTTCTAAGAAATATCCCAACTCGCACCAGATCCTTATCTGATGGCTATAAACTGTATTCTTCTGCAGGATACCAAAATAGGAGGAAGTTATTTTCTCGAGGGCTTGTCCACTCTGGTTTCAAAGTTTGTTAGATGATGGATATCAACATTGGCGAGCTTCACAGAAAGAGAGATGCTTCAGAGACTTTGACTACAGCTCAATCTCAAGCTCCTTGCAGTGACCGTCCGATGTTTTGGACTATATGTCCATTCTGTACTGTTAGGTACAGATCCTATAGAAGCCTTCTCAACAAACCATCCCGGTGTCAATCTTGCTACACGAAATTCTTTGCGGGCGAAACCCTTGTTAAAAGGGCTACGCCAGGGGAAAAAGCAAGTCAGACAACTTTGTCTACTATGGAGAAAAGTGCGTTGAGTCAAAACCTTGTTACTAGGAGCAAATTGGTTGCATCGACACCTAAGAACCAGCTTCAGCTGCATAGAGCTCACCAACCTCAGACAGCTCCAGTAAGTTTCCGCCCGAGATTTTGTGCTATGTGTCCATTCTGTGAGTATAAGTATCGTTTTCTGAGAAAGTATATCAACAAATGGCTCAATTGTCAGATTTGCCAGAAGAAGTTTCATGCTGTTGAAGTGAATTTCTCCTTGCTCCAACCGAAAACAGTCCCAAGTAAGAATCCAGGCACACATTTGTCTAGAGAGGAAAGTTCCTCAGGGTTGAGCTATGGTGAGAAGAGACAGAGGAATGAGTATGGTGATATTTCCAATACTGCAAATTGCAGCAACTCTGAAGATGTTATTGTAAATCTAAGTAAAAATTGCAGTAGAAGAGTGTCAGCTGATAATGGAGATACAAGAGAAGATTCTAGAAGCAAAAAGCAACTCCATGAGGTTGACCTTTGCAAAGAAACATTGCCAAATGTCATGAACAGGAATGGTCAGCTAAAGAGGAAACAATATGCTCAAGTGAGAGCTGCAATGGGGATCGCTCAGAATATCGAGGCAGATAAAAACTCTGGTTTTTGTGATACAAGTTCAGAAGTTGTAGTACAGCCGAAGACTTCTGAATGTGCTGGTCCAATGTTTAACGACATTAGGGGTGATTTTCTTGTGTCGACACCCAAGAATCAGCACGACAAAGCTCAAGCTTTCTCCTTGCAACAACAGAATAAAGTTCCAAGTAAGAATCCAGGCACCCATTTCTTTGGAAATGAAAGTTCTCCAGGTTTGAGCTGCGCTGTGAAGTTTGGTGAGAAGAGAAAGAGGAACGAGAATGGTGAAAATTGCAATACTGAAAATCACAGCAAGTTGGAAGATGTTATTGGCAGTGCTGTACACAATAATAGAAGAGGAATCAATGATAATGGAGATGCAGGAAGGCTAGAAGCGTCGGGATGGGGGAAGAAACTTCATGAAGTTGATCGTTCTGATGAAATATTGCCAAATGTCATAAAGACGAAAAAGAGGTTGAATAAAAACCAATATGCTTTGGGGAGCTCTGGTTTATATGATCCAGGTTCAGGAAAGAATCCAGACACAGATTTCTCTGGAAAGGTAAGTTCCCCAGATTTGTGCTGTGCTATGAATGTTGATGAGAAGGCAAAGTGGGATGAGTATTGTGAAATTTTCAATACTGAAAGTTGGAGCAAGTCCGAAGATGTTATCGTAAATCTAAGTAAAGATGGCAATGGAAGACTGTCGGAAGATAATGGAGTTGCAGGAGAAGAGTCTGGAAGCGGAAAGCAACTCCATGAGATTCATCTTTGCAAAGAAACATTGCCAAATGCCATGAATAGGAATGGTCAGCTGAATATGACCCAAGATGCTCAATTGGGGGCTGCAATGGGGTTCTCTCACAATCTCGCGGCAGCTAAAGACTCTGGTTTTTGTGATACAAGTTCAGAAGTTGTAGTGCAACCAAAGACTTCTGAATGTGCTGGTCTAAAGATCAATGACTTCGATAAACTGAGGGAAGAAGTAAAATTTGCAGTTGGCCAGGCCTGGGCTCTTAATGATACAGATGGGATGCCTCGATTGTATGCTTTGATCAGAAAAGTTTCAGCTCCTTGTTTTGGGCTTAGGATCACATATCTAGAGCCAGATCCAGGTAATGAGAAAGAGATCCAATGGTTTGAAGAAAACTTGCCTGTTTCTGTTGGTAACTTCAGGCTTGGGAAAAATCTGAACACAAAAGATCGTTCCATATTCTCTCATAGTGCCGTATGCAGTGAAGGAAGCACTGGTCATATTGTTGTCATCCCAAGAAAAGGCGAGACTTGGGCATTGTTCAAGAACTGGGATATTAACTGGTCTTCAGAGCCAGATTCTCACCGCAAATCTGAGTATGAATTTGTCGAAATTTTGTCAGATTACACTGATGGAGCTGGTGTATCTGTTGCGTTCTTGCATAAAGCAAAAGGCTTTGCAAGTGTATTCTTTCGATTGGGAACTAGTAATGCAGACATATCGCAGATTCTTCCTCACAGTTTATATCGGTTCTCCCATAGGATTCCTTCCTTCAACCTGACTGGAATTGCAGGAAAAGGTATGCCAAAAGATGCTTACGAGCTGGACCAAGCTCTATTACCTGAAACAATCGATGAGATAATCGTCCCTCCACATCTATTAGCAGAGCCTAAACCAGAAGCTCTCTACTTTCCTCGTGAGGGAAAGGTTTTCCAAACTGGCCAGATCTGGTCATTTTACTATGGTAACGTTAACTTGCCTCTATACTACTGTAGGATTCAAAGGATCACTTTAACTCAGGCATTCGAGCAGGAAGCAGAATTTAAACTATCTGTAAGTCGGTTAAAGACTAATCCTTTCCCTGAGGATGTCATTCAGTGGGAGGACAAGAGAATGCCTGTTGGTTGTGGAACTTTCTCGGTGAGGAAATGTTTCGAAGTACTCACTCCAGATGATGTTTTACATCAGATAGTGCCTCAAACCTCCGTGGATGGAAATGATTATACCATTCTTCCCAAGATTGGGGATGTTTGGGCCATATACAGATTCTGGACTTGTCACAAGGAGTTCAAGGACATTGGTTCCTGCAGCTATGACATTGTCGAAGTTCTTGATGACACCATGGACTATAAGGTTTTAGCATTGGAGGCCACGATGTTTTCTAATGAAGAGGAAGATATAAATACATTCTTCAAAGCAGCTGAGAGTAGGCATCCTGATTGTGACGATGAGGATGGGTCAGAAGTGATATTTACAATCCCCAAGTCAAAAATGCTAAGATTCTCGCATCAGATTCCTGCTTCCCGAGTAACCAAGGAGATAGATGGAGATTTGAAAGAGTTTTTTGAAGTTGATCCTAAAGCATTACCTACAAACGTGAGGTTAAAAGACCATTGACCAAAGGGAGGAAAGTGAGGGAAGGGTAGAGATGGATTCCTTTTTGTTAGCTGTTGGTGCATTTTGTCAAAAGGTTTGTTCTTTGGTTTAAGATGTAGGAGTACTGGAACTTACTTAGAATTTCTCAATGGTTTAAAAGCATGTGCTACTTTTGTTGGTTCGAAATCCATGGAAAATCATGTATTTTGAGAAGGTAGGAGAATTCTAGTTTTTGCTCTCATTTTTTTTAGTCAAAAGGATAAAACCAGTAGTTTAGATTAGGATGAGAAATGGTGCTGAACTTTCTCTCCATGTTTATTAGCCATTTAATCCGTTGGCTAATGGTGTAGCAGTATCTGGTCTAAAAGTCTCTTGCATGTATCTGCGTTTGAACTAAAGTAATCTCAAGAGCATGTGTATTGTTTCATGGTTTCAGCCGTTCACAGCTTCACATGAGTACAAAACTAAAAGCTAGTAATAACTTGAAAATTCAAAACTCTCTCATAAAATGATCCAACATCGACTAAAATTGCCCAAAAGCTTCACACTCTTAATTATGTAAAATTGCCCAAAAGCTTCAAAAAATGAAATAGCATCTATAGAAAAATAAATTATATTCATTGGAAATCATTTTTATAATCAGAAAAATTGATAAATAGAGGGCTATATCATTTTCCCGCCAAATTGGACTATTTAAGTCACATCACGACCACGATTCACCACTTCTCTCTTTTCCGGTAAAAGCTTCCGCCGACGAAGACTGAGGTTTCTTCCGGTTGCCTAAATTGATCGAATCGGTTCGTTGATTGCGTATCTATATGTTTTGTTTTTGTTAATTTATGTATCTCTAAGTCGCATCCGAATCTAGGGTTATTGCTCAATCTAGGGTTTAGGTGTTCTCGCATTTTCCCCAATCGTGAATTGTGGGTTACATAAATACAAAAGAGGCTTAATTTAGAGTTCTGATTACTTTCTTCACACTTTCTACACTTTGTCTTTCGGGCACTTGCAAATTTAGCTCCTTTATAACCTTTGATCTGTCTGATTTTCGAATTATATGCTTGTCCAATACATAGATTTACGTTTTGTCTCTATGTGTACGATCTTACCAATGTTAACCTTTTGATATTGTCTCTAGGGGATACCTGTTCAAACGAGCTTTTTAGAAGGAAAGGTGTTTCAGAGACTTTGATGACAGGGACTTCTTCTGACGGTGCTGCAACATTATCATCAGCTTGTGCTGTGTGTGTTGGCGAGAAGAGAAAGAGGAACAAGTATAGTGATAGTTGCAATGATAGAAATCACGGTCCTGTAAGTAACAATAGAAGAGGATCTAATGATAATGGAGATACAGAAAGGGGAGAAGAGTCGGTACAAATACAACCAAAGATTTCTGAATCTGTTGGTCCAAAGTTTAACGACTTTGGTAAGCTGAGGGAAGAAGTAAACTTTGCAGTTGGTCAGACCTGGGCTCTGTATGATACAACTGGGATGCCTAGATTGTATGCTCAGATCAGGAAAGTTTCAGCTCCTTGTTTTGGTCTTAGGATTACATATCTAGAGCCAGATCCAAATGGTGAGAAAGAGCTCCAATGGTTTGAAGAAGACTTGCCTGTTTCTGTTGGTATGTTCAGGCTTGGGGAAAATAAGAGCACACAAGATCGGTCAATATTTTCACATGTTATTCATTGCAGTGAACGAAGCAACACTCTTTGTTTCAGCGTCACATGTCGTTTCATCAACACTTGTCATTTTAGTGTATCCCCTAGAAAAGGCGAGACTTGGGCGCTTTTCAAGAACTGGGATATTAAGTGGTCTTCAGAGCCAGATTCTCACCGCAAATTTGAGTATGATATTGTCGAGGTTCTGTCAGATTACGCGGATGAAGGTGGTGTATATGTTGCATACTTGCATAAAGCAAAAGGATTTGCTAGTGTGTTCTTCCGAACAGGAACTGGTTATGAAGGTATATTTCGTATTTTACCTCACAGTTTGTATCGGTTCTCTCATAGGATTCCTTCCTTCAAACTGACTGGAGTCGAAGGAAAAGGTGTGCCAAAGGATGCTTACGAACTGGACCAAGCTGCCTTACCAGAAACAATCGAAGAGATCATCGTGCCGTCAAACTCTGAGAGTGATTTAAAGTCTAAACGCCAAGCCATCTACTTTGCTAGGAAGGGGAAGGTTTTTCAAATTGGCCAGATTTGGTCATTTTGCGGTCTTTATCAAGAGTTTCCTCTGTACTACGGTAGGATTCAGAAGATCACTTTTACTCAGGTACACGAGCAGAAGGCAGTATATAAATTACATGTAAGTCCTTTAAAGGCTACTCGTTTTCCTTTGGATGTGATCGAGTATGAAGACAAGAAGATGCCTGTTGGTTGTGGAACTTTCTACGCTAGAAAAGCTCTCGAAATAATCAGTCCAGATGATGTTTCACAACAGATAGTGCCTCAAACCTCCATGGATGGAAATGAATATACCATTCTGCCTAAGATTGGGGAAGTTTGGGTGATATACAGATTCTGGAGTGAATACAGGGAATTCGACAAGGTTGGTTTATGCAGCTATGATATTGTTGAAATTCTTGACGACACATTGGACTATAAGGTCCAACTGCTGGAGCGCCACCACGGTCCTGATGAATATGAAGATGAAGATGAATATGAAGATGATAAGTTGCTCTCCCGTTTACTCAGAAAGAAAAAAAAGTTCTTTACAGAAGTCACGGAGTATAAGGATAATGAAATTGATGGGTCGGAACCAATATTTACGATCACAAAGTCGGAAAGGCTCAGATTCTCGCATAAGGTTCCTGCTTTCCGCGTAACCAAACAGATATACGGAGGAGAGATAAAAGACCTTATAGAAGTTGAATCAAAAGCATTACCTGATCATATGTCCTGATCAAACGGTTTGGGGTATGGTTCCATTTTGCGTTCTAGGGATGGGGAGGTCTTCATATCATTGAGCAAAGAATGCTGAGGGAAGCCAATGATTCCTTTTTGTTAGCTTAACCTGATTACATGAGGTTTCCACACCATTTGGTGCATTTTGCCGGGTTTGTTTTCTCGTTAAGACTTTCTCTATGATGTAAGAATGTTCTTCTTATTCTTCTATGGATATGAAACAGCAGGTATTTGCCGCTTGGTCTGAAATTCTATCTCAAAATATATATGTGGGTTTTAAGTTAAAAGTAGTTAAAACTATTTCTTACATATGTTGATGTAATGTGATGTACATTTGGTTGCATCGACGCCCAAGAATGAACAAGAAAAAAGCTCAAGCTTTCTCCTTCCAACTGCAGAAAACAGACCCAAGTAATCTGAAGAACATGTGGCCCTTAAGTATCTCAGGCAGCAGCTCTCAAGGCTTCTGGCATAAGTTCTCAAGTTATATAACCCCATGTGGTTGAGTAGATTTTGTATGTAGAATGAGCGAATACGGTGTCGTTTCAGTCCTTTGGATCATACAAATCCGTCATGTATTGATTCGTCCGCTTAATCTACTGTGTTTGCTCTGTTTTCTTTGCTTTACCAACTATGCTCTGTTTTTTTTTCACTATGTAATTTAACTATCAGAAAAATAAATATATCTAACCAAGATAGAAACGTAACAAGATAAGAGCGAGGTACTTACTCACTAGTCACTACTGTAGGTGAAAAGGGGATAGGGAACAAACTTGACACTTGACAGACGTAGAGAGATACTACTTGATTGCTTCAACGAACGTGCATAGTGTTCATCTTCAATGCATGCAATGATGATTTTCGAGAAAAGTGGATATTTTCTTTAAAGCGATACTATATTATAAGTTACACTACGATTGTCTAGACATTTCGTCTCTCCCTTTTTCGGCAAAAGCTTCCGCCGTCGACGACTGAGGTCCGTTTGTTGCATCTACTTCATGTTCTTTTTGTTTCTTAAATTCTGTATCTATGTCGTATCTGAATCTAGGGCTCTTGCTCATTCTAGGTTAGGTGAGATTTGGGTTTCATAACTATAAAGAGTTCTTATATATTAATACTTTCTTCTTGTTTCAGATAATGATTCACACTTTCTTCACTTTGTATATACGTCTCTAAGTGTATCTCTTACCTTTGTTGAAGTATCTGATGGCCATTTATATATATGTTCAGGAACCCTATAAGAGAAAGTAGTCTTCTTGTGTGTTTATCGTTCCTTTCTTTGACGATGGATATCACTTCTTCTGACGGTGCTACAACGTTCTCTTCATCTTGTGCTGATAATTTTCTCTCCCCTGCTTTGAGTTGTGCTGTGAGTAGGAGAAGGAACGAGGATGGTGAAAGTTCCAATACTAGTTGTAACCGGAAGGTCTTTCAAACTGGCCAGATCTGGTCATTTTGTAGTGGTAACGTTGACTTACCTCTCTACTATGGTAGGATTCAGAAGATCACTTTTACTCAGGCATTTGAGCAAGAAGCAATATATAAACTACACATAAGTCGGCTAAAGGCTATTCCTTTCCCAGAGAATGTTATCCAATGGAAGGACAAGAGAATTCCCTTTGGTTGTGGAACTTTCTTGGTGAGGAAAAGTGTCGAAATACTCACTCCTGATGATGTTTCACTTCAGATAGTTCCTCAAACCTCCATGGATGGAAATGAATATACCATTCTTCCCAAGATTGGCGATCTTTGGGCTATATACAGATTCTGGACTAGTCACAAGGAGTTCAAGGACGTGGGTTACTGCAACTATGACATTGTCGAAGTTCTTGATGACGCCTTGGACTATAAGGTTTTGGCGTTGGAGCCTGCCTTTTATAATGATGATGAAGATAAAAATACATTCTTTGAAGCAGCCGAGAGTAAGCATTCTGACTGTGACGAGGAGGATGGGCCAGAAGTGATATTTATGATCCCCAAATCGAAAATGCTCAGATTCTCGCATCAGATTCCTGCTTCCCGAGTAACCAAGGAGATCCGCGGAGATTTGAAAGAGGTATTTGAAGTTGATACCAAAGCATTGCCTTCAAGCGTGAGGTTTCAGTTCTATTGAGCAAAAGAAGTGAGGGAAGGGTAGAGAAGGATTCCCTTTTGTTAGCTTTTGGTGCCTTTTGTTAAAAGGTTTGTTCTTGGTTTAAAAGATCTAATTCCCTTAAACTTAGACTTTCTCCATGTTTTATGCAGTTTCTTCTTTTGTCTGTTCAAAATCTAAGGAAAGTCATGTATGAACTCTCTCTCCATTTCTACTAGTTACTTTATCAGTATATCTGATGTTTGTCTCGATCTAAATACTATAGTAGCAGTATCTGCAGTTTAAAGTCCAATACTCTCTTGCATTTTATGTGGTTTTGAGCTTCTTCATGTGCAGGTTACTTAATTTGTGGTTTGTCATCTTAATTTGTGTTTCACTTGATTTAGTGTTTCTTAACTTTACACCAAAAAACTTCCAAGACAACATCAAATCAATTTCTATGACGTACTTAAACTCAACTCCTAATTCCCTAATATAAACATGATTGAAAAATATTCCTTAGTATACTGTCAATTAATCTGTGCTAAAATGCCAATTAAAGTTTTAACCTAATTTAGAACAAAATCTATTTAACACATTAAAAAAAAAAAAAAAACTAATCAAGTTTTCGCTATCAGATAATTTGATATGATCCTTGGTTTTTCGGATTAATAACTTAAAATTGAAATCACATATGTAAACAACATTCCCAAGAAATAACTATTTTTAGCGATAATTAATTGCGGATGATAAAAAAAAAAGTAAACTTAAAATTGAAATAATAAGATCCTTTATTATATAAAAGAGAAGTCAGTCGGCGATTTTCGTTGCGACACGTGTCATCTTCATTTTTCATTTTTCAATTACAATTAATTGTTTTCCTTTTCTTTTCTTTTTAATAAAGGATTTCTTTTCTAGAGTTTTCTTTCTTTAATTAAAAAAAAAATCTAAAGAAAAAAAAAAGCCCACGATTTGTGTCCTCGGCTTCCCACGATCCTCTGATCAACTTCCCACCTCCATCACTTTCATCAACTGATCTTCTGGAAATCACCACATATTTAGTATAAAAATTTATATCACAGTCAATTAACACAAACGCTCCTCCTCTCAACAGGTAATTCCAATTACCCAAATCGTAAAAGTTGATCGTATTTCTCTCTGTTTTGATTTTTATCTATTCAATTGCAGGTACTACTATCTCTGCTTGCAACATGAAACTGGATTTTACACCGATTGCTCAACTAGAGTCCGTGACTGAGAACGAAATTTGGAAAATTAAAGCACGAGTTGCCCGTTTTTGGCGATTCCACAATAACGATAAGCCTGGAGATTCTGGTGGACTCGATTTACTCCTTGTGGATGATAAGGTGGAAAACAAAATTCTGGTTGTTTATGTTTATTTGGTTAAGATACTTCTGTACTTTTGTAATCCAACTTTTTCCCTTTTAATGACAGGGAGACCGTATACAAGCATGTATCAGAGGAAAATTAATTCAAAAGTTCGAAAAAGATCTCCAAGAAGGAGAATGTTGTATACTGATGAATTTTAAGTTGTCTCCTAATCTTGGGAGTTACAGGGCAACTGGACATTCTTTCAAAATCTTTTTCACTTGGTCAACAATTGTGAAGCCTTGTGAGGAAATCCCAAACCACTCACTTCGTTTCAGTTTCATCCCTTTTGATAAGCTTCAGAGACATGACGAAAACGTGTTCCTTGGTACGTGTTATCACCATCAATGTATATTTATTCAAAGTTTAGGATCTTTTTATATTCTTATGAATTTTTCCATCTTTTTGATTTTAATACAGATGTAATTGGTGAAATCGTTGGAATGAAAGATCTTAAGGAAATTACTGTTCGCAATGCTCCATGTAAACTGCTGAATCTTCAACTCAAGAGCCTTGAGTTAGTAGCTTCCAACTTGGTAATCATTCTCATTAATCTATTATGTATCTCCCTTTTAAATCGTGTTCTTATGTTTGCAGTGATTCAATAATTGATTGTGTATTTTGGGAAAAATTTGCTGAAGACATACATTCCTATGTTCAATCCTTTTCTGGTGGACCTATTGTTATGCTTTGTAGTCTCATGAGGATTAATGTTTATAATGGTAGGTTTGATCAATTGATTTTTGTCTTATTTTTTTTTTTTCCCAAAACCTACCAATCTTAGCATTGTTTCTCTTTATTGATCTTTTATCTAGGAAAATTCACAATCCAAAGTGCAAAATCGTCAACAAAGCTCTTCATTAATTCTGACATTGCTGAGATAAACGAATTCAAAGAAAGGTAACCACAATCGTCTCTGCGTTTATGTGTAACATCTTTTAGTTTATGTGTAATATCTTTTTAAATATATAATAGGATGCCTAAAGATGTCGTCTCTGCCACATCCAGTGGTTGCTCTATTTTGACTTTGTCAAACTCTAAAGAAGTTTCCTCGCATCACTTTTCATTAGATTCTCGCAAAACTATTGCTGAGCTACTTACATCACATGAGGTTAGCTATATTCTTTAATGTTCTCACATATTTGTATATATAATACTAATTACACAAATTTTTTTATTTTGTTTTCATCTTTATCTCAGGAAATGACGTGTTCTATATATGCAACAATATGTGCACTTAAAACTGAGATTCCTTGGTTCTACATCGGTTGTCCAACATGTTTAAGAAAAGTAAACCAATATTTGAATCCAGATACTGAAGAAATAGAGGCTGATAAATTTTCATGTGACCTCTGCCAAAAAGTTGTTGATTCCACTGTCACAAGGTTTTTCATTCATCATTATGCTTATATTTTGCTATATAATTTACCAATATAATTGATAATTTATATAAAAAAATTTCACAGGTACCAGGTTCATGTTAAAGTAGTCGATGATACAGGAACCATTTCTTTTCTTATGTTTGACAAGGAGGTCATTCAACTGATTCACAAATCTGCGTATGAGTTGCTAGAGCAACAAGTTCAGGTAAACTTCATTCTCTATATTCATCTTTTGTCTCCTATTTTTAATGGTAAATGATTTCTACCATTATTGCAGTTCAACCGTGGGACTCAATTTCCTCCTGAACTCCTAGCTTTAGATGGTCGCCAGTTTGTCTTCACGGTTTTCAAACCTTCGACAACAAAAAATTATAGACCGGCCACTTATAAAGTTGTTAAAATCACGGATGACCCCGCGAAACTTTTGATGTTTTGTGGTGCCAATAACAACACGGTATGGATGATAGAATTTCTCTGTTTTATCTTGCACTTATACATTTCGTTTGTCTTAATTATTTTACAAAATTTCCATGTAGGCTAATCCTCCTGCTATTGATTCTCAATTCTCAAACTCCACAGAAGTCACTAGCAACATGGTATGGCCTTCTTCTACTTTAGTCTTGATGGTTGTGTTTCCCGTCACTTTAGCAATCTATGTTCTGTTTTTGTCAGATGGATGATGCCTCTTTCGAAGCGTCTAACAACGAGTCGATGTGTGGTTCGACGGAAAGTCCACTTACTCCAAGCAAAAAGCGAACATTTACTTTAGCAATAACGTCATCTGCAACTGAGGATGGTGGTGCACAACTTTCATCAAAGATACAGAAATCAAATGTTGTGGTTATAACTGAAGAAGACGCTGGACAACTCTCATCAACAAAGCCTAAACTAAGGTCAACCATGGGTGTAATTGAGGATGATGGTGCAAATCTTGCATCAACTAAGCCTAAAGAGAAGTCAAACAAGGCTGTAATTGAGGATGATGGCGCAAACCTTTCATCAACGAAGCATATACAAAAAATGCCAGCGACTCTAATTCCAAAGAAAGAGAAAATGTGATGATTACTCTGTTTTGTTTTTCTTTTTAACCAAGTATCGAAAGCTTTCGATCAATTTTCATGTGTTTCCTTTATCTAAATGTTTTGTATATTTCTACTTTCAGCAAAAACATATAATTAAGTTTTATATTTGTTTAACTTTTTTCTTAATTATGATTTTGTCCTATATATCATGTAGCAGAACCAAAACAAACACTTAAGAGTTAAGACAACTTATAATTTCGTATAACCATATTCTAAGGTCAATTAACGTTTTATATTTAATTCCAATCTGCAAATATTTGATGATCTTTTCAGTTATTTGCAACTCAAGTAGATGTTATACTTCTAAAATAACTTTAAAAATTATGTATTTTTGTGTGTGTATAAATATGTACTTAAGCAAAATTAAATACAATGACAAAATACACTTTCTTTTTACGTTATTGAGGAAAAGAATCTCTCAAATATTAGTCTACCTAAATAACGTAAACACATGTCAACTCCACTAATGACACTTTAAAATAATGATTTTTTTGGAGGGACTTGAAATTAATTCAAAAAATAACTGTTCGAGACAAATCGTTCTTCCTTGCTTTGTTTCTTTACCTTCCCCACCTTTCTTCTATTTTCTTCCATGTGAAGCATTTTCTTATCCCTTCAGTTATATTTCAAACCTGCAAAAGTTCACTCATTTCTTCTCATTACTAACTCCTCACGAACCTCCTTGACTCATAAATATTTACAAAACATTCAGAAATGCGTAGTCCCAAAAGAAAAGGCAAGATCAAAGAGAAAACAATCCACAAAAATCTAGGTAAAGTTATGAAACTCATTGCAATTCTATAATCATTAGAACTGCTCTTAAAATTTTAATGAACCCATTTGTTGGTATGCTCTTATGATCTTAGCAGAAGATATCCACTCAAGAAGTGAACGGATGCGCATTTTGAGAGACAGGAAGAAGAATGCTAAACCAAGAGTATCATGTATAACTCTTACTATCAACTAAGCTTTATATCTAATAAGTTAACTATTTACCAAAATATACTATTCATCAATTTCAGCTCATTCGGCAAGCTCTAGCCAGCATTCTATTCCAACTTATTCAGAAACTACCATTCCAAACCCAGGTACTTAACTAAAACAAATTCTGGTCGCAAATATGGATTAGTGTTCCTACGTTTCACATATTCAATTAATTTACCTTTCTCACAGATTACGAAGATCTTGGCGATCCAACATTTCAATGTGAACATTGTGGTGCTTTGATGTGGTACAATGAGCGTATTAATAAAAGAAGAGTTTCTGTACCTCCAAAATTCTCCATTTGTTGTATGCATGGAAAGATAGAACTTCCTGCACCTCCTATGTTGCCTCAAGCACTTCTTGATCTTCTCTTTGGAGATGACGACCTAAGCAAAAATTTTAGAGAGAATATTAGAGCTTACAATTCAATGTTTGCATTCACTTCCATGGGAGGAAAAATTGACGCATCTATCAACACAGGACGTGGGCCCAATGTGTTTCGATTAATAGGTCAAAATTTCCATAAGATTGGAAGTTTACTCCCTCCAGATGGGGCACCTCCAAAATTTCAACAACTCTACATATTTGATACAGTCAATGAAAATGTCAACAGAATTTCAGCATTCAGGTATATTATTGTACCCTTATTACATGGTAATATTTCACTTCATAGATATGATATTATATGCTCTAATTCTGTCTATAATTGCAGTGAGAAAAGAACAACACCAAGTTCTGAGTTAAAAACATTGCGGGATGACATTGTGGAAGCAATCAAAATTATGCTAAACGAGTGCAATCCATATGCAAAGATTCTTCGAACCGCAAGAGATCGTTTTGGAGATTCGTTAGAATCCTCAAAAGTCAAAGTTAAGTTGATTTCACGTCGTTCAACTGATAGTAACACATATAATATGCCTACAAGCTCAGAAGTTGCTGCACTTTTGGTTGATGATTTTGATGAAAATTTTGAGGTAAGAGATATAGTGGTGGAAACAAAGAGCAAAAATTTGGCAAGAATCAGTGAACTTCATCCGGCTTATCTTCCTTTACAATATCCACTCTTATTCCCATATGGAGAAGATGGATATCATATTGATTTGCAGCTAAAGAAGACAACGACTACATCAGAAAATCCAAGAAGTAGAGTCAGTATGAAGGAGTTTTTTGCATATAGAATCATGGAACGTCCCAACCAATTGAATGTTTTACAACATTCTGGAAAGCTATATCAACAATTTCTGGTTGATGCATTCACAATGATGGAAGCAGAGCGAATTGGATATCTCAAGCTTAATCAAAAGACTTTGCGTGCAGACAAATATAGCAATGTTTCAGCCTTTGCTTCTACTGGAAACAAAGATTCTGCAATGTGCGGAAAAAGAGTTGTCTTACCTTCAACTTTTGTGGGAAGTCCAAGATACATGCATGAAAAGTATATGGATGCAATGGCTGTTTGCTCACACATAGGCTATCCAGATTTGTTCATAACTTTCACTTGCAATCCAAAATGGCCTGAAATTACGAGATATCTAAATTTGCGACGTTCACATGCAGAAGACAGGGCTGATATTCTTTCACGAGTATTCAAGATGAAGTTAGATAGTCTTATCTTTGACATAAAAAACAACAACCTTTTCGGTCCTGCTGCAGCAGGTAAATTCATTTCATGTTCACTAACATGAGTATTTTGTCTCTTCCATTATTCTAATGAAATCTTTTGTATTGAACAGTGATATATACAATCGAATTCCAAAAAAGAGGACTCCCGCATGCCCACATTCTGTTGTTTTTAGAACGAGGATCAAAATTTCCTACTACGAAGGACGTAGACAAGGTTATATGCGCTGAAATTCCAGATCGATCTTCTAATCCAGTGTTATATGGTTTAGTTAGAGATTTAATGGTTCATGGTCCGTGTGGGTTAGCAAATCCAAGCTCGCCATGTATGGTTAAAGGAAAGTGTACAAAGAAATTTCCTAAAGACTTCTGCACTGACACACATGTCAATAAAGATGGATTCCCAGTTTACAGAAGAAGAGAGGATGGTAGATCGGTTGAAAAAAATGGGATTGAGCTTGATAACCGATATATCATTCCTTATAATCCACAACTACTCCTCAAGTACCAAGCGCATATAAATGTCGAATGGTGCAACCAGACAAGAGCAATCAAGTATTTGTTCAAATACATGAACAAAGGAAATGATCGAGTAACTGCGAAACTACTACGAGAGTCGGCAACAAAAGCAACAAATGAGTCGGAAAGTTCTGAACAAACGTCTGAAACTCCAGTAGTAGACGAAATCAAGCGTTTCCATGATTGTCGGTAAGTTTATATAACATCATGTCATTAACTATATAATATTATTTTATATTATACGAATAACATGTAGTTTACGTTTGTTTTTCTAACTATTTGATAGGTATATATCACCATGTGAAGCAGCATGGAGAATATTTGGGTTTGAGATACATTACAGCAGCACCTCTATTCAAAGGTTGTCTTTCCATTTACCAGGAGAACAAAACGTCACATACGATGACGAAGATGATGTAGATGATGTATTGACAAAAGAGGGAAATCAAACATCACAACTTTTGGAGTGGATGAAGATGAATGATCGGAACCCAGATGCAAGGAAGTTAACGTACATTGATTTTCCAACAGCCTTTGTATGGAAAAACTCACCTAAACAATGGACTACACGTGAACGAAAATTTTCAACCGTTGGTAGAATCCATTACATATCACCGTCTGCGGGTCAGAAATTCTACATGAGGATCCTTTTGAACGTAGTTAAGGGAGCAACTTGCTTTGAAGATATACGTACCGTTGATGGAATTGTGTATAAAACCTACAAGGATGCTTGCTATGCTCGAGGTCTACTTGACGATGATAAAGAGTACATTGGAGCAATCACTGAAGTCAGCAAATGGGGGTCGGGCTTTCACCTACGACGAATATTCACTTATCTTTTAGCTTCAGAAAGTTTGTCACGACCTCACCATGTTTGGTTAGAAACATGGAATTTGCTTGCGGACGGCATTTTAGATATGCAACGAAGAATCCTACAACGACCAGGTTTGAGAATATTAATGAGATACAAAAACTATCTTACACCTAATTTCCTACACTTACCAGCAATCTAGATAAATTATTGTGTCACTGCTAATTAGTTGCCTTATGTTTTTCAAATTTCAGGACTAGAAATGTCAAGTGATCAACTAAAAAATCAAGTTTTATTAGAGATTGAGAAGCAGTTGCGCTCGAGTGGAAATACTCTAGAGAACTTTCCTGAAATGCCATTTCCTGAGAACAGTAATGTCCCATCAATGAGCAATAGATTGATAAATGACGAGCTGTGTTATGACAAAGACGCATGTGCTAAAGAACATCAAAGATTGTTGCCTAGATTGACGCTCGAACAGAAAAGTATATATGACACTATTATGGAAGCTGTTGTAACAAGTTCTGGCGGTGTTTTCTTCGTCAGTGGGTTTGGAGGAACAGGAAAAACATTCCTTTGGACGACTTTGTCGACATACATCCGTTCAACTGGAGCTATCGTCTTGAACGTAGCTTCGAGTGGAATGGCAGCTCTACTGTTAGATGGAGGACGAACAGCTCATTCTCGGTTTATAATACCATTGCAGCTGAATGAAAGTTCCACTTGCACATTTACCCCAAATAGCGAGCTAGCTGAATTGGTTCTGAAAGCTAAGTTAATCATTTGGGATGAGGCACCAATGTTGCACAGGCATTGTTTTGAAGCTGTTAATAGAAGTTTGAAAGATGTTCTAAGAGCATCAAAGGCTCCGAACAGTGATAGGCCATTTGGTGGGAAGACTATAGTTTTCGGGGGTGATTTTCGTCAAGTGCTTCCTGTAATTCCTAGGGGGAGTAGGGAACAAATTGTACAAGCTTCTCTCACCTCTTCTGTGCTGTGGAGTTCTTGCAAAGTGCTTAGTTTAACAAAGAATATGCGGCTAACTGTTGATACAGATCCTGTAGAAGCTGAATCCATCAAAGAATTCTCCCAATGGATTCTAAAACTAGGTGATGGGAAGCTATCTGTACCGAATGACGGCGAAGCAGAGATTGATATACCAGATGACATGCTTCTCATGGACTCCCTTGACCCAATCACGTCAATCACCAATGCCACCTATCCATCATTGATAGAACATCTAGAAGATGAGAATTATTTTAAAGATCGTGCAATATTATGCCCTACAAATGAAGTTGTCGACGAGGTCAACAATCATATCATGAATCTTCTTCCGGGAGAATTTAAGGAATATTACAGTTCTGATCAAATCTTGCAATCAGATTCCAGCCGAGCCAGAGATAAAGGAATCTCAGTTGAATTCCTTAACTCCCTTAAGTGCGCAGGAGTACCAAACCATGTTCTAAAGTTAAAGAAAGGGGTTCCAGTTATGCTTATAAGAAACCTTGACCAGAAATATGGTTTGGTCAATGGAACTAGGTTGCAGGTAACACAGTTAGGAACTCATGTCATTGAAGCAAAAATTATTACTGGAAACGATGTTGCAGGTAACACAGCTGGGAACAGAGAAAGCAATGTTGGCAAGAAAGTCTATCTTCCGAGAATGGTTCTTACACCTACAGATGCCAAATTGCCTTTTCGATTTCAACGAAGACAGTTTCCAATTTCACCGTGCTTTGGAATGACAATTAACAAAAGTCAAGGTCAGAGCTTATCTCATGTTGGAATCTATTTACCAAAGCCGGTTTTTGCTCATGGTCAACTATATGTTGCTGTCTCAAGAGTTAAAAGTAGAAAAGGATTAAAGATCCTTATAATTGACGAGGAAGGCAAGCGAGCAAAGAAAACAACAAATGTTGTATATAAAGAAATTTTTCAAAATTTCAGCCAAGTTTGACAAATCTTCAGGTAATAACTTTATTATCATCATTCACCTTTGCAAAATCTTATCTTCTAACAGTTATCATGCTATTTTCAGGTACATATGTGAACGACTTTAAAAGCATCTTGAGCTTCATGAATTTAATATTCAGCCTGGTTTTATGCTTATGAAGTGATACTTTCTACAAATGTTATTCTAAACGAATTTGCTTTCTTTGGAGTTAATTAGGATGTACAATATATGCTTTGTGTTCATGGTTCTTTTACTTAGAGAGTTAAAGATCTATTGAATTTGATGTGTGAGTTCATTCAACAATATACACAACAAATCAAAATCAAAGTCAGATAATTGCAGTACCGATATAGATAAATTAAATTAAATAGGATCAGATTTGGGGATTGAAACGAAGTGACCATTATGGTATCAAATTTTATACACTAAAGCAAAATAATTTGTGGCATAGTGAACATTACCGAAATCAGATGCGGAGATTGAAAAGAAGGTCTCTAGATATCACCGGCCATATATCGAGCTGCACCCAGATTTGCTTACATCTTTCATCTCTTCGTGAGGATATGTGTAGATCGGACGAAATCGAACCTTTTTTTCCTCAGAAATCGAACTGCAACTAGATCACTTTTTGTTTTCTGAGACTCTCATCAAAATCGAGCTGCACTTAGATCAATTTTTTTTTTCTCTGAGAACGCCGACGAGATTTTGGTTTTAAGATAAGAGAGAGACCAAACTTTAGTCAAGGAAGGAGCTGTGCTGGAAAGTAAAAACTTACTTTTCTTTATTTTTAATAAAATGAAAATAATTCTTTTGCTCCTGCGTTCACATTATGACTCTTATGAAACTCTCTATTTAATTAAAAAAATGTTGACTTTTATTAACAACCACACGTTAGGTTTTTGTGCTATAGTGTTTGTAATGTTTTCTCCCTTCATCTTTTTCTATGTTCAATTATATTATCTTAATTTTTAGATTTTTAATTAACTGAAATACATTACATATGATGAAGCCCGTGCATAGCACGGGCCAAAATACTAGTTAGAGATAATGCCGGATCATTTTCCCGCCAAAGAAAAATGACCCACGGGCTATTCTCGCTAAAAGGGAGGTTAGGTTATCGATGCTTCCCTAATCTAGTTCTCTATCTATCGGCGACGTATCGTCTCTACCTTTTCCGGCAAAAGCCTCCGCCGCCGACGGTTAGCTTTTTTTGCTTGTTCTTGCGTAAACTCATCGAATTGGTTCGTTGATTGTATCTATATGGTTTGTTTTTTTTGTTAATTCCTGTGTCTATACATTGTATCTGAATATATGGTTATTGCTCAATTTAGGGTTTAGTTGTTCTCGCATTTTCCCCCAATGGTGAGATTTGGGTTTTCAAAAAATACAAAGAAGCTTAATTTAATTTAGGATTCTGATTACTTTCTTCTAGTTTGAGAGGCTTCTTCACACTTCTTACATCTTTCGTTTCCGCCGCCGGCGACTGGAGGTTTGCTTCGGTTCCACATGTTTTGTTCTTTGTCAATTTCTGTATCTCTATGTATAGGATCCGAATCTACGGTTATTGCTCATTCTAAGGGTTAGGTGAGATTTGGGTTTCATGAATACAAAGACGCTTGTTTTAGGGTTCTTATTCTACTTTCTTCTAGGTTTGAGATGCTTCACATTTTGGACACTTTGTGTTTGTATCTGATGGCCATTTATAATTGTATCTTCTGCAGGAACCTTAGAAGAGGAAGTTGCCTTCTTAAGTGCTTATCATTTCTTTGTTTGACCATGAATGTCACTTCTTCTGACGGTGCTACAACATTTTCTTCATCTAGTATTGGTAATATTCTCTCCCCTGGTTTGAGTTGTTCTGTGAGTAGAAAGGGTAACGAGGATGGTGAAAGTTGCAATACTAGTAAGGGGAAGCTCTTTCAAACTGGACAGATCTGGTCATTCTACAGTGGCAACGATGACTTGCCTCTGTACTACGGTAGGATTCATAAGATCACCGTTACTCAAGTGTTCGAGGAAGAAGCAGAAATCAAAATGTGTGTACATCTGTTAAAGGCTGATTCTTTCCCTGAGAATGTCATTCAGTGGGAGGACAAGAATATGCCTGTTGGTTGTGGAACTTTCTCCGTGACTAAATGTTTCAGAAAATTCACTACAGATAATGTTTCACTTCAGATTGTGCCTCAGACCTCCATGAATGGAAATGAATATATCATTCTGCCCAAGATTGGGGATGTTTGGGCCATTTACAGATCCTGGACTTGTCACAATGAGTTCAAGGACATTGGTTCCTGCACCTATGACATTGTCGAAGTTCTTGATGACACTTCGGACTATAAGGTTTTAGCGCTGGAGCCTGCGTTGTTTTCTAATGAAGAGGAAGATAAAAAGACATTCTTCAGAGCAGCTGAGAGTAGGCATCCTGATTGTGACGATGAGGATGGGTCAGAAGTGATATTCACAATCCCCATGTCGAAAATGCTCAGATTCTCGCATCAGATTCCAGCTTCCCGTGTAACCAAGAAGATAGACGGAGAGTTGAGAGAGCTTTTTGAAGTTGATCCTAGAGCATTACCTACAAACGTGAGGGTTTCAAGACCACTGAGCAAAGGGGAAGTGAGGGAAGGGTAGAGAAGGATTCCTTTTTGGTGCATTTTGTCAAAAGGTTTGTTCTTTGGTTTAAGATGTAAGATCTGAAACTTATTTAGACTTTCTCCATGGTTTAGAAGCATGTGGTTCTTTTTATTGGTTCAAATCTATGGAAAGTCATTGTACTTTGAGAAGCTTGGAGAATACTAGCTTTTGCATCTCTTTTCTGGTCAAAAGGATAACCAGCGGTGTAGATTAGAATGATAAATTTACTGAACTTTCTCCATGTTTACTTGATCTGTTAGTAGTACTTAAGTTATGAAGTAGCAGTATCTTATGGTTTAAGACTCACTTGCATATATGTGGGATTAAGCTAAAGTAGTAATCTCAAGAGCATATGGCCTTTAGGTGATTTCAGCCGTTTACAGCTTCACATCAGTACTAAACTAAATGCTATAGTAAACTTTGAAAGTTGAAAACTTTCTCATAAATGATCCAACATCGACTATAATTGCCCAAAAAGTTTCACACACCATGCTATCTCTTACTAATCATCATGTAAAATACATCCTTTATTTCACAAGTAAATGATAAACATATGGTCTTTTAGACTTTTGGTGCATATGTTCTCTCATAATCAAACCTTAATCCATGGCCTAAATACCAGGCTGTCTCAAATTATTTTATCAATTATAAGTAAATTTGTATGTATAATTAGAAAAATTATAAACCACCAACTTCTTGTGTATAATTAAGAAAAGTTTTAAAATTATATTACCCTATTTGTATAATATTCGTAGGGGAATTTACTTTTTTTTTTTGTAAAACTAAAAACATTAGAATTCTTGACCTAATTAATATACATATTAGAATTTATGATCAGGAAATTAATAGGGCTAAATAATTTTCCCGCCAAAAGGACAAATCTCGGGAAAAGTGGGATATTTTATTTGGAGATATACACAACGATGCTTCTCTACTAAATCCACTTCTCTCTTTTCCGGCAAAAGCTTCCGCCGACTACTACGACTGAGGTTTGCTTTGGTTGCGTAAATTTATCGAATCGGTATGTTTTGTTTTTCTTAATTTATGTATCTCTAAGTCCCATCCGAATCTAGGGTTTAGGTGTTTTTGCATATTCTCCAATCGTGAGGTTCGGGTTACATAAATACAAAGATGCTTAATTTAGGGTTCTTATTACGTTCTTCTAGTTTGAAAAGCTTCACACTTTCTACACTGTTTTTGGGCAATTGAAAATTAAGCTCCTTTTTAAAAACTTTAACCTGCGTGATTTTAGTGTATTATCTTATCTTACCAATGTTAAAGTATCTTGATGTGCATATATATAATTGTTTTTTCTGCAGGTTATTGTTTCTTTGTTGGATGATGGATGATACTACTTCTTCTGACGGTTCTTCAACATTTTCTACATGTTGTTCTGTGATTGTTGGCGATAAGAGAAAGAGGAACGAGTATGGTGACAGTTGCAATGCTAGTAATCGCGGTGCTATACCTAACAATACAAGAGGGTCTAGTGATAATGGAGATGCAGGCAGGGAAGAAGAGTCTGCGGCACAACCAAATATTTCTGAAAGTGGTGTTGGTCCAAAGTTTAACGACTTTGATGAGCTGAGGGAAGAAGTGAACTTTGCACTTGGTCAGACCTGGGCTATTTATGATACAGCAGATGGGATGCCTAGATTGTATGCTCGGATCACGAAACTTTCAGCTCCTTCCTTTGGGCTTAGGATTACGTATCTAGAGCCGGAACCAGATCATGAGAAAGAGATACTATGGTTTGACGAAGGCTTGCCTGTTTCTGTTGGTAAGTTCAGGTTTGGGAAAAATCAGAACACAAAAGATCGTTCCATATTCTCTCATGTAATCTGCTGCGGAGAAATTTACAATAAAGTAAGCAAGAAAGGTCATTTCATTGTTTCCCCATTAAAAGGCGAGACTTGGGCTCTGTTCAAGAACTGGGACATTAACTGGTCTTCAGAGCCAGATTCTCACCTCAAATTTGAGTATGACTTTGTTGAGATTTTGTCAAATTACACTGATGGAGCTGGTGTATCTGTTGCGTTTTTGCATAAAGCAAAAGGGTTTGCAAGTGTCTTCTTTCGGATGGGAACTGGTGATGCACACATATCTCGGATTCCGCCTCACGGTTTATATCGGTTCTCCCACAGGATTCCTTCCTTCAAACTCACTGAAATGGGAGGAAAATATGCTTACGAGCTGGACCAAGCTGCATTACCTGAAACTATCAAAGAGTCAATCGTCCCTTCACATCTATTAAGAGTGCTTGCCGCTTTGAAGCCTAAACCAGAAGCTGTATTACCTAAACCTATCAAAGAGATAATAGTCCCTCCAGAAGTATTAGCAGTGCCTACCGCTTTGAAGTCTAAACCAGAAGTTCTCTGCTTTCTTTGTAAGGGAAAGGTTTTTCAAACTGGCCAGATCTGGTCATATTACAGTAATAATTGGAACTTACCTGTGTACTATGGTAGGATTAAAAAGATCACTTTTAGTCAGTCATTCGGGCAGGCAACAGTATTTAAACTACACGTAACTCGGTTAAAGCCTGTTCCTTTCTGCAAGAGAATGCCTATTAGTTGTGGAACTTTCTTGGTTGGGAAAGGTACCAAAGTCATCGATCCTGATGATGTTTCATATCAGATAGTGCCTCAAACCGTCATGGATGGAAATAAATATACCATTCATCCCAAGATTGGCGATGTTTGGGCCATATACACAATCTTGTCTCATCACACTGATGAGGACTTGGAAAGATGGTATGATTATGAAATTGTCGAAGTCCTTGATGACGCCTTGGACTATAAGGTTTTAGCGTTGGAGCCTGCGTTGTTTGTTAATGAAGATGAAGGAAAAACAAAATTCTTGCGAGCAGCTGAGCGCAGGCAACATGATTTGGAGAATGAGTCAGAAGTGGTATTTACAATCCCTAAGTCGAAAAACCGCAAATTCTCACATAAGATTCCTGTTTCCCGAGTAACCAAGGAGATAGACGGAGATTTGAAAGAGCTTTTTGAAGTTCTTGATTCTAAAGCATTACCTTCAATGGCCGAAGAGGAAAGTGAGTGAAGGATTCCTTATTGTTAGCTTTTGGTGCATTTTGTCAAAAGGTTTGTTCTTTGGTTTAAGATGTAAGACCTGAACCTTATTTAGACTTTCTCCATGGATTTAAAAAGCATGTGCTTCTTTTGTTGGTTCGAAATCTGTGGAAAATCATGTATTTTGAAAAGGTAGGAGAATACTTGTTTTTTGCTTTCTTTTGTTGGTCAAGAGGGTAACCAGTGGTTTTGTATTAGGATGAGAAATGGACTGAACTTTCTCCATTTTTAGTAGTTACTAGTCACTTGATCCGTTGGTATTTCTCTATATATGAAGTAGTAGTATCTGAATGATGATTTTATCTTCTATAACAGAAAAATCTATCTACATGCAACATTTGAAGTTTCAATGTATTACAAAATCGATTTTTCCAGGATCACATATAGATTTACGATATATGTCTCCGATAAGTTTGTTGTATCTATAATATAAGCTCTCCTAGAAATCACTCCAGATGATGTTTCGCAGCAGATAGTGTCTCAAACCTCCATGGATGGAACTGAGTATCAATACTTGGGAATGTTTGGGTGATATACAGATACTGGTATCAATACTTGGAATTCTGAGAACGTTGGTTTATTGAGCTATGACATTGTTGAAGTTATTGATCATACCTTGGACTATAAGGTCTTACTGCTGGAGCATGAGCCCAATTCCGATAAAGTTGTTGATATTCTGCATCTTCCGGAAAAACTGCATTTTCAGGCAGTTAAGGAGTATAAGTCTAACCTGATTGATGGGTCGGAACCAATATTTACGATCCCAAAATCGGAAAGGCTCAGATTGTCGCATAAGGTTCCGGCCTCCCGTGTTACCAAAGAGATATACGGAGAGTTAAAAGACCTTATAAAAGTTGTTTCAGCAGCACTACCTGTTAACCTGCAGAGCACTTGAGACTTTGATTTTGATTGAACAAAGAAAGTGAGGGAAGCCAAGGATTCCTTTTTGTTAGCTTTTGGTGCATTTTGATGCAAGTGTGTTTTTATTTATCTATGATGTGAAATAATAGCAATTAGCAAGTATTTGCAGCTTGGTCTGAATTTCTCTCTTACTAAATGTGTTTTCTAATTTGTAAGTTAACTATGTCGTAGATTTGTTGTAATGTGATGTTGTTGTTCTATCACATATCTGCCTTTTTGTTTAGTTTATAATTTTACATTTAATTCCCGCCGAATATATTGTTAATGAAGTTTTTTACCGCCAAAAGATTTCTATAGTTTTTCTTGAATCGAGAAATAACACTGAATATATTTTACTCTATCCGCTCACTATCACTACCCCTGCAAAAGTCTCAGCCGCCGCCGACGATTTGCTTCTGTCGCTATTGTTGGTAAGTTGATGGAACCGAACCAATTCGTCGATTGTATTTTTTTTTGCTTGATGTCGTCTCTGAATTTAGGGTTAGGTGTTTTTTATTTGGTATAAGGGAAGTTGATTTAGGGTTCTTATTACATTCTTTAGACTTGAAATGCTTTTATCTTTCTTCTTCTGCGTGATTTTTCTGCAAATACACATCTGTTGTCTATTAGGGGTTTGTATTTTTGTGTCTCTTTTTAGACTGATTCCAACCAGAAACTGCATATTCTCATTTTCTGCAGGAACCCATAGGGGTGGAATTTGTCTTCTCGACTGTTTACTTGTTTGATGATGGAAAATGCTGTCCAGATCCATCCGATTAGGAGTGATTTGGTTGCATCCACACCAAGGAATCAGCAAGAAAAGGCTCAAGCTTTCTCCTTGCAACAACAGATAACAGTCCCAAGTAAGAATCAAGGCATACACTTCTCTGGAAATGAATGCTCCCCTGGTTTGAGCTCTGCTGGTAAGGTTGGTGAGAAGAGAAAGAGGAATGAGTACGGTGAAATTGTTTATACTGAACATCGCAGTAATTCTGAAGATGTAATTGTAAATCTAGGCAATAAAAGAGTGTCAGGTGATATTGGAGATGCAGTAGAAGACTCTGGAAGTGGAAAGCAACTCCATGAGGTTCGTCTCTGCAAAGAAACATTGCCAGATGCCTTTAACAGGAATGCTCAAGTGGGAGCTGCAATGGAGATCTCTCGGAATCTTGAGGCAGATGATTACTCTGGTTTTTGTGATATCAGTTCAGAAGTTGCAGTACAGCCAAAGACTTCTGAATGTGCTGGTCCAAAGTTTAACGACTTTGATAAGCTGAGGGAAGAAGTAAACTTTGCAGTTGGTCAGACCTGGGCTCTTTATGATACAGCAGATGGGATGCCTAGATTGTATGCTCATATCAGGAAAATTTCAGCTCCTTCCTTTGGGCTTAGGATCACTTATATAGAGCCAGATCCAGATGATGAGAAAGAGCTCCAATGGTTTGAAGAAGACTTGCCTGTTTCTGTTGGTAAGTTCAGGCTTGGGGAAAATAAGAGCACAAAAGATCGTTCCATGTTTTCACATGTTATTCATTGCAATGAACGAAACAACGAGTTGAATGAACGAAGCTACACTCGTTGTTTCAGATTCACTTGTCGTTTCATCAACACTTGTCATTTTAGTGTATCCCCTAGAAAAGGCGAGACATGGGCGCTTTTCAAGAACTGGGATATTAACTGGTCTTCAGAGCCAGATTCTCACCGCAAATATGAGTATGATATTGTCGAGGTTCTGTCAGATTACGCTGATGAAGCTGGTGTATATGTTGCATACTTGCATAAAGCAAAAGGGTTTGCTAGTGTGTTCTTTCGAATGGGAACTGGTTATGAAGGCATATTTCGTATTTTACCTCAGAGTTTGTATCGGTTCTCCCATAGGGTTCCTTCCTTCAAACTGACTGGAATTGAAGGAAAAGGTGTGCCAAAAGATGCTTACGAGCTGGACCAAGCTGCGTTACCAGAAACAATCGAAGAGATCATCGTGCCTTCAAACGCTGAAAGTGATTTAAAGTCTAAATGCCAAGCCATCTACTTTGCTAGCAAGGGGAAGGTTTTTCAGACTGGCCAGATTTGGTCATATTACAGTGGTAATGATGACTTGCCTCTGTACTACTGTAGGATTCAGAAGATCACTTTTACTCAGGCATTTATGCAGGATCCTGTATGTAAACTACACATACGTCGGCTAAAGGCTACTCGTTTCCCTGAGTATGTTATCCAGTATGAAGACAGGAGAATGCCTCTTATCCGGTATGAAGACAGGAGAATGCCTATTGGTTGTGGAACATTCTTCGCAAGGAAACTTCTAGAAATAATCACTCCAGATGAGGTTTCACATCAGATAATTCCTCAAACCTCCTTGGATGGCATTGAATATACCATCCTCCCCAAGATTGGCGAAGTTTGGGTGATACATAGATACTGGAGTAGTCACACTGATATTGAGGACTTGGAAAATGAAGTTTATGACATTGTCGAAATTCTTGATGACACTTCTGACTATAAGGTTCAACTGCTGAAGCAACAACCCGTTGATGGTGATCGTGATAACTTTGAATATATGTTATTTAGGGCAGGTAAGGAGTATAGTTATAACGAGGATGACGAGTCAGAAACAATATTAACGATCCCAAAGTCGGAAAGGATCATCAGTTTCTCGCATAAGGTATCTGCTTCTCGTGTAACCAAAGAGATGGACGGAGAGTTAAAAGAGTTTTTAAGTGTTGATTATAGGGCAACACCTTTTAACGTTAAACACAGGTGAAACAGAGGAGCCGAGAGAAGAAAAGAGGCAAGAAGCTAAGGTTTCCTTTTTGTTATCTTTTGGTGCATTTTCTGAAAAGGGTTTGTCTTTTTGGCTAAGAATCGTTAAGACGTTCTCTATGATGTAAGAATGTTCTTCTTATTCTATGGATATAAACCAACCAGCAGGTTGGTCTGAAATTTTCTTTTTTTTCACTAAATGTGTATTTTGTGTTAAAAGAAGTTGAACTATTTGTTGCTGTAATGTGATGTGGTTTCCATACTTAAGTGATCTATCTCTCTGCAGATCGCAATGGTCAACCTTGTCCAATTTCTCTTTTACAAATATCAAATCCTTGGCACTTTGTTTGATTTATAAAATATATTTTGACGATGAGCAAATGATTCCTTTTTTTGCTAGCTTTTTGGTCCTTTTTAGTCAAAACTCGTTTGTTGCTGGTTTAAGATTAACACCTGATACTTACTCCATATTTTATTATAACCTCTGTCAAAAGGTTTCTCTAAATTTTCTGATGATCCATTTGTGCTTTGAGTAAAGTAATCAGAAGGGGCATTTGGTGGAAGTAGTAAACTATTCTTGAATTTGGTTTGAATAACATTCATGTTTTGCAGACTTGGCTGATCTCAGCAGCTTACCGATTTCGATCATTCTTGTTAGAGTTCTCATCATGATTCAAATTGATCGAAAGCGGATTGGTCAAAAGGTTAGCTCATGCTCATTTTTCTGAAAGGAGATAGCTTAAGCTTAAGAATATGGGTGTGTAGATAAATTTTGTCTAGGTTAGTTATAAAGTTAAACTGATTTTTGTTGTTGATCTATCAAAGTTTATGGAGATACAACACTTTCAAGGACATCATTTTAGGTTTGTACGTTACTGTAGATGGTTGGTCTTTTGGTCTGAGAGAGCCATGTTGAGAATTTTACATTAGTTTCCCGCCAAATATATTGAAAATTAACTTTAATTACCGCGAACAAAATATTTTAGATTTCTTTTCTTAAATCGAGAAATAATTAACACTGAATGTAATAATTACTTTTATCCGGAGGCCACTTTCACTACTTAGCCCGACAAAAGCCTCCGCCGCGGACGACTGCGATTTCCTTTTGTCGCCACCATTAATTGGTAATTTGATTGAACCGATTCGTCGATTGTATTTTTTGCTGGATGTCGTCTCTGTGCTGCAGTTGAGTTCTAGGGTTTAGATTTTCTCGCATTTTCGCCCATTGTGGTTTTTTATTGTACATGGTGGTTGATTTAGGGTTCTTATTACTTTATTTAGATTTCAAATGCTTTTAACACATATCTTTTGTCTATTTGGTGTTTGTATTTTCGTCTCTGTTTTAGACCAATTGTAACCAGAAGCTGTATTTTCTCTAGGAACCCATAAAGGTGGAATTTGTCTTCTCGATTTTTACTTTGTTTGATGATGGATATCACTGTAAATGAGTTTCTTAGAAGGCAAAATGCTGTCCAAAACCATCAGATTAGGAGTGATTTGGTTGCAGCCACACCAAGGAATCAGCAAGAAAAGGCTCAAGCTTTCTCCTTGCAACAACAGATAACAGTCCCAAGTAAGAATCCAGACATACATTTCTCTGGAAATGAAATCTCCCCTGGTTTGAGCTGTGCTGATAAGGTTGGTGACAAGAGAAAGAGGAATGATTATGGTGAAATTGTTTGTACTGATATTGGCAGTAAGTCTGAAGATGCTATTGTAAATCTAAGTAAAATTGGCAATAGAATAGTGGCAGATGATTTTGGAGGTGCAGGAGAAGAGTCTGCAAGTGAAAAGCAACTCCATGAGGTTCATCTTTGCAAAGAAACTTTGCCAAATGCCATTAACAGAAATGCTCAAGTGGGAGCTGCTATAGGGATCTCTCAGAATCTTGAGGTAGAATATAACTCTGGTTTTTGTCATACAAGTTCAGAAGTTGCAGTACACCCAAAGATTTCTGAATCCGTTGGTCCAAAGTTCAACGACTTTGAAAAGCTGAGGGAAGAAGTAAACTTTGCGGTTGGTCAGACCTGGGCTATTTATGATACAGTGGATGGGATGCCTAGATTGTATGCTCGGATCATAAAAGTTTCAGCTCCTTGTTTTGGTCTTAGGATCACATATCTAGAGCCAGATCCAGGTAATGAAAAAGAGAAACTATGGCTTGAAGAAGACTTGCCTGTTTCTGTTGGTAAGTTCAGGCTTGGGGAAAATAAGAGCACAAAAGATCGTTCCATATTTTCACATGTTATTCATTGCAGTGAACGAAGCAACACTCATTGTTTCAGCATCACTTGTCGTTTCATCAACACTTGTCATTTTAGTGTTTCCCCTAGACAAGGCGAGACATGGGCGCTTTTCAAGAATTGGGATATTAAGTGGTCTTCAGAGCCAGATTCTCACCGAAAATTTGAGTACGAAATTGTCGAGATTCTGTCAGATTACTCTGATGAAGGTGGTGTATATGTTGCATACTTGCACAAAGCAAAAGGGTTTGCTAGTGTGTTCTTCCGAATGGGAACTGGTTATGAAGGTATATTTCGTATTTTACCTCGCAGTTTGTATCGGTTCTCGCATAGGGTTCCTTCCTTCAAACTGACTGGAATTGAAGGAAAAGGTGTGCCAAAGGATGCTTATGAGCTGGATGAAGCTGCGTTACCAGAAACAATCGAAGAGATTGTTGTGCCTTCAAACTCTGAGAGTGAAAAAAAGTCTAAACACCAAGCCATCTACTTTGCTAGTGAGGGAAAGGTCTTTCAAACTGGCCAGATCTGGTCATTTTACAGTGGTTATGATGATTTGCCTCTGTATTATGGTAGGATTCAGAAGATCACTTTTACTCAGGCATTTAAGCAGGATCCGGTAATTAAACTACACATAAGTAGGCTAAAGGCTACACGTTTCCCTGAAGATGTTATCAACTGGAAATACGGGGGAATGCCTGTTGGTTGTGGAACTTTCTACGCGAGAAAAGTTCTAGAAATAATTACCCCCAGTGAGGTTTCACAGCAGATAATGCCTCAAACCTCCATGGATGGCATTGAATATACCATTCTCCCCAAGATTGGTGAAGTTTGGGCGATATACAGATACTGGAGTCATTACATTGATGTGGATGGCTTGGAATTCGGTCTTTATGACATTGTTGAAATTCTTGATGACACTCTGGACTATAAGGTCCAACTGCTTGAGCAACAACCCGTTTCTGATGATCGTAATGATATGGAACATAGGTTGTTTAGGGCATGTACTGAGTATACTTATAACGAGGATGAAGGGTCGGAACCAATATTTACGATCCCAAAGTCGGAAAGGATCAGATTCTCGAATAAGATTCCTGCTACGCGTGTAACGAAAGAGATGTCCGGAGAGTTGGAAGACCTTTTAAGTGTTGAGTTTAGGGCAACACCTATAAACGTTATACACTGTTGAACAGAGCAACTGAAAGAAGAAAAGACGAGAAGTGACAAGGATTCTTTTCTAATTAGCTTTTGGTACATTTTTTGGAGTAGGGTTTGATTAAGAATCTTATGACTTTCTTTTTTTTTTTTTTTTTGAAAACGAAATATGACTTTCTCTTATGTTGATGTTCTTATATGTGATATAAAACATCAAATATTTGTAGCTTGGTATGTAGTAATTTTCTCTCACTTATTGGTAGTTTGAGTTAAAATTAACCAACTAATTCTTGCATTTGTTGTTATAATGTGATGTGGTTTTTGCTGTTCTGCTTTTTCAGACTTCTAAGTAATCTCTCTGCAGAGTGCAGACTACAGATTCAAGTATTCAACCCTACTCAATTCTTTTTCCAAATACTTGGCTCTTTGTTTGATTAATAATTTTAGATTGTTTTCCCGCCAAAATATATAGCCAATGAACCAACATTTACCGGGAAAATGGTTTCCAGGTTAAATCAAGATTTACTAATTTACATTAGCCGTAGTAAATAAAATAACTTTAATCCTCTTATTTCAACACTTTTCCGGCGAAAGTCTCTCCACCGCCGCCGAAGATTCCGATTCGCTTTTTGTCACTCTCTGTTGGGTAAGGTTTATTGATCGAACTGGTTCGTCGACTGTTAGTAGTTGCATCTGAGTCTAGGGTTTATACGTTTACGTGTTCTCGCATATCCGCCGATTGTAGAATTTGAGTTTATTAATATATAGGGAGGTTGATTTAGGAAATAGGGTTCTTATTAATTTCTTTGATTTGAAATGCTTCTGGGTACTTCAAAAATTAGACCTTTCTTAACTTTTTCTGGTGTGATTTAGACAGATTCTAACTATATAAACTACTTGCAGGAGCTCTAGAGAAGAAAGTTGTCTTCTTGAGTGTCTATTTTGTTTCATGATGGATGACACTGTAAATGAGCTTCTAAGAAGGAAAAAAGCTGTCTTGAATCATCAGATCAGGAGTGATTTGGTTGTATCGAATCATCAGGAAAAACCTCAAGCTTTCTCCTTGCTACAACAGAAAGATGTCCCAGCTAAAAGTCCCGGCATACATTTCAGTGGAAAAGAATGTTCTTTTGGTTTGAGTAATTGTGCAGTTAAGGTTGGTGAGAAGAGACAAAGGAACGAGTGTGGCGACATTTGCAGTACTGAGAATCGCAGCAAGTCTGAAGATGCTGTTGTAAATCTATGTAAAGACAGGATTGTACACAGCAAAAGAAGAGTGTTCAGTGATAATGGAGATGCGGCGGAAGAGTTTGGAAGCGGAAAGCAACTCACTGAGGTTGATTGTTCTAAAGACCCAATGAACATGAATCCGAAGATGGATAGGAAACAAGATGCTCAAGTCGGAGCTGCAGTGGGGATTTCTGGAAATCTTGAGGTGGATCAAAACTCTGGTTTATGTGATTCAGGTTCAGGAGGTGCAGTACCACAAAAGATTTTTGGATGTGCTGGTTTGAAATTTAACAACTTTGATAAGCTGAGGGAAGAAATGAACTTTGAAGTTGGGCAGACCTGGGCTGTTTATGATACAGTGGATGGGATGCCTAGATTGTATGCTCAGATCAGAAAAGTTTCAGCTCCTTGTTTTGAGCTTAGGATTACATATCTAGAGCCAGATCCAAATGGTGAGAAAGAGCTCCAATGGTTTGAAGAAGACTTGCCTGTTTCTGTTGGTATGTTCAGGCTTGGGGAAAATAAGAGCACACAAGATCGTTCAATATTTTCACATGTTATTCATTGCAATGAACGAAGCAATACTCTATGTTTCAGCGTCACTTGTCGTTTCATCAAAACTTGTCATTTTAGTGTATCTCCTAGGAAAGGCGAGACATGGGTGCTTTTCAAGAACTGGGATATTAAGTGGTCTTCAGAGCCAGATTCTCACCGCAAATATGAGTATGAATTTGTCGAGATTCTGTCAGATTATTCTGATGAAGGTGGTGTATATGTTGCATACTTGCATAAAGCAAAAGGGTTTGCTAGTGTGTTCTTCCGAATGGGAATTGGTTATGAAGGCATATTTCGTATTTTACCTCAGAGTTTGTATCGGTTCTCCCATAGGGTTCCTTCCTTCAAACTGACTGGAATTGAAGGAAAAGGTATGCCAAAAGATGCTTACGAGCTGGACAAAGCTGCATTACCAGAAACAGTTGAAGAGATCATCGTGCCTTCAAACTCTGAGAGTAATATAAAGCCTAAACGCCAAGCCACCTACTTTGTTAGCAAGGGGAAGGTTTTTCAGACTGGCCAGATTTGGTCATTTTACAGTGGTTATGATGATTTGCCTCTCTACTATGGTAGGATTCAGAAGATCACTTTTACTCATGCATTTAAGCAGGACCCGGTAATTAAACTACACATTGGTCGGCTAAAGGCTACCCGTTCCCCTAAGGATGTTGTCGACTGGGAAGACGGGCAAATGCCTGTTGGTTGTGGAACATTCTACTCAAGAAAAGTTCTAGAAATAATCACCCCAAATGAGGTTTCACATCAGATAGTTCCTCAAACCTCCTTGGATGGCATTGAATATACCATTCTCCCCAAGATTGGTGAAGTTTGGGTGATATATAGATACTGGAGTAGTCACATTGATGTTGAGGACTTGGAGTTTGGTCTTTATGACATGGTTGAAATTCTTGATGACACTTTGGACTATAAGGTCCAACTGCTGGAGTATGAATCCGTTCATGATGATGATGATGATGGAAATGGGAATAGGTTGTTCAGGGCATGTACGGAGTATACTTATAACGAGGATGAAGGGTCGGAACCAATATTTACGATCCCAAAGTCGGAAAGGATCAGATTCTCGAATAAGGTTCCTGCTTCGCGTGTAACCAAAGAGATGCTTGGAGAGTTAAAAGAGTTTTTAAGTGTTGATTATAGGGCAACACCTATAAACGTCATACACTGTTGAACAGAGGAACTGAGAGAAGAAAAGGGACGGGAAGCGCCAAGGATTCCTTTTTGTTAGGTTTTGGTGCATTTTGTGAAAAGGGTTTGTCTTTTTGGCTAAGAATCTTCTCTATGATGTAAGAATGTTCTTAATTATGGATATGAGACATGACGTATCTGCAGGTTGGTCTGAAATTTCTTTTCACTAAATGTGTATTTTGAGTTAAAAGAAGTTAAATTATTTGTTGTTGTAATGTGGTTTTCATACTTAACTGCTCTCTCTGCAGATCGCAACGGTCAACCTTGTCCACTTTCTCATTTACAGTTATAAAATCCTTGGCTCTTTGTTTGGTTTATAAAATTAGATTTGTTTCAGTAAAACGAGCACAGTCAAAGGTTAGCTCATGCTCGTTTTGTTGAAAAGGAGATGGCTTAAGCTTCAGTTAATTGATAGTTCATTGGCAAAAAATTAAAACTTTTCTTTGTTGTTGTTATGTTGATCCATCAAAGTGTAAGGAGTAACATACTTTGATACTTTTTAAGGACATACTTGCATGTTTGTACTTTATTGTGGATAAGTGGATTGTTGGTCGTTGGTCTGTGTGAGCCATGAACTGTAGCAGCTTGAGAGAGAAGTTGTGCTTTTAAATGGAGAGACTCTGAATCAGCTTAAAGCTCTTGTTGATGAGCAAGAGCAGGATGTGGAGCGTATTAGGCAGAGAGAGTTATTTTTGACCAAGGTTGACTCCACGAAGAAGAAAGTGAAGACTGGGTGGTGGGTACATGGATATTAAGAAGAAAATAAAGAGTGAGTATATCTCATTTTTGTATATGTTCAACAAATATTATTTTTTATATCTAAAACAAAATATAATTTTGGACTTCTTTTATTACTAGGCTCGGACCATCGCCACTGCCAACAATTCTGGATGCATGTTTTTTTAACAAAGTAAGTATAGTTAAAATAAGAGATTACTTGGCGAAAAATAAAAAAATAAATAAGAGATTACTTGCCTTGTGTCCAACATTGACAAAGACCTCTGAAACATTTGGGTTTTCTAGGCCAAGCTAGTTATTCACTATTAATTCGACATTTCATATTATATAGAGGAACTTTATTTTTCTTAAATTTACATTCTGGTTTAAGAAAAAATGTTTTTTCGTACTCATAAAATTTGTGTTCTCAAACATGCTAATTATTCATTATTGATTCAACATTTTGAGTCTCATCAATACTCCACCGCCAAAAGTTTTTATCGGTAAGCTACTTCCCAAATGTGTGCTTCGATCATGAACGGTCCAAATAAATGATGAGTCCTAGGTACATATTGATTCAAAATTTAATTATTATATAGGTTGATGAAACTTAGTTTTCTCCAATTTGAGATTTACTTTAAAAAAAAATTTACATAAAAGATACACTGATTAGATTTAATGAAAAATTAAAACAAACTCAACATAGGAAAAACATCCATTGACGCGGTGATGAAGGGACACTGATAAATATTGCTTGCTTATAAGCACTCCTAAGTCTTAACCTACTGAAAACAAGATATATTATGTACTTGAATTTCATAAATTTTAGTTTAAGGACTACTATACCTAAGCTATAATAAACATAGTGGTCTGACATTGACTCTACAATCAACACGACATATTCTCTTTCCTTTGCATGCATATTTTGGATTAAGATAATCAAGTTAATCGTGGGTAAGAGAACTTCTTTCAAATCATTTCGCAATGCAAATTAGTGATGATGTGCATAGTCTGCACATTTACTCGCAATTTTTGCTGAGATAATTGTAACATTTATCTAATTATTTATTTAATTACAATTTAATTACTTATGACATATACAAAGATTTACTTAATTTTCATATCAAATTGTTGCGTTTTGAAGTTTTGGATAATAATAAGTTACTTTTTTTTTGCCTCAATAATAATAAGTTATTAACTAATGTAAAAGATAATATAGTTTAGTTTAAGTGTATTTTAAATTTCTATTTGGATTCATTGTTAAACAAATATATGAATCTAAAAATAGTTGTGGATTTTTTTTTTTTTTTGGATTTTAAAGCGGTGTCAATTTATCAAATACTTTAACAGTAAATTCATACAAGAATTTGGTTTGATTTTCTGTTTAGTTTATTCGAATCAAGATTTTTTCTGAAACCCTAAAACGAAAATATCTACTCTTATCGAAAAAGACTTTTATACCCCTAAAAAGTTTAGTTTGGATATAAAAGTCTTTTCCGCCGAAAACAAAATGACCAAAATACCCTTTTCTTCACAAATTAGTAGCAATTTAGCTAAACTTGAAGGGCTTTTACATAAATAAATAAGAATACAAAGTTCAAATGACCTTAAAGTTTCTAAAAAATTACAGTAAAACCAGAGAACCATATAAACCGTGAGGTGTTTCCCCACAAACGAAGACGAAGACAGATTCCAGTCAAAGAGGCAGTTAGGCATCGACGTGAGCTTTGACGGTGACCTATCTCCTCCTTTTCCTCTCTCTCTTTCTCCCAACTCCGGTGAGTTTCCGACGCTCTCTTTCTCTCTGTCATTCTCTTACTCTTCAGTGCGGTTCTGTTTTCTGAAATCGCTTAGTCTTCTATAGGTAGTCTTTGGTTTTGTCAAAAGGCTCATAATTTTACCTTCATTTCGGAGAAATTCGCCGCTTTTATTGTATGTTTCTCATGTCTGAATTGAATGTATTCGCTGTGTTGTTGAAAACATGTTTGGTTGTTTCGGTTTTTTGCTTTTGACAGTGCTGAATTTCGAGTTTTTACATGTAGGGTTTAGCAAAAGAATAGCTTGAAATCTGGGACTTTTTTTTTTAAGTATGAGCAACCAAGATGTCTGAATTGAATGTCTTTGTTGGAAAACTTGTTTGGTTTTTGCATTTTTTACAGTGCTGAATTTCGAATTTCTCTGTGTAGGGTTTACAGTGCAAGAGACAAGATTGGAATCTGGGAGATTTTTTTAGTATGAGCAACAAAGATGAGGCTCTACGAGCCAAAGAGTTAGCAGAAGATTGGATGAGCAAGTCAGATTTCACAACTGCTCGTAGAATTGCTTTAAAGGCTCAGAAAATGGATGCAAGTCTGGAGAATGTTGTTGCTCGCATGATTATGGTGTGTGATGTGCATTGTGCAGCATTGGAGAAATCTGGGGATGAGACTGATTGGTACAAGATTCTCCAAGTAGAGCAAAATGCAGATGAAAATACCATTAAGAAACAGTATAGGAAGCTTGCCCTTCATCTTCACCCGGACAAAAACAAACTCCCTGGTGCTGAATCTGCTTTCAAAACCATTGGTGAAGCTCAGAGGGTTCTTTTGGACAAAGATAAAAGAAGGTTTCATGACATGAGACGGAAACCCGTTTTTAGGCGGCCTGCACCAGCACCAGCAACGTCATTTCAACCCCAACAAGCCCCGACCACGCCTTTCTTCACTCAGCGTGTTTTCCAGATGAACGTTAATGCGGAAAGGAAGAGACCTGAAAACCAGAAGAAACCTCAAGCTCAACCAACTGGGTTTGGTGGTAACTCCAGGTTTTGTACCTCATGCTCTTTTTGTCACAAGGAGTATGAATATCAAAGGGGATTAATCAACACACGAATGAATTGTATGCGTTGCGGTAAGCAATACATTGCTATTCAAGAAAATTTCCAGGGTCCACCAGGTCAGGCGACTTTCCCCTTCTTCCAACAGAGCAAGGTTCCAACACAAGAGGCAGGCAAGGCAGTGGAGAAGCAGCCAGAAAGTTCTGCTAAAAGTTCCTTAAGTAAAGAGGGTTCTAGAGCCAAAAGCTATGGTGTTTCTGCTGAGAACATCAATGGAAAGAGAAAGAGGAAGAAGGTAGTTGAATCCAGTGACAGCTCTTGCAGCGAGAGCAGTATTGAGTGCAAAGAAGTTCCAGCTGGTGGACAAGATTCGGGGTCCAGCGGTGCACAGCATTCTCGGAGGTCAGTCCGTAGCAAGCAGCAGGTTTCATATAAAGAGAATAAGAGCGATGATGACAGTAAAAAAGAGGATGCAGAAAGTGCTGAGGAGTCTGATTTCAGAAAGAAGTCACATGAGGATCAACTGTTTGCAGAAACCTTGCCAAATGGTATAAACAGGACGAAGAAGATAAAAAAAGACCAAGTGGGAAGCTCTCGGGATTCTGGTGTCTGTAATGCAGCAAAGGATTCAAGTTCAGGGAGCGCATCAGATGCCGAAATTGAGTGTACTGATCCTGATTTCAGTAACTTTGAGAAGTCGAGGGAAGTGACGTGTTTCAAAGCTGGTCAGACATGGGCAATGTATGATGACATGGGTCGAATGCCTCGATACTATGCCATCATCAGAAAAGTCATAAGGAAACCTAGTTTCATGCTCAAAATACAATGGCTAGAGGCTAGACCAGATGATGAGAAAGCAATACAGTGGGTTCGTAAAAAATTACCCATCTCTATTGGTAAGTTCAAACTTGGTGGAAATTTGAACACAGAGAAAACTCCATGTTTCTCTCATCTGATCTACTGTAGAGTAGGAAGCATGAAGGATACTGTCAGAGTATACCCAAGAATAGGAGAAACATGGGCTCTTTTCAAGAACTGGGACATCAATTGGTCCTCTGGTCGTCGGCGTTCTTCCCATGAGCATGAGTATGAGTATGATTTTGTCGAGATCCTGTCAGAATATGTTGAAGGGGTTGCAATAGAGGTTGCGTTCTTGCGTAAACTAAAAGGCTTTGCAAGTGTATTTTGTCGAATTGCATTAGGTGGTGGATCAGACACAATTCAGATTCCGCCTCATGAGTTGCTTAGATTCTCCCATAACATCCCCTCAACCAAATTGACAGGAAATGAAGGGAATGGCGTTCCTACTGGTTCTTATGAGCTCGATACAGCTGCATTACCACAGAAAATTGAAGAAGAAGAAGCTGTCCCTGTCTTACGAGAAGCTGCCAAGTTAAACCAAGTCCATCATCACTCTCCACCCTCATCGGAGCCAGACTGTATCGTCATTCCTAATTTCCAGTTTAACAACTTCAGCGCTGAAAGATTAGAGGGAAAGTTTGCACCTGGTCAGATATGGTCACTGAACAGCAAAGAGGATGGCTTGCCCAAGTGTTACGCTAAGATTCAGCAGATAGTATGGAGGCCGGTATTCAAATTGCAGATAAACCGGCTAGAGCCTAAATCATTTCTTGGGAACGTTATACAGTGGCATGACAAAAAAATGCCAGTCAGTTGCGGAAATTTCACTTTGAAGGAAGGCCGGGACGTGACACTAACTAACGTGACTGATTTTTCACATCAGATTAAGGCAGAAAATCATTTCAGGAAAAACGAGTACATTGTCGTCCCCAAGACCGGTGAAATTTGGGCAATGTACAAGAACTGGAGTGAAACAATCAAGGCCGCAAGCTTGAAGAAGTGTGAATATGAGGTTGTTGAAGTTCTTGATGACAATGACAGCCACATCGAGGTAATGCTGTTGGAACGGGTGGATGGGTTTATTTCGGTATTCAAAGAAAAAGTGGAAGGAGGCATCGATGTGAAGAAGAAGATCCCAAGGTGTGAATTGTTGAGATTCTCACATTATGTTCCTGCATTCCGCTTAACTGGAGAGAGAGATGGAGCTCTTAGAGGCTATGTTGAGCTCGATCCAAGTGCGTTGCCCCGTAACTTGCGCAGATCTTAGACTAATTCTTGTAGGAAGGTTTGTTTCTTTGTTAGTACTAGTAGTAATGGCTTTTACATTTTGTCGAAATGTGTAGTTTTCAGTTCTAGATTCAGATGTTAACTTCCATCAAAATGTGTTGGTGAAAAAACCTTTTCGCTTATATGTGCCTCTTGCTCTGTCTTAATCACGTGTATAATACAGAAATTGTTGTCTGTCAATTTCTGTCTTCTGGGTCGTTTTTCGTTTAGTCTGATGAGAAACTAAAACAAAGGTAAGTGCAGAATCATGTAATTAGTGAGTAAATGCTGCTACCTAACAACAAGGGCGTTTGGTCTAGTGGTATGATTCTCGCTTTGGGTGCGAGAGGTCCCGAGTTCGATTCTCGGAACGCCCCTTTTGTACACATTTTAAGGAAGTTGACAAAAAAAACTTCTCAGTTCTCACGAGTCGACAAGTTTAAACTTTCAAAAGATTCTTGAACCTAGAAACTCATTCACAACAGCTCTTTCACTTGATGTACCTTCACAAATCACACATTCTCACTGTAATTCCACAAAAGCTTCTCTCTTTCCATACAAAAGTACAAAGACTTGTATATCTACAGGTCTCAAAGTTTTAAGTGAACCCCATCTATCTATCCAGCAAGTGAACCCCATCTATCTATCCAGCAATTTGCCCTTTCAAATTCAAACTTCAAGAACAGAAGAAACTAAAAAAGTAAGAGACTTTCTTTATACTAAGTTTGTATTTTGCGGAAACCGCACAGGCCGAGAGGAATAACAAATGCACAACAAGTTTAAGCACATTGCCATCCCGAAACCCAGAATCCCCGCGAAAAGCATTGCATAGATAACCGGCACACCAAGCTGCAAAAAAAGATATTTACATGAGAACGTTTTCCAATATGAGATTAGAAGTAATTCAAAGCCCAAAGCATATGGTTTAGGATTACTTACTGTAGCATATAACAGATGAACAAGCAATGCCACTAGTGCAAACTCAAGAGCTGCGTATGTCCATATGTATTCTCTGATCGCTGCAAGTCCGGATAATAATAATTAACAGTTTTACATAATTGTATTAGGGGACGAACAATAAAGATTGGAAATTTTTATTTAGGTAATGGTCTTATACCGAGGATGACGGCGAAAGTTGAGGCTAAGAGAGCTAGGGTGAATGAAAATGGCGCTGCGACAAATATTGCCTGTGAATTCAAGTCACGAATCTACAGAATAGATAAGACTCCCTGTTATGTTGTCTTTGTGATGAAAGGTAAGATTTTTGTAATGAAAGATAGAATATTTTTAATCAAATACAGAAAAGGCTGTGTTTCTGAATAGTCAGGGTAAGAAAAAGGAAGCATTACCAGTAAATGTTCAAGGAAGAAGAAGTAGCAGACGGTGCTGATGAGTACAAGCACTACAAACTCTTGCCCTACACTGCACCAGTTATTCGATCTTCAATTATTAGATTTCTTTAAGGAACTTTGGAAAACGAAAAAAAGGATAAGTTTTTAAAGCGTCTGATTTACCTAATGGTTTGTGGCTGTGAACTCTGCTGAGTGAGTTCCCGTCTATTGGTAAGTTGATTAATTGTTGGGACACGAAGCAGTATCACCGGTAAGTTCCGGACTTCTTGTCTGCAAACATCGCAGATTCGCGTTCCCTTTGTACTAAACCACTTAATGGCACAATGCTCGTGAACGAGTCTGAGGTCACCTTTGCAACTGCATTCCATTTTCAGTGTGTTACCTTCTTCGCACACATCAAGACAAATCCTGCATACTGCTTCTTCTTCAGGGATTTCTTCTTCTGTTTCTTCTGCAGGAACGGGAGTGATTTGATCTGCCAATGAAAACAAAAGAAAGAAGGAACATAGGAGTGTGAACTTGCCGTTTCATTGATCAAAGTCAAATTTCTTTGAATTGATAAAGCTTCTTGTGAATCAATCTATTCCTCATATCAATATTCATGAATTCTAAAAGCAGCCGGCAAAAACAAATAGAGCTCAACACTATCGAGGAAAGTTAGCAATATACCGCCATTTGCTTCATTAGAAAGGTGATTTTTGTTGTCGTCAAAAGAGACAGCTCGTACAATCACTCTGTTCATGGACAAGGATCTTGAAACTGATGCATGAACACCATTTTTCTGCACCAAAAAAGTCCAATCTTATACTTTTGAAAATGAGTTTTTTGAAGAAAATTTAAATACTTTAGCACACTATAGAATAGAAATGAGACTGTAAAACACATATAACTCACATTAGACTTAGGCTGTTCACTATGCACCACAGCTGATACAGGCGGTGTAGATACAACCATAGACAGTTTAGCAGCATTAGTAGAAGGAAGTGACAAACATCTCTTCCAGTAAGGCGATGTTATCGGACTTGCAACAAGAGGCCTTTCACTGGTTTCTGAAACACTGGGGCTTAGTAGCAATCTTCTCTCATAGTTTGGTAGAGAAGCTTTCCTTTTCAGACTCAAATTTCTCAAAATTCCTAAAGTCGGTTTTGGTGGTATTTGGATAGAAACATCCAATTGGCTTCCACTTGGCTGAGATCTGGATTCATCTCCAACAGATTGTTCTTTAACCTGATGATTAAAATCTCATATTGATAAATAAATAATCTTCCTACAGTGAAGCAACCAATTAAACAAATCATTGTAATAAGGGACTGAAGAACACTAATCATACAATTTTCTATTTCCTTTCTTTCTGATTGCTTAATTTCAGATACCAGTTATATAATAAACCCTAAACACTAGTGCAAAAACAGAGACTTTGGATTATAAAGATTTCAACTTTACCCTAGAATCAATCAAAAGAAATACAAAAAAATAAAGATTTCGAATACCTGAGAAGAAGAAGAAGAAGATGAAGAATCATTAGCGAGAACAAAATTTCTGGGTGGTTGTATTGAAGATCCTTCCATCATAATCGAAACCAAAACAATTTTTCAAGAAATCAAGTTTGATCGACAAAAATTCTGAGCCACGGAGAGAAGCAATCAATCTAAAGAGATAATTTGTCGTTTATTAATGTGTGTGTGTATGCAACTATGCATGTATCAGAAGAATCCAGCATTTTACTGCTCTTTAATTACCCGCTTAATTCAATTACCAGTCAAACTCACTCTTCTTCTGTTACCCATTTTACTTTTATTCCACTAAAATGTGTATACATTAGTCAAACTCTCTTCGCATTAATTGTATTTTCCCTCAAAACTTCAAACTTCAAAGTTACAAACGTTGACCCCCAAAATCAACAAAAACAAAAAATTTACTTAGCTAGTATATTATGAAAAAAAAATACACACACATATATTTATATAAATATGTTATATATTTCAATGACACGATAATATTTTTTAAAATTCGATATTCATTCTTATTTTTTTACATACAGTATGAATTATTTAAAACTTACTACTAAAAAACCACACTTTAGGCTAAAAATGCATAATTTAATCGGTTCACATGTTATGGTCTATGGATACCCAAAAGCGATACACATTTCCCAGAAGAGTTTGTCCTCCATCATCATCATCATTTCCTTACTCCACCACTTCTTTCCTTCTTCCTCTTCTTCTACTTCTAATTCTACTTCTTCCTCCTCCTCCGCCGCGGTGAAATCTACTCTAACGTCAGAGAAGATCATCGCTTCTTGTTCCTTGGCAAGTAGCGGCGCTAGAAGATCATCGTCCCAATTGGCTTCGAGATCCTTGTAAATGTCACCTGTGTTACAGTTGCTCGATTCTGCATCGTTATCGTCGTGGTCTTGATGGTAAGAAAACCTACATTCGTCGCAAAACTCAAAACTCGTATCGGAATCAGCCGTTTCTTCTACCATTATATAACAAGAACCGTCCATCGATATCGTTGCCGCTACGGACAGTTGCACACACACACAGATATATATTTATAAATGATCAAACATGTTCAAATGTATGTTTAAAGCCTTAAACCATTTAGTTTTATTTTATATACACAGCACTAATAACTCCACCAATCAATTAGATGTGATGGGACCAGAATTGACTCGTAACTAGATCCGGCCAAACCATATTAATTTCAATTGTACTTAAACCGAGCTAAACCAAACAAAAATGCATAGACCATATATTCTGCTTAATTATTGAAGCTGTCTGTAGTGGTAAACAACAATGATTCAAAGCACAAGATAATTAATGGATGGATGACTCTAAATTACATCTTCGTAACTAATTAGTTGTCTTTATAATAATGATGATTAAGATCTCACACTCAAATATATCAGATGCGTTTCACACAATCAAGTTTTGTTTTTGTATTTTTGAGTAAGTTTGTACGAGGAATTTATTTCCCATCACTATCACTTACCAAACACACAAATCAGAGTATAGTATTCACTCAGATTGGGCCGACCAGTCTGAGTCCGGATAGCCCATTATATCATTTTTGGGCTGAAAATATTTGCTGACGGAAAAAAAAAAAGAACCGCGAGGTTGAGATAGATAAAAGAGAAAACGAACAGTTACGGTAATGCTCACAAACCCTAACATTTTCAAGAACACGAAGAGAACAGAAGAGAGGTTAAAATGGTTAATCTCATGCGGAAGTTCGCAAAACGGTAAGTTCCTGTTTCATATCATTATTATTATTTGACAATCTCGTAGTTAGGTTTCGAGAAATTGCTTTTATAAGGAAGTTGGATTCAGAACTTATTAGGGTTTCTGATTCTCTCCATTTTGTAATAATCTTTGAATTTCAGGGTTGGTCGACCAGGAACACAAATTTGGAGAGGGGAAGATATGATAAGCTCATTACCTGATCATTTGCTATATCTTATACTTCGTTTTCTTACAACCGAGGAAGCTGTTTGGACGAGTGTTTTGTCTTCTAGATGGAGACATCTCTGGAAATGGGTTCCTAGCTTAGAATTAGACACGTCTGATTTCCCAGATGAGAGAACTTGTGCTGGTTTCATCGACAAGTTTCTGAATTTCCAGAGCGAATCCTACTTGCGCGAATTCAAGCTAAGAATTGACCAAGCTAACTGTAGAAGTGATGTATCTCTTTATGAGCCGTGTCTCGGTGTAGTGATTAAGAAGCCCAATATTCGACATTTCCAAGTTGAGAGTGATCTGCTTGAACATTGGTGCACTAATGAGATACCATTAACCCTTTCTGCGTGCGAGGCATTGGTGTGCTTAAAGCTCCATTTCGTAAGGCTTAATGATTTTGAGTCTCTTTATTTACCCTGTCTCAAGATCATGTACTTGGAAGACGTTTTCTTTCCTAGCGATGCGGCTGTAGAGACGCTAATCTCGTGCTCTCCGGTTCTTGAAGATTTAAAAATAAGCCTCAATGGAGATGATGTTGTAGTTGTTTTACGTGTCTACTCACAGTCACTAAAGAGCTTCACTCTAAAACGGGCGGATCCTGTTAATGCTATAAACGGTGGACATTCAGTTGTGGTCGATACTCCGAGACTTGAGTATATGAGTCTCATAGATTACCAATTCAAAAGCTTCAAGATAATCAGTATGAGTGACTCTGTCAAGGTTGATCTTGATGTCAACTTTGACCTGATGCGTGATAACTTATCGGAAAGAGATATCATCTATAATCTTCTCAACAATTTTTCAGGAGTTAGAGATATGACCATCTCATGGACAACTCTTGAGGTATGTAAAACTGATTACAAGCTCTAAACTTTCCCATTATCATTATTTTTCTCACTTTCATGTTCTGTTTACTCTTCTCTTTACTCGCAGTTCATCTATAGATTCCATGACATGAATCCACTACCCAAATTTCATGACTTGACCCGTTTGCGTGCTACTATGTCCTTAAACGCCTCTCTGGAAGTGTTGCCAATCGTTCTTGAGAGCTGCCCGAAGCTGAAACACTTCCACTGCACCTTGGTAATGATTTGCAAGTTTCTTACCTAAGAAAGGTTTTTTAATCTACTCATTTCTGGTTTGGATCTGTTGCTTTGTATTTGCAGGAATTGGTTAATGATTATCCAGTGGCAGTAATAACTAGACTCTCGAGAGTGTTACCTCGTTGTTTGGTATTTTCCCTTGAATCCGTTGAAATGGAAAGCCCGATCACGGAGAAAGCAACGGAACTGAAACTGGTCAGATACTTTCTGGAGAACTCAGCAGCACTCAAGAAGCTTGTTCTACGTCTGAATCATGAGTCTACTGGAGAGAAACATGAGCCTGGTGTCTTGAAACATCTCATTGAATCTCCAAGGCGCTCTAGTTTGTGTCAGTTTGAAGTTCTTGCAGTGCCTCCAAATCCGGAACCGTGGTGGATTTATGTAAAACCACAGAGGTTCTAAACCCAATTTGAAGTTCTTTAGTGCTATTGCTGATGAAATTCTCATGGCTTCCTTTATGTTGCTCTGTTTTTGTTATGTCTATGTTGTAACCTACATCAAATTTGCATTTGACAAAGGGAGGAGACAGTCTAGTCCAAAAGTTTACCACTACCTCATGCCATTCTTTTAAAAGATTAATACTTTCGGAAGTGACTTGGACGTCCGTCACTTTCGAAATTACGGTTCATGTGTGAGTTTTGTCGATATGTTCCACAACGGCTCAAACTTGAGTGCATTCAAGTTAACCTTGGATCATTTTGTCCGAGGCCATAACTTTTCTCCTTTGGACCCATGTCTTAGTAGAGTGCTTGAGCGCAAGATTCAGCATTTCGAAGTTTTGAGTTGCTTTGGATATTTGATAGAGATACCGTTAACCAATTCTGTGTGCAAGAGATTGGTATGAATAAGGCTCAGTTTGGTTAGGTTGAATGATTTTGAGTCACTTTACTTACCTTGCCTCAAGATTATGCACTTAAGACATGTCATCTTTTCCTCCAATAGAGCTGCAACTATGCTAGGTCATTGCTCTCCGGTTCTCGAAGAGTTAGTACTACGGAGGCCATTAAATGATGTAGCTGTCTGTTCTAAATCACTAAAGAGCTTATCTCTCTCAATTTTGCATAATTCTGATAAATTGTGATCGACGCTCCGAGACTCTAATGTCCGAGTCTCAAAAAGTGCCAAGACAAAAGCATCAGAATAATCAATGTGAGTGATTTGGTCAAGGTTGATGTTGATGTGGACTTTGATATGAATAATGCATATACGTTAACGGAAAGAAATATCATCTATAATCTTCTCGCCAATGTTTCTAAGTGTTGGAGATATGACCATCTCATGGGGGACTCTCACTCTTATGTAGAACTGTCAAATGGGCTGTCCAAAGCCCAATGGTCATGTCCATTTGGACCATTATTTTCATGGGCTCTAATGGTTTGGTTCTTAATGGACAATGGTCTAAAAATTTGTTTAATTTTAATTTTAATTTAATTTTTAAAAATGAGTTTAATTTTTCCCCAAAATTGAATAACCCTAGTTTTTAATGAAACTGGGCCGACCAATTGTCCGTATGGGCTAGCCCATTATGTCCATGGACAAAATTAGTCTTTTGACCAAATGACCTATTTTATTTATGGGCTGACCACGGACCGTCCATAATATTTTGGACTGGGCTTAGCCCATGGTCGGATGACCATTTGACAGTTCTACTCTTATGGTATATATACACAATCGATCTCTAAACTTTTCCATTAGTCAATTTTGTCTATTAAATTATTGTTTTTTACGCAACCCCACCTCTACCAGATCTTTTAAGGCACACGACTAACAAGAAGTTGACGTAGTTAAACGTAGTCAACCGCAGACGATTAAAAGCATAAGAAGAGAGTTTCATTTCCGCCGGAATATTTCATCTCCGGTATGTTAAACTTCACCTTACTCTACCCTCCGGTCACTGAACCATGTTTGCGCTTCCACTTCATCTTTTGTTGGTCTATATAACGTCAATTTTTAGTTTAAACGATCGAGAGCACAAGGATCTCTCAAGCATGCTTATATATCAGAGGCCAAATTTTGAGAAATTAAGGTTTGCAAATTGTGAAATTCGTTTAATCTGGTTGTTTTTGAATGAATTTCAGGTGTCTTTGTAGTTGTCAAGAAAATCTTGAAACAAAAGCTATGCAAGGAGGACGAGTTGGTACAAGTGGGGAAGACAGGTTAAGCATATTACCTGAACCATTGTTATGTCATATACTTAGCTTTCTTAGGACTAAAGATTCGGTTAGGACAAGTGTTTTGTCCTCTAGATGGAGAGATCTCTGGCTTTGGGTTCCTAGATTAGACTTGGACAAATCCGACTTCTCAGATGACATTCCCTCTGCCAGTTTCGTCGATAAGTTTCTGAATTTTCGAGGTGAATCTTACTTGCGTGGATTCAAGTTAAACACTGACCACGATGTCTATGACACTTCTCCACTCGAGGCCTGTCTGATGAGACTTGTTAAGTGTAAGATTCAGCATTTTGAAATCCAGAATTCTTTTGGCTTTTGTATCCTCATGATGCCTTTGATCCTTTCGATCTGTCACACATTGGTAAGCTTGAAACTCAGTTTCGTAATTCTGAGTAAATTTGGGTCTCTTTCCTTGCCCTGTCTCGAGATAATGCACTTCGAAAAGGTTATATTTCCCGGTGACAAGGCTGCAGAGGCACTAATCTCATGCTCTCCGGTTCTTAGAGATTTGAAAATAAGCCAGAGTAGAGATGATGCTGTAGAAGTTTTACGCGTCTGCTCTGCCTCACTAAAGAGCTTCACTCTGAAACGGACGGATCGTGATTTTGTTGGAAATGGTGGATATACAGTTGTGATCGATACTCCGAGACTTGAGTATCTGAATCTCAAAGATTACCAATGCAAAGGCTTCAAGATAGTCAGTATGAGTGAAGATGTCAAGGTTGATGTTGATGTTATATTTGAAGTGATAGGTGGTACCGTATTGTCGAAAAGAAATATCATTTGTGATTTTCTGTCCTGTGTTTCAAATGTCAGATATATGACCATCTCTAGGAGGAGTCTTGAGGTATATATATACACACACAAACTGATCTCTAAACTTTTCCCTTAGAATTTTTACTCAATCTACTCTATCTGGCAGTTCATCTATCGTCACCTGGAATTGAAGCCACGATTCAAATTTCATGACTTGGCTCGTTTGCGTGCTACTATGTTCTCAAACTCCTCTCCGGAAATGTTGCCAGTCATTCTTGAGACATGCCCGAATCTGAAACACCTCACCTTGGTGATGATTTGCTTAAACTTTTTACAAGTTCTTAGATAGTTAGCTTCCTATATGTTATTCACTCACCTTGGTTTCTATGTTGTCGATTTGGGGTTTACAGGAATTGGTTCATGATTCTCTAGTAACAGAAGGGACAAGTGGACTTTTGACTGTCCCGCCTCGTTGTTTGATATCATCCCTTGAATCTGTTAATATCGAAAGCCCGATCACGGGTAAAGCAACGGAACTGAAACTGGTTAGCTACTTTTTGGAGAACGCGACAACACTGAAGAAGCTTGTTCTACGTTTGAATCAGTCTTTTCGAGATAAACACGAGCCGGGTCTCTTGAAACAAGTCTTAGAATCTCCAAGGTGCTCTAGTTTGTGTCAACTAGTCATTATCTGACAGCACGTTGTCGATGCAGTACACAGTTGATCTTGGTTTATGATAAAGTCTTTTGCTTTTTTGATACACACTGAGTAATGAATGTATTTCTTCTCAAGAATGCTCAAACTGAAACTTACAAAGTCTAAACATCAACTTAACTTGAGAAGTTATTCTTTTGATCTTGGCTTCAAAAGAATTCCGTCACTTCATCTTCTGCTCAGTGAAGAGGACATGACGGTTGACACGAGGATCGTACTTACGGAACTCGAGCTTCTCAAGAAGGCCCTTGGTACTCTTCCTCTTGACATAGAAGAATCCAGTTCCAGCAGCTGAAACAAGACGGATGAACATGAACGTCTTCTTCCTCTTGTCCCCCATTTTCTCACTTCAAAACACTACAACCATAGAGGAGTCCATTAACGATCAAAATTTCAATTTCAATAATTGAATCATGCGACCTTAAAACCTAAACTAAAGACCAAAGTACAATGACGAACTCTTTTCTTCAATAGCATTGAAAGATTCCGGTGAATTAACAAAAAGATGCAAATAAATTGTTTTTAAAGGCCTAGATCACTCGATGAAATGGGCAAGAAAAAGCTTGCGCTAATCACAACATGAAACATTAGAATTCACCGAATGCAACTTCAACAAGAAAAAAATCACTCACAGATGATCAAACACCGATCTAAAAGTAACAGAAACTAGAAAACTTACAGATGGTAAAAGCCTAAAAGGCGACGACACGGCGGGGATACGACGGCGGAGATGAAACGGGAATGAGAAGAAGGAACACACTGTCACTAAAAAAAGTGAAGACGACACTAAATTATTTTCATTCGGCCCATTAAATTGAAACTGTGCACTTTAACTTTAAGACTCTGATTAGGCCCAATGTGGCCCATGTGCTTCAGCTACTCACCTGGTTTTGTTCTCTCTCTCTTCTATTTCCCGTCCGACTCAGTGGAGAAGAAGAAGAAGATCCAAATCGATCCGTTGAAAAGGTATGTCACTGTTCATTCTTTGCTCCTTCACTCGTTATCTTCCTGTTATCTTCTGGTGTGGATTCTTGTGTTTGGATTTTAGCTTTTAGCTAAGGAATTGTAGATTGGATTGGATTAATTTTAAATTTCTCCATTCGGATTCTGGTTCAGGGATTTTGAATTTCTGAGTGATGTCGAGTGCGGTTGACGCTACGGGTAATCCGATCCCTACTTCGGCGGTGTTGACGGCATCGGCGAAGCATATAGGTATGAGGTGTATGCCAGAGAATGTTGCGTTCCTCAAATGCAAGAAGAATGATCCAAACCCTGAGAAGTGCCTCGACAAAGGTCGTGACGTCACTCGCTGCGTGCTTGGCTTGTACGTATCTTTAACTCATTTTTTGGTTCTCTTTCGCTAGTTTAGTAGTTCTGGCTTTCTTTGGTTGATTGTCTTTAGGAAGCCTTTGTGTTTATTTTGAATATGGTAGTGAGCATCAAATGATTGATTTAGGGTTCTAATCTTAGTGTGTATGCTTGGAGTTCAGAAATGGGAGCCGAACGGGTAGAGATTCCGTGTTGATTTTCTGGACCTCACGAAATTGGGGGCTTCAGGGATTACTTAGTTCGAGTCTTGATTTTGGATTACTTAGCCATGAGCATGAGACCGTAAAAAAAAGCACAAATAAGTAGTTATGGAAGTCATAGGGTCACCTAGATCAGCCATCAAATCTTTCATAGAGCTCAGGTCGTTTTGAACATGATTAATCAACGAGTCAAAGTTTGTATATGGTTAAGAGTTCAGAAAGAGCTATATTTGCCTTGCATTTTCAGCATTGTGGTATGCCTGATATTCGTAACCCATGCCATGTCTTTTCTGCATCATGTTTTCTTGAACTGGCACACACCAAGAAATAGTTCTGTACTCTCAGATGTTGGCCAAGTAGAGATAGATTCATACTACTAAAAGCCATTAAGCAGCCATTTCCTTTCCCTCCAGCTGCTCTTCTAAGACTTAGCATTGATGTTTATAAGTTGATTACTCGTATACAATATGATGTAGTGCTCTAATAGTATAATATCAAACTAAGAAGACTTTGAACTTTTTGAGCATAGTGACCAGCAATCTGAATCACTCAGACCGTAGATTAATGATGTTAGGACATCATATGATTACCTCCGGTAACGGATTAGTTTTTTACTTTTTCTGATGAATTTTGCAGGCTGAAGGATCTTCACCAGAAGTGCCAAAAAGAGATGGATGATTATGTTGGGTGTATGTATTACTACACAAACGAGTTTGATCTGTGTAGGAAAGAGCAAGAAGCCTTCGAGAAAGTGTGCCCCTTGAAATGAGAATCACAAGTTGTTATGTTTTGATTTGTATCTCCCTAATAAAGCAAAATGTTCATTTTTGAATGAGCTTTACTCTCTTGTTTGTTTGTTATCCCATTTTTTCCTCTCAAATGCTTTCATAGCGAGTTCTCAAAGAATGACTCAATTTAAGTTGTACCAAGGAATAATGGTTTTATCTGCTTATGTTCTACCATGCTTGAAAGTTGACACTAGTAGCAGTAATAGAGAACCCTATATTGCAGTGATATTATTAAGGTTACGCTTGTGAATTGGAAAAGCATAAACTTTGATTAAATAATATTTTCGAGAATAATTTAAGGTACATTACAAAAGAAGAAAGGGGAATTTAAGTTGGGTTAACTAAGAACGAAACAAACAAACAAAACACAGAGAGCAAAAAAGACAGTGAAACACATTCATAGTAAAACTTCAGATCTTATGTCCACTGAGAAAGTTGCCTTCTTCAAAGCCAGAAGAACATCTTAGAACTTCAACGACTGCAAAGAACCACGTTAATAGAGATAGAGACAGACAATATAGATGAAATCAACTCAATCAAGTCCTCAAACTCAGGGAAGCGTTTTGATTAAATAACAATGCAGCTCTTTACCTCAAGGATCGAGAGCGTGACCCTGACAGACTTCGAGACTTAATTGGAGTAAGCACTCTTTCCTCTCTAGGACTTCTACAGTTTCTCCTTGGGCTTCGAGACACATTGCTAGACTTGTATTCCCTCTCATTTTGGGGCAAAGGGGAACAGGAAATAGATCTTGGCCTTCGAGGAGAGTACAAATCCTCCTCTCGTACTTTATTGTGTCTGTGCCTGTGGAAATGTGAAAAAACAAGGAATAAAAACACTTAACATGCTGAGACAATTAACTTGATTTCCCTAAACACTTTAAAGATAACCTGTTTAGGTTTAGGTTTAGGCATTTGTTATTGTATATGCTCACTCTCTCTTTGATAAGACTCTAGCTAACCAAAGCTGGTGAAGATGATATTTGGTTTAGGTTTTAGAAGGAAAAAAACCCCAAAATAAACATTTTTCTACAAGACTTATCAACTTAGAAGTGTCCAATTTGTGCCTTTTCATTGTATTATCCACAAACAACTGACAGACAATCTAAGTGACTATGAATCAGTGCTGCTTGCATTCACATGATCGAGTTACAAGAACAAAGAAAGAGTCTTATCAAAGAGAGAGTGAGCATATACAATAACAAATGCCTAATAGACGAGAATCAAACCTTGAGTCTCGCCTTGGAGGAGAACGCGAACGTGAATGAGCTGATGAACAACAAAGGACTCAGTTAGTAAACATCACAAGGTACATAGGTATTGTTCTAACCATAAACTGTAGTTGTCCTGAAACATATCAAATGGTTAGAAGCAAACTAAAAAGCTACTTACAACGATATCTACGCCTTGGTGATCTCTGTGAAGACCTCTTGTAGTCCCCGTGTCGACCACTGTATTAAACCAAATAGGAGTTGGAAGTAAATGAGATAATTACTTACAACGCATTTACATTTACGGAAAACCGATTCTTCACCTTGTATGATTAGTTGTACGCATTTCTTGTGGAGTTTTCCGGTTCTCCTCAGCGAAAACAATGGTTATCTCACGTCCACCAATAACTTTGTGATTCATTCGTTTCATCGCCTCAGCTGCATCTTCAGCATTACAGTACTTAACAAATCCAAACCCTCTCGGCTCCCTAAACCACAAAACATCATCAAATCGTAGTTATAGGTACCTGCTCAAACAACACATACTTGAGGTAATGAACATGAGCATTTGTAATGTCAATTCTCAGAATCCATATACATTGTTAGAAGAAATCACCAGTAAAGCTAAAGCTCTTCTAGGAAACAACTATAAGCATCTGATTATAAAAGAGAAAGCTTGAGGACATACCCAGTATAATAATTCCTTGGCAGGTATATGTCCTTGAGTGGACCAAACCGTTCAAACGAATCCCTAAGATCGTTTGGCCTGAAAACAAAAAAGAACAAACATTTCAGAAATTGTGCCAATTAATCAACAATTCGTTGAAAACCAACACATGTCGATGAACAATAGAGAAAGAGGAAGACCTAGCATCGAGAGGGAGATTACGGATGAGCAAACCAGAAGGACCAGAGGATTCCTGGTCACGAGAAGACGGGCGTTCACGGTGGCGATTATCGTCGTAGCTTTTCCGTTCACGAGGACGGGGACTATAGCTTCTGCTCTGGCTCCTAGCTCTAGCCATCGAAGATTTCACAGTTTCCTCTGCTTTAGGTCTTCTGAGTAATTGAATCGCGAAACCCTAACCCTATCGGGGAACGAGTTAGAGAGTGAAATTTGGAGGGAGACAGGAAGGAATCGACGACTGTCTGAAAGTTTCAAAACAACAGTTGTCGGAAGCTGCTATGGTCTGGCTTGTTTATGGGCTTATAGATTTAAAAATATTATGGGCTTGCAGATAAAAAATATTATGGGCTTAATCTAATCAAAATTTACAAAAATAATAATATTACGGACTCGTCCCTTTTGACTCGTCCGGGTCATGGAATTTCCTAAAACTCGGTCACCCAAATTAAAAATCAAAACCCTTCGATAAACCTCCCTCGCATCGTTTCCATAACAACCCGGCGGAGACGAAATGTTCGCCGTTTCACCGTCGTCCTTCTCGCCGACAACCATATCTCCGGTAAGTTCCATTTCTTTTCCTCGCCCCCATTTCTTTCCCCCATTAGAATCTTCGTATTCTGACTGAACAATTTCTCTCGCTCTTGTAGAGCCGTCATAGTGGACAGAGGAACAAACCTCGAAAATTCTCGGTGGTGAGAGCAGGAGCTAAGAGAATACTGTACGGAAAAGATAGCAGAGAGGCACTCCAAGCCGGAATCGATAAGTTAGCTGATGCTGTTTCCATCACCTTAGGTCCTAGAGGTGACTGATTTGATTTAGAATTTGGTTAAAACTGAAGCTGAGATTTGCTAGGTAGTGATTCTTGAATTGATTTTATTTGAATGTGGAATTCACGATGCAGGGCGTAATGTAGTGCTCGCTGAAAAAGATACAATCAAAGTGATTAACGATGGTGTCACCATTGCTAAATCTATTGAGCTTCCTGACACGATTGAGAACGCTGGAGCAACATTAATCCAAGAGGTTATTCATTCATGGTGGCTAAATGATTCCCTTTCTTCTCCTCGTTACTTCATTGTTTGAGCTCTACATGATATGAATTAGTAGTAACCTGAAACTTGCGAGTTTTATTTGTTGTGTAGGTTGCGATTAAAATGAACGACTCAGCGGGTGATGGGACAACGACTGCAATTATTTTGGCTAGAGAAATGATCAAAGCTGGTTCTTTGGCTATTGCTTTTGGAGCTAATGCTGTTTCTGTGAAGAATGGAATGAATAAGACTGTTAAAGAGTTGGTCAGAGTGTTGCAGATGAAAAGTATTCCTGTCAAAGGGAAGAATGATATTAAAGGTTACTTTATACTTATTACCATAGCTAAGTTTTGATCCAACTCCTGTCTTAGTTTTGAAATAATTCTAAAGGGATTTTTGTATTCTGTAGCCGTGGCTTCAATCTCTGCTGGTAACGATGAATTTGTGGGGGACTTGATTGCTGAAACTGTGGAAAAGATTGGTCCTGATGGCGTCATCTCCATTGAATCATCTTCCACTTCAGAAACGTCTGTTATAGTTGAGGAAGGAATGAAGGTTAGTTTCATACTTTAGTTGGATGTTTTAAAAGCTTCACAATGGCAGTTTCACATTTACATTCTTTAAGATTATCAAACAATTGAGTTTTCAGCGGTTTTATGAGGAATATTTCTTTTGTACAGTTTGACAAGGGCTATATGTCGCCTCATTTCATCACAAATCAAGAGAAATCTACTGTGGAATTTGACAAAGCTAAAATCCTTGTGACGGATCAAAAAATCACTTCAGCCAAAGAATTAGTTCCGTTACTGGAGAAAACTTCACAACTGAGTGTTCCGCTCCTTATAATTGCGGAAGATATCTCCGCCGAAGTGCTGGAGATACTGGTGGTGAACAAGAAGCAAGGTTTGATCAATGTCGCTGTTGTGAAATGTCCTGGAATGTTGGATGGGAAAAAGGCTCTGCTACAAGACATTGCACTCATGACAGGTTTTTCTCAATCAATTGTACTTTCCGTGTGTATTTTCACCAACAATTTTCAGTTCTAACATGACAAATGATTTAAATCAGGAGCTGATTATCTTTCCGGAGATTTAGGCATGACTCTCATGGGTGCAACTTCAGATCAGCTGGGTGTTTCTCGGAGAGTTATAATTACAGCTAATTCAACAACAATAGTGGCAGACGAATCAACTAAACCGGAGATTCAGGCAAGAATTGCTCAGATGAAGAAGGATTTAGCTGAGACAGATAATTCATATCTTTCAAAAAAAATCGCAGAGAGAATTGCTAAGCTCACAGGAGGTGTGGCTGTAATAAAGGTCCGATTTTACAATAACCCCTTCCTTTTTTTAATATATTGCAACAACTTGGGGATTTCATAAGAACTTTAATTTTACCTAAGTACGACACAAAAAACTGTTTCAGCTCTTGATATTTCTTTTGAGTCCTCGTGAAAAGATTAGCTTAACCCTGTCTCAATTTAGGTGGGAGGTCACACTGAAACAGAACTTGAGGACAGAAAACTTAGAATAGAGGACGCAAAGAATGCTACATTTGCAGCCATGCGAGAAGGTATAGTTCCAGGTGGTGGTGCCACTTATATCCATCTTTTAGATGAGATACCAAGAATCAAGAAGAATCTAATGGAAGATTCATACGAACAAATAGGTGCAGATATTGTAGCAATGGTAATGATGAAGTGAAACCTGTTTTTTTTTTTTTTAACCATTTCAGGTATTGTTAAAACACCTTCAAAAGTTAAAATCACTTATTATTTGCAGGCACTCACGGCACCTACAATGGCCATAGCAACCAATGCCGGGGTTGATGGATCAGTTGTGGTGCAGAAAACCAGAGAACTCGAATGGAGAAGTGGTTACAACGCAATGTCTGGAAAGTATGAGGATCTTCTAAACGCTGGAATCGCGGATCCTTGTCGGGTTTCAAGATTCGCCCTCCAAAACGCGGTTTCTGTTGCCGGCATTGTTCTCACGACTCAAGCAGTGCTTGTGGAGAAGATCAAGCAGCCTAAACCTGCCGTTCCTCAAGTTCCTGGCATACCCACCTCATGAACACCACCAAAGGTGACAAGCAGAAAAACCAAACTCATGCAGCCGATTTTGTCTGAATCGAAACCTTCGCTCACAAAATGGTGGTTGATGTGTTGTTTTTAACTAAAACATCAAAATCTGTGATGCAATGATATGTGCAGAGTGTGAAAAAAGATTATTGGAATCATTGTTGCTTACTGTGGAAGCCAAGCTTGTTGTAAGCCTCCAAATTATCCGACAAAGCAAGAAGATTGCCCTTGTAATGTTAGATTCCTACGTTGTAAGACCCTAATTTTTTATTATGGTAGACATTAGACATATATATATCGTTTATAGCATTGTCTTTTATCACTATGTCTGTATGTAATCTTTCATCATTCAATAAGCTAACGATTAAGTCAAATATGCATTTTCAATGTTACTCGAAAGTCTATTCCAATAAGCCATCCATCAGTACTTGGTAATTTGCTCTCCGTTGGACTATATATATAAGAGACTTCTCAATCTCACCTGACCCTTCTGCTCTCCCAGGATTCAACTTTATGTTGGTGATTCAATCATTCATGGTGTCATCATTGATTCTTGGGCCCGTACTGGCCCATCTGAAAAGTGGGCTTATCTCCAATATTCTTATTCCCCAATCATTTAATTTAAGCATGTCATGCAAAAATGTTATTTCTATAAGAAAACAAAATAAAGTAATGTTTTAGTAGTACCGAAGGTTATAATATACATCACATGGCAGATGAGAGACGTGTCTATATTCTGGTGGTAAATGACTTGGAAGGAGAAGGCCAAAATTCCACCGTTATTATTGGAGAACAAAGAAAAAAGCGAGAGAGAGAGAGCACTTGGGGTCGCTCACCTCCCAAGTAACACTGATCCGACGTCGTTTTCGATAACGATGGAGGAACCGTTGATTTCCTCAAACTCACGTAGCTTACACGCGACTCTCCTTTCAACCAATCACGTGCTGCCACCATAAGCGCGTCTCTCTCACGCCCCGACACTCCCTCCCTACGACACAGAGAGAGATAGCTTTGCATAAGTGCAAAGCTGGTTTAATTAGAGCACCCACAGTGGCATATGTGTGGGTATAGGTGTTAATAAATTTATATTGTTATAATAAAAGAGAGAGAAGTCCCACCAAAAAAAAAAAAAAGAGAGAGAGAAGAGAGAGATAGAGAGAAGATAAATGATTCTCCACTCATAACGCGCCACGTGGCCGTAACACTCGAGTCTTATGTAACACCCGAATGCAACATCCTCAGCCACTGTTTACTTATTTTCGAATTTTTTAGTCCTCACATCCCACCAAAAAATATGCCACTGGTTGCTCTTAGTACTAACTTCTTCTTTTTTTTGATAAAAACTTAATGCATCTACTTCGTATTAAAGATTGATTTATGAAATATATATTGCCATATGATTTTAAACCCTTGTGGATATTATAACAAGATGTAGTAATAAGTCCAACCATTATGCAGTAATCCCATTCGAAAACGATTGTGTTATGAAACTATTTTGGGTTTGTATTAAGTTGTTCTATGTCAAAATATTTTACATTGTGGTGGTGAAATTTCGGTGTTTTACTTTATGGCGGGTCTGCATTGTTCTTTTCTTCGGTGGATGTGGAGTTGGCATTCATTGGCCGTCGCTTCTCGTTCTACATCTTGAGTTTTTGCTCGTCGATGCGAATGTGGTGGCGTTCATGGTGGTGGTTAATGCATTTGATAGTTTGCTAGGAAAAAATTGTAAGCACCGCTTGATCCGAGGTATTAAGAGCTAGCTTCAGATCGTGGTTCACTCCTGGCAACACAAATGACTTTTTCATGTCTTTTTCCGTCAAAACCTATTTTTTTCATTGATTTCATTTCTATTTGTGGTAGTTTTTCGTAATGTTGCTTGTGTGGTAGATTTCGTTATTTTATATATTTTCGTTGTATTATTTATATGGTGTAAAAAAACTTTAAATAGTTGAAAATTTATAATATTACCAAAAGAATATCTTTTCACATTGAAAATAAAATGAATCATTCTAATTTTTATGAATCAATTTTGACTTGAAAATTTATGATTTTGAAAATAATAGTGCTATATATCATATGATGAATTGTCTGATTTTGTTTTTTGTGACAATATGTGAATAAACTATATAGCACGATTAACTAATCATGATTGTGTTTATTAGTTCAACGAGTTCATGTTGATTGAGTCATTTCATAAAATAAAAATGTAGACTATTTTAGATAATCTATTTTATTTTTGTTATTACTACAATATAATTCATGTATAAAAAAATAAAATAAAAGTTTTGGTAAGAAAGCTATTTTCCCAGAATTTGATGACTTTATGCAATTTTACCTAAAAGCTAAAACCTTTCAACCAAAATCACCAACTTCCTTAACAACCGATGGACCTTTCAATATTTCTCTGAATTGAAGACTCAGATGTCTTCTCTGTCGCAATCGCCAACCCCGCCGGAGATGGATATCCAACCGCCGGCATTGGTTAACGATGATCCTTCCACCTCTTCCTCCGCTTTGTGGGATTGGGGAGATCTCCTTGACTTCGCCGCCGATGAACGCCTTCTCGTCTCTTTAGAATCCGATCAAATCTCTTTCCCTCCCGTTCCTTCTCCTCCTCTTCCGCCGCTGATTCCGACGCAAACTCCGGCGGAATCTGAATTGTATCCTTCTCCTGAAGAATCGGGTTCTGGTTCGGATCGGGTTAGGAAGCGAGACCCGAGATTGATTTGTTCCAATTTCATTGAAGGTATGCTTCCGTGTTCGTGTCCTGAGCTTGATCAGAAATTGGAGGACGCTGAGCTGCCGAAGAAGAAACGGGTTCGCGGCGGGTCGGGGGTGGCTCGATGTCAGATTCCGGATTGTGAAGCGGATATAAGCGAGCTCAAAGGGTACCATAAGAGGCATAGGGTTTGTCTCCGGTGTGCTAACGCCAGCTCCGTTGTCCTTGATGGAGAGAATAAGAGATACTGTCAACAGTGTGGAAAGTATGTTTCTTTTTTTTGGTTTTCTTGGCTTTGAGATTTGATCATGGAATTTAGAATTGGATTTGATAGCTGAATCCAGCGGGAACTGTCTTAGTTAATCTCCTATGCATCTCCTGGGCTTTTTATCTGTGGTTGACTTAGGTGTTGTTCAGAATTGTTCCTGAGATTTGAATTGCAGCACAAAAATCATCGAAGATCGGGATGGTTTTCTGTTGTCTGTTTGATTGGGATAGGAACTTTGAATCTCTTCGTTAGGAAATTGGATAACTTGGGGAGAGATTTGAATGATTCCACGGAATTCACATGAATCATTAAATGAGCTTAACTGGGTTTTTTTCGCCGTTACCAACTGTTTAGTAGTCAGTATTATTGTTTATGTATTTATTTTTTCCTATCTATGCTGTATCCATCATTACAGTGAGTACTATTCTGGCAGGTTTCATGTGCTCCCGGACTTTGATGAGGGAAAACGCAGCTGTCGGAGAAAGCTAGAGCGTCACAACAACAGACGGAAAAGGAAACCTGTAGATAAAGGAGGCGTTGCTTCAAAACAACAGCAAGTGCTATCACAGAATGATAACAGCGTCATTGATGTTGAGGATGGAAAAGGTATAAGTGAACAGCAAAAAACATATCACCATGTGGTTTATTTGTTTTAGTTGTTTGCTTTGCATATTATCCTAGTTACCAATGTTTTGAGTTCTCTTGGAAAATCAAGCTGATTTGCTTGTCCATGCTATCATTTTTAAGCAGATAATACATGCTCTAGTGACCAGAGAGCAGAACAAGAGCCTTCACTGATTTTTGAAGATCGGCATATTCCCACTCAGGATTCTGTACCTTTTACCCAAAGCATCAACGCAGACAACTTTGTCTCTGTTACAGGTTCAGGTGAAGCTCAACCAGATGAAGGAATGAATGACACAAAATTTGAACGTTCACCTTCCAATGGCGACAATAAAAGTGCTTACTCAACTGTGGTGAGTTTCTCTTCAACCACTCTAACATCAAAAACGTTTGTGCGCTTTATGAACTAATTTTTCATTTCATTGTAGTGCCCAACTGGTCGGATCTCTTTCAAGCTCTACGATTGGAATCCAGCGGAGTTCCCACGGAGACTACGTCATCAAGTATTCTCAAGAATTATATATTACAGTTTAGTGTTCAGAGACTATGTTTACCCTTTTCAGAATCTCAATGAACTAATATCATGTGATTAATTGAATTTGCAGATATTCCAATGGTTGGCTAACATGCCTGTTGAGCTGGAGGGCTATATCCGTCCAGGATGTACAATTTTGACAGTCTTTATAGCAATGCCAGAGATTATGTGGGCGAAGGTACATTCTGTTATCTTTTACTCACCATTTCCATGTTCTTGATGCGGCGACACAACGTAAGAAATTGTTTCTTTTCAGTAGGGTGTAGTCTCAAGATGTCACCTTACCCTCATAAGTACCTTATACACATTAAAGCTCTTACGTTTTTGTGTGACCTAAAGTTCTTTTGTCGTGCACAAAAAAAAAAAAAAGTTCTTTTGTTTCTAAAAATTGTGTATTATTTGGAAGCTTGTATCCTGGAGGGAGAAAATACAAACTTAGTATCTTCTTCCCGTGAGCTCTCTTTTAACTTTGCACTGTAATAAACTTTTCCAATTTGTTCCTTTAAACAGTTGTCTAAAGATCCTGTGGCATATCTGGATGAATTTATTCTTAAACCTGGAAAGATGCTATTTGGAAGAGGCTCGATGACGGTCTATTTGAACAACATGATTTTCCGTCTTATTAAAGGCAAGTTGGTGTGCATTGCTTGTTTTCTCTGTGTGTTTTTTTTTCACTCCCTATCATATTGGATAACCATAATTTCGTGAGCTTACAATTAATGTGAACTAATACTTATTTGTTTTGGTTTTGACAGGTGGAACAACTTTAAAGAGAGTCGATGTAAAATTAGAGTCACCGAAACTTCAGTTTGTGTATCCTACATGTTTTGAAGCTGGAAAACCAATTGAACTCGTTGTTTGTGGACAAAACCTTCTGCAACCCAAATGCCGGTATGAATGTCAACCCTTATTTTGATCTATGCTTTGGACATCTCTGGCATTTTTAGTTTTGTCTTATTTCTCATATGAGGAAGCTGATATTGCAAGAACTTTCAAAATGTTGCATTTCGATTACTACCCATCATTTTTTGGTTTGATTTCTTTCACTTGTGACCACTATAATGTTCTAGATAGGAAAGAACAACATGCTGCTTACAGATAATGGTTTCATTGTAGGTTTCTCGTGTCTTTTTCTGGGAAGTACTTACCACATAACTATTCTGTTGTACCTGCACCGGACCAGGATGGGAAGCGTTCTTGTAATAACAAGTTCTATAAGATCAATGTTGTGAATTCTGACCCAAATCTCTTTGGCCCTGCCTTTGTCGAGGTACCCATTTTTTTGCGGATATACATTTTTAGTAGTAGCTCTTTCTAATATGGTCCTCATCTAATCCTTTTGTAGGTTGAAAATGAATCTGGTCTATCAAATTTCATACCTCTAATAATTGGAGATGAAGCTATATGTTCAGAAATGAAACTAATAGAGCAGAAGTTCAATGCTACACTCTTTCCAGAAGGACAAGGAGTTACCGCTTGCTCTTCTTTGACTTGCTGTTGCAGGGATTTTGGGGAGAGACAGAGCACCTTTAGTGGCCTCTTGTTAGATATTGCATGGTCAGTGAAGGTGCCCTCTGCAGAACGCTCTGAGCAACCTGTGAACCGATGTCAGATAAAAAGATACAACAGAGTGTTGAATTATCTGATACAGAATAACTCAGCGTCAATCTTAGGAAGCGTACTGCACAATCTGGAAACTTTGGTGAAGAAAATGGAGCCAGACAGTCTCATTCACTGTACCTGTGACTGCGACGTGAGGCTTCTACATGAAAATATGGATTTGGCGAGTGACCTTCACAAAAGGCATCAAAGCCATAAAGAGTCAAAGGTGAATCCAGGGAATGTTCTTTCTTCTTCAGGTTGCTGTTGTGTGAGTAGTTTCCAGAAGGACATACCATCAAGAATATTAAACTTCAATCAGGTTTTTCACTAATACCTGATATCCCCATTTTCCTGTTTGATCTATACTGGACTCTGCCCACAATATTCACTTGTCTTGCACATTTGGTTTCTTGCTCCACTGCTGATAAATTAATTTTGTGTTTCATGGTATCTTTGGCACGTTATGACGATATTACTGGAGTCTGCGCACAATCTTGTGTCTGTTTCGTGTTTTTTTTTTTTTTTTGGCACAATTTCCTTTATTAATGTTTGCCATTCATCATGTTTACAGGATCCTGAAGCAGGATTAGATTGTAAAGAGAGAATACAGGCGGACTGTTCACCAGATAGTGGCGGAAAAGAGACTGATCCTCTTTTAAACAAAGAGGTTGTCATGAACGTAAATGACATAGGAGACTGGCCAAGGAAGAAGTCCTGTATAACAACACACTCAGCTCTAACATTCAGGTCCCGTCAAACCGTGTTCTTAATCGCTACGTTTGCTGTCTGTTTTGCGGTCTGTGCGGTTCTCTACCATCCAAACAAGGTCACACAGCTTGCAGTGGCAATCCGAATGAGATTGGTACACAAAATTTGAATAAAAGTTCAATAGCAGAGCTAGACTCTCATTAACGTGTGTTCATCAAAAAGCTTGAAGAGAGCTGTATGAAAAGCTTGTCTCAGGTTTCAACAGAGCTCAGCTACAACAGCTTCTCAGAGAGATTCCCTTCAGAAAGAGACAAGATGGTTAATGATCAGATTAGTTCTTGCTCTTTCTGTGTGTTCTTCTTCCCAATTTCTTTAATACTGGTGATGCTGCAACTGTAATAACAAGAAATGGTCTGATTAATGATTGATTATCCCTCATCGAATAGCGTTTAATGTATATTAGGGTTTACTTTGCTCACTGGAACTTGTTTTTTTGTTTGTTTTGTTTCTTGGTCTAAGAAATGATTCTTCAACAAACCCTAATCGTAATTTTCTACTTCAAGCAATGTCTTGGCTCTTGAGATCCCTAAACTGTTTGATCACCTCTATGAGCAAGTTTTAATTGTGAATTTTTATTATTATTGTCAGTCCAATAGATTAACAAGTAACATAATAATTTGATTTTTGGAAAGATAATAATTTGACTCTTTTTTTTTTTTTTTTTCCTTTTTTGAAGTACCTACTGTATTAAGAATTTAAGATAATAAGAGGCATGTTGGATTGAGAAATCGGCAATGAGATTGATTGCAACATAGAAGGCAAATGGGTAGAAAAAGACAAAGGAGATGAGATTTGAAAACAACGAAGAGACACACATATATTTTAATGCGTCAGTTCTGAGTCATATATTTTGGTAAACGACAACATTCTAACATTTTATTAATTGGCTAAATAGTAGTATTCACCTTTCTTTAAACATATCAAACGCTAGCTTTAACGTGCTGATTTGAACAAATATACTAATCTATTTTGCCTTTTAAAGTTTGCTTAAACTAAGCCTTTCTCTCTAACAAAAGAAAACTATTAGAGATTGATTACTTGGACGTATGCAAAAGATATACAATTTTTACTAGAGATTTTGTATAAGTTCATTTCATTTTTGCGTGGTTGCTGCGTTTGTTCAACAACTAACGTAAAGAAATTGTACTTTAAATTTGTCTCATTGATTGGAGATATTTGTATAAATTCATTTCAGTTTTGCAATGAATTATTATGTTATTATAAGAAAAAATAAATAACACCTTATATTTTCGAAAGAGAAAAATATAATGCTGAACTCATCTTATTCCGCACACCAAAATAGTGACTTCATGCGTTCAAACATATGATTTGGTACATCAAAATTATGTCCGACCGTACGTGCATGTACCTATATTATTGGAAAATTCAGAACTTGTACCTAACAACACATCACATGATTCAGTGAACTATATGATATGCCATGCCATGACCCAAATGCGTTGTATGATAGCCTAAAATCACTGTCTTAAGATTTTTTTAAAAAACAATAAGCAAAACAGTTATATCAAATTTCGTTTGTAATTACAAAAAAAAAGTTCTTTGATTAAGGAAGCTTTATTTAGGTCATGTTTATTAATTTAATGATAATAAAATTATCTAGAAGTAAGATAAACCATCGGATTAGAAAAGTCCATGCATGAAATCCCATATCTACGGCATAAACAGAACCCAGACACAAATATCTGTGGAAAGACGATTTTTGATAAGATTTTTTCTTTATTGAGAACAATCGAGAGGTTGAAAGCTGACAAAAGGTAAGATATTACAATATACAAAATTACGTAATAAAGCTTAAGAAGAAAAACCAATAAACGCAAACAAAGCTAATATAAAAACATATCTAGCTATATAAGTAAGTATATATGTGGACAAATGTAGCTGACAGCCGTATGTGGTCGCAATCACGATGGCTAGTTTAGAAAACAAAGACCCACATGGTAAGCTATCAACATGAAATCCGAAATTATTTTCAAAACAATTTGATAGAGAATGACAAAGGTTAATTTATTGTAGAGTAAAAGTTAAAATTTTATGATCATTTCGATCTTTTTAATATGAATTCTTTCCATTTCATGAATATTAGACTTTTAGATCTTTTCAATACCATTGTTTTAGTTTTTGTGTAATATAATAATGAATGACTTAAAACATGAAAAAAAAAAACGTTATATGTTTTGTTCGATGTATACAGTTACATATTACATTGAATCTCACAAGAAAGGAAAATTGTAGTAATATGAGATTGCATTACACTTTAAAGATTAGATCTAAATAGTAATAGTAATGTGAAAGAACAAAAATAAAACTTATTAGGTAGTAAAAAAAAAGAAGAGAGTGAACTGGAGATGACTAACTCTAGCTAGGGGTAACATCAGAGCCAAGTCAGTGACAGCTTCATCCCACATGAACTATTTTTGTCAGTACTAATCTCAATCATTATCGCATTTAATATTTTATTTATCAAATTTGCCGCCGAAGGACAAATATCTTAAAAATCTTCGTCCCATGTCGAGACTTTACATACATCTATTACCTATAAATACCCAATTCACAAACCAAACTCTTCACATCACTCTCTCTTTCCTTGCAAACTTTCTGCTCTCAAAGAGTAAAGAGTTGGAAAGAGAGAAGATGGCAATTAGGGAAATCAAAGACGAAGAGAGGGGTGAGATAGTACATAAGGTAGAGGAGGGTCTAGGGAAACCATTTTTGACTCATCAAGATGATGAAAAAGAGAGTGAAATTAATGAATCTTATTTGATGGTTCTCTTCAGCACTTTTGTTGCTGTCTGTGGCTCCTTTGAGTTTGGCTCTTGTGTAAGTTTTTGCCTTTAGAGAGAACACTCTCTTTCAATCAGAGGTTTCCTTTATAGTTTCCAACCTCTGTCTTAACTAGTTCACCTAACTATTTTCTCAGATTTTCTTTTGTAATTATTTGTTAAAGGTTGGATACTCATCCCCTACTCAGTCATCTATAAGACAAGATCTCAATCTCTCCCTTGCAGAGGTTTGTATCAACTAGGACTTTTCAATATTTTAAGTTTACATTTTTGTATCCGTAACTTCCCGAAATCACAAAACCCCAGCACGAAAAGTGTGAAAGAAAAAAGGTATTAACAAAAAAAGAGAGCTTACAGTTGGTTCATGACTGGCAGATTATATTGATTTGTCGAAAATTTAATTTGGACATGAAGATTCTAGACAATTAATTTGTGATTTTCGGTAACTACTACGGAAGAAATATACTTTATCTATTTGCAAAATGATATTAATTGACAAACATTGTAGGTTCTCTGAATTACACATCTTCAGCTAAAGCAATTTTTACACCTAGCTATCATTTAACCTAGTTAGTTAATATGGCTGATTGGCTGTGAACCAATTTTATTCCACCAAGCCATTTAACTATAAATTTTAAATTACAGATTCACAGTATATGTGAGATCATTTTTGTGTGTTGTGTAAAAATATGCAGTTCTCAATGTTTGGATCCATCTTAACAATTGGTGCAATGCTTGGTGCTGTTATGAGTGGGAAAATTTCAGATTTTTCCGGCCGAAAAGGGGTAAATCTTGCAAATCCTAAACTTAAGGGGCCAGGCCAATAATACAAATTCCAAAAAAGATCAATGCTTATATATGTCAAAACTCATTTCAGGCTATGAGAACATCAGCTTGCTTCTGCATTACAGGTTGGCTCGCTGTCTTCTTCTCCAAGGTATTTAACTTTACACATACATACCTATTTGCAACACCGAAACTACATATGCTGAAATTAGTATGGATTTTGATCTTAATATGATGTTAAAATGTGGTGCAGGGTGCATTGTTACTTGATGTAGGAAGGTTCTTTACAGGATTTGGAATTGGAGTTTTTTCTTATGTGGTAATTTACTATCTTTTTTACCAAGTAAATCTTATATAATAACTCTTGAAATCAACTTGTTCTACAGTTTTTTGGGTAAATTATGTTGATATTTATGAACCAATGTTTATAAAACTCTCAGTCTTCAAAGTAACTAAGTCAACAAAAACAGGTCCCTGTGTACATCGCTGAGATATCTCCCAAGAATCTCCGAGGTGGACTCACAACACTGAACCAACTCATGATTGTGATCGGCTCATCGGTTTCTTTCTTGATCGGATCTCTCATTTCTTGGAAAACTCTTGCCCTAACCGGTAAATTTCTCTCTGTTTCTTGGTTACTCTTTATAGAAATTCCCTTTGAAAACTGATCAATATATGTTTTTGGTCTTAAAGGACTTGCTCCCTGCATTGTTTTGCTCCTTGGCTTGTGCTTCATACCCGAATCTCCTCGATGGCTGGTAATTTCCTCTATCTGATACATGATTTTTATCAGTATTTATAGAAAATAAGTTTCCAAAAACTGATCTAAATCTTTCATTCTTTTGCTTTTCCAGGCAAAGGCAGGCCGTGAGAAAGAGTTTCGCGTAGCCCTGCAAAAACTGCGAGGAAAAGATGCAGATATCACAAATGAAGCACAAGGTATTCAAGTCTCGATTCAAGCTCTAGAGATTCTCCCACAAGCAAGAATTCAAGATCTTGTGTCCAAGAAATATGCTCGATCTGTCATTGTAAGTGTAACTCAGAAGCCAAAACACAAGAACTTATCAATCTTTTGTGTATATTTGATTCATTCAACTCAAATCTTTCAGAAGATTAAATGTATTATTTCTCACTTGTGATTGTATATTCTTCAGATTGGTGTTTCTCTGATGGTATTCCAACAGTTTGTTGGAATCAATGGGATCGGATTCTACGCAAGCGAAACGTTTGTAAAAGCCGGTATATAAGATAGACCTCAATATATTTTCTTGTATCAGAACCAAATTCATTTTAGACTCTAACATATTTGTTTAAAACACTTGCAGGATTTTCGTCTGGGAAACTCGGAACAATCGCTATCGCTTGTATTCAGGTGCATAAACGTTTTTGCTTCACTTTATATTCTTCTCTATAATGATCTTATATTCACTACTGTTTAACACAGGTTGATTCGTTTTTATCAGGTTCCCATAACTGTTCTTGGAACAATCTTGATAGATAAATCTGGACGAAGACCATTAATTATGGTAAAATCTTTTAATCTACGAAAAGCATTTTCGAGTCAAATGTTCAATTTATATATATATACAAATGTTGCTGTAGATTTCAGCTGGTGGTATCTTCTTGGGATGTATACTCACAGGGACATCTTTCTTACTCAAGGTTTCATATCATTAACCCTAGCTAAACCCTGTTTTCACTTTGAAATCTATTAATCTGTGCGTGAACGTTCGTCACATAAACTCTGTTATATTTTGGATTCAGGGACAAAGCTTGTTGCTTGAATGGGTTCCTTCGTTAGCCGTCGGAGGTGTACTTGTAAGTAAAACTTAGTTAGTTCTTACTTTTTACTAAAAACAGAATTCAAGAACAGAGCTTTGCGTTAAAGAAATAGTATTGCTCGTGAGACTACTATTAAAAGTCCTGTCTCTGCTTCACTATTCAGATTTATGTAGCTGCTTTCTCTATCGGAATGGGACCTGTTCCTTGGGTGATAATGTCTGAGGTATGTTCCCTTGTGTAGAAAGCAACCTTAATTTGAAACAGATTGTTTTCTTTTGTAGCAAGTAACTTTGTTTAAAAACAGAGTCAATAGTTTTATAAGAGTATACTGAAATGGTGCTCTGTTTTTTGGGGATGAAAAAAACGCAGATATTTCCCATAAACATTAAGGGGATCGCAGGAAGCTTAGTGGTACTAGTGAATTGGTCCGGTGCTTGGGCTGTTTCTTACACTTTCAACTTCCTCATGAGCTGGAGCTCTCCAGGTAACAACACTCTTAAGGGCTTGTTTGCTAGAACAATGTGATCTAACCGCAAAAAAAAAACCGCGTTCCAGAAATTCTTTATTGAGTTTTTTGTTTGTGTAGGTACATTCTATATTTACTCTGCTTTTGCAGCCGCAACGATAATCTTTGTGGCGAAGATGGTGCCAGAGACGAAAGGGAAGACACTGGAAGAGATCCAAGCTTGTATTCGAAGAGAAACATAAGGCGGAATGATACAATCAATTTTTATGGGAATGTTATCAAAAGACTCGAACTATTCCCGGTGGTGAGCTCATGAATGTCGGACGACAAGGGTTTTGCATGAATGTGTTAGAGATAGGTTTATTTTATTTTTATCTATCTGTTCACGTTAAAGTTTTCATCATTTTAGGTTTTTGATTGGTATATGTCGGTATTGTGTAATCGTTCGTGGAAATTAATACACTGAAACCCTCTAGGGTGATCTAAGTTGATGACGTGGCGAAAATTTTATTTATATTATTTTTGTTTTTTGGAATTTGAGTTTTCTCTGTTCTTTGGATTTGGATCACTCGAAGAAGATTAAATGGCGTCTCCATCATCGTCACCGAAAACAAGAATCTGGTTCCGTACAGTGATCATGATCTCTTTAATGGTGGTTCTCTTCTATGTTGGTCGTCCTCTTTACTGGAAGATCTCCGCCACAATTCACGATATCCGCCACAACAAACAATCCGTTAGAGAAGGTAAAACACAGTCACTTTCTATCTCTCGATGGATTCTTGAACTTTCCCGATGCGATGTGTTTTTTTGGATACAGGTATATCGCAGATCGTACACGAAGCGCAGAGATCGGTCGGATGGTATCACGACGAGTCAGATTCAGGGTTCCGGGAAGGTCACAACAAGAAATCAGGAGTCGCTGTATCTAGGAGGCTTCTCTTCGCCGGAGATCAGTGAGAAATTTTCTCCTTTGCTTTCTCAAGTTTTCGAAAAATAATTTGTACTAGTGTTATTGTGTAATGTTGATTTGATCGGATGGGAGTCTCCAATTACAAATCATATCTCAAGTTTTTTAGGTCAACATTTTTGTGTATCGTCTTGTGATGATATGTTGTTATATGTTAAGTTATGGATTTTGTTTGGCTTATACTTTTGCAGATTTGTGAGCTTTTTGCTATTGAGTTTTGAGATTTTACTCTTTTAGTTTGTTCTTTAATTGTGTGATGTTTTGTTTTTCATTTTTTTTATATAACTCAGGTGATCCTAAATGATAATATATGTTGATATTTTTTTGTGGGAATAGATTTTATCCAACGATGAAAGAAAAAAAAAAGAGAAAAAAAATACTAATAATGTATGCAAAAGGATAGATGTATATGTATGATTTTCATCTTGGTGGTGACAAATTTAAGTTGTTTAGTGATGATATATAGATTATAGACGTAAGCACTTTGGTTATTCAACTATTTATTTCCATTAAACAACTTAGGTCAAGCAAAAAAAGAGACTTTCCTACACTTACTATCATTATGGGCCCAAAACTCAAGTGGGTTTTGACCAAACTGAATCATCAAACTCCAACAAAACAAAGCACGTCACCTTTTGGTGCACACGAGAATATTCTTTTTTTTTTTTTTTTTTTTTGATTGAACACTGAATATTCTTTTATGAAGTTTGTATCTTATATACATATATATATCAAGTTGTATCTTCGATATGTTGCTTTACTATTTTACATCCTGAATTGATATGTTTGCAAAAGCGGTGGTCGATAATATGAGTTCACAGTAGCGGTGGTCGATAATATCCGTATTTGTATTCGAGACTCGAGAGTATGTACATCAATTACATAATGTAACCAGGGCAGCAGGGCTGGGTTAAGTATAGGGCTAGTAGTGCGATCACTCAAGTCTATTGAGATAAGAGATTTATTATTTTATTTTATTTTAACAAAAACAGTTTTAAAATAATAATTTATGACCAAAAAGGTATAACAAAAAAAAAGCCCAAAAGAAAATGTTATGAGCAAAAGAGATCTATTTTTAAAATTTATGGGCATAATAAACTTGTTTTAGAAATTTGTCTCAAAACCTATAAAATGCTTAAGCCGGCATTGAATGTAACTATCCGTTCTTGAAATTTTAAATATTAAAAATTTCGAAATGATTCCATGATTTAAAGCTATAATTGACCCTTTTTATTTCAGCTCCCACCTTTAGTTTGTAGTGATGCGAAGCATGCATAGCTATGTCCAACTGGGCATTTTTCTATACATATTATAAAGTATTTTGTATAATTTATCCATGAAAAAAAACAAAAAAAAAAGATAATGTGGGGACCTCCATTCGACCTAGAAAACTTCTATAATTTTGCGGGTTCCTGCTTTGTTATTTGTTAAGCTTATTTCGATCCACATAATTAAGATTCAAGAGTAATTACAAATAATATCAATTCTCGTTTAATAAATTACATGATATATTGTCCAAAACGTAATGTTGAAATGTTGGAAATTATCGTATGAATAACACCAATATATCGTTTTATCCTTTTATATAAAAACTACCACCCTTTGGACAAACTCCTTGAAACCATAATGGAAATTCCAAAAGAATCATAAAGTTTGGATCTTCCGATTTTGACTTCTCGCTTCTTCTTTTCTTTTCTGTGTTGCGACTTATCTTCTTTATTTGCTTATTGAAGTCGAATCTTCTTATTCATAATTACATGGTTACACGCTATGAATATTTTATGGTTTTATGCTATGAATATTTAAATGTATAATGTGGTGTATTTTTAAAACTTTTTTTGCTGGTCACGGTGGGAAGTTCCCATCAGTGTACAGTCTTGCATATCAAAGCGCAAAAAATAAATAAAAAAAGGCATAGGTTGCTTAAACTTTGAAATCAACATCAATATCGATCATGTATAATTAAGATTGTAGAGGATTAAAGTTTGAATACAGCTAATGGAAATGGTATTCCGTACTATTAGAGTTTATAGTTTAATAATTTGTACTACTATATATCCTCAATGTGTTATTATCCAAATCTAAATTTATATCCTACATACATGTTGTTAACCAAAAAAAAAATTAAATTCAATAAGCTAATGGTTGGGCATGCCTATATTTCGTGGTTAAGTCTTCTATTCATGTAGTCTTCCATACATATTAATGGAGTATAAGCTAATGGAGTAATTTTAATGTAAATGGTCCGTTCATCATTTCACATCCTACAAATAAATACTATCACGCATCACATAAGAAAACGACTTTGACTGCTTTATTTAAAAAAAAAATTGAGCAAACAAAAAAAATAGAAGAAAGGGGTCACAGAAAATCATAATTTTACCGATTTAATTACGAACAAAAATACAAAAAAAAGGAGAGCTAATTATATACATTAAACTAAAATAAAACTTGGAATACGTGGACATCTTCCATCGGTGGACTTTCCAACAAGAACCGATCACGTCACGTGATCTAGACGTCGTATTTTCCACGTGATTATGAAGTCAACACTTTTATTTTTCTGTAAACTGTTTGAAAAAATCAAGTCAAACAAAAAAAAATATGTCGGAGAAAATCTTTTAAATTAAAATAAACACACACCCATAACGAGTTTCGTGGTTACACATTTCTCGAATTTTCTCTCTCATTGAATTCTATTTCAAAGTTTATACATCTTTTAATCACAAGTTGTGTGATCTGTTCCTTTTGTTGATGGCCACTCTCTTTGATGACGGATCCGAATCTTTTTCGTTTGGCTAATACTTAGAAGAAAACGTGATCACAAGTGGAAAATTTCAATTAAAAAACTATGGTTGATGAATATCCGATCTCTTGTACTATTTGTAACAAGTACGATCACATCCCAGAAAATTAAACGAAAATAAAACAAAGCTATACATCATGTGACCAAGGAAATTTAGAGATATTGATCTCTTTTGGTGACCAAATAAATATCTAAATGTATGAAACATAAGAAATATATAAATACACGCACGTGAATCATGTAAATTTTTTTTACTCTTCAAAATTTTCATTTATGGTCGGATGTACGTGGAACCAAAATTAAATTTGTGAATATTAAGTTTTAGGTACATAAATTCATGTACTTTTAACCTTTTTTTCATAAACAAGAATCACATAGATGATGTCGCTAATGACGTGATTTAAAAAAAAAAATTAAAAAGAATTTTATGTACGTAACTAAAAGGGTGGTAGTCTAGTGGTTTTTTTTTTGTGTTTTGAAATTCAAACTTTTCTTGGTATGAAAATATAATTATTAAAATCTAAAAGTTGATTCAAGGCCATTAGAAAAGATTATGGGTCAAAAATTAGGAATTTTTACTGTTTATAATGAAAAATATATATATTTATGCACGTATTATTGAGGAGCAGAAAGAATATTGACCGGAAAATTAAAAGAAGTAGGGAAAAAAAGACCTCATTAGTCATTAGTCACAAAAAAAAAACCGTGGGAACCTTCAAGACGCATTCGAAGGAAGTTGACTACAAGTTTTTCCGTACTTTTCTTTTTATATTACCTAATTTAGATGTCAATAACTTTTTTTTTCTTCTCTTTTTTTAATATCGATATGGTCCCTCGTTGCCAACCATTTATCCTTTCCTTTTTTCGTCTCTCTCTCTGCATCTGCACGTCTGTTTATCTTATCTTGATATCCTGTTAACTTGTCACAGAACTGTTTCTGTAAGCCTAGGCTTTTTAAACTTTTACTCCTACAAATCATATCCTTTTGCCAAAAAAATTTCCCTCTAATTTGTAAGGCTTTGATGTAACAGTCTCTCTCCTTTGATTTGTGCTGATTCGTCACTTGATGAATTTCTAATTTGTAAGGCTTTGAAGAACCATCTTCCTCATTCTTTTTACCTCTCATTGATTTTAGTTCATATAATGCTTTCTTGATCTGAATCTTTTGGTTCTCTTGCCATTTGGTGAAACAGATCTTGGGTTTGTTTCAGATTCAGACAAGAAATAGAAACACCAAACTTTCTTTCATCTTCTTCTAAAGATGTTGACGAGCCCAACTTTGAAGAGTTTATGGTTCTTGTTCATCACAGTAGTCACTATTCTTGGAATCTTAGGACAAAACCTCCCTTGTGTTACGTCTACTCCACACCGTATTCTAGTGGATACAGATGTCGACACAGACGATTTATTCGCTATACTCTACCTCCTGAAACTCAACAAATCAGAATTCGATCTAGTCGTAAGCCCATTGCTACTTTATTAATCCCCCCACACCAGCTTTGTTTAACTTCTGTTGTCAATAATGCTCTGTTTTTGAAACAGGGGATTACATTGAGTGCAAATGCATGGACAAACGCAGGACACGCCGTGAATCAAGTGTATGATTTATTGCACATGATGGGTCGTGACGATATCCCCGTTGGTGTCGGCGGGGAAGGTGGGATTCGCGAAGACGGTACTATTCACTCTGACGTCGGTGGTTATTTTCCGATCATCGAACAGGTTTCTTCTTCTTATTTGTTTTCTTGAATAAGTTTTGGTATTAGTTTGGTTTTGAAAATGTGAAAATTGGTGTGTTTAGGGGATGACCACAACAGGAGAATGTAGATACAGACAAGCCATTCCTAAAGGTCTTGGAGGCCTTGTCGACATAGACTCTAATTATGGATTTCGTAAACAGTTTCTTCCTCAGGTATTTATTAAATTTTGACTTTGTATACGTAAATAGAAAATTTACAAAAACAGACACTTTTCGTCACTATTCAAAGACCCTAGAAAAATCCAATTACAGTAATTATATTTTGACAAAATTTCGAAAAAACGAAAACAATGAATTTGAAAATTTCCTGTTTTCAGAAAATTAGTGATTTTCTTAATTAACCTTATAAACATACGGCAGGTTATATAAATGACTTAACTGCAAAAAGTATATTTTATTTTTAACTGTGAAACATAAACGTCTTTCACCGCACTACTTTTAAGTTTTAACTACACTCATCGTATTAACTATACACTATAACTATAATAGCGTCGGTTATCTAAAGAACTATACTAGCTATATTTTATATCATATAGATCGCATGATCCCATCGCACCAACTAAGCTACTTTTAATTGCAACCACCGTTAGAATCTTTTATACTTTGTCAAACTTTGTGGAGAGTTTTGTGTAGACATTTGTGTTGGTATCTCTTCGGCTACACGTGTCCTTAGAACTTAGAATCATAGTAATGGTGGGATTCCAATTGAAGTAGCTGACTTTGTACATCCAAACACTTGTCGGCAACTAATAAGATTCCGATATAGTAGTGACACATATAATTGGAGGTTTAAGATTGGTCGTGTCGTGATATTCCATCTACAAAAAACATAAGATTAATAATTGGTTTCTTTCTAAATATTTTAAGTATCCCTTATTCACTTTTTTTTTTTAATGATATCACAATTTCTTAAAACTTTTAGTGATATACAAAATAATACGAACCTTTCCTAAATTATCTTAGACTCCTACTTGAACGTTTAAGAATCTGTATTTTATATATATACTTTCTAGTGATATTTTTTATATCAGAATTATTATATTTTTGATAAAATTCGTGTTAGTTCAAAAATCTGTCTTAAATAAGAGTAAAAAAGCTCAAAATATCGGTAGTAGCCATTTGTTTTTAAATTTTAGTAATTGTAAGTTGTTTTATATCTAACTAAATATTAAAAAGACGGTTTTTTTGGTTGGTTATGTAATTGTGGGAAAACAGGGGAACAGAAGATACACTCCTCTCCGGCAACCAACGTCTCAAAAAGTGATCGCCGACATAATTTCCGAAGGTCCAACCACTGTGATCCTGATCGGATCCCACACCAATTTCGCACTTTTCTTGATGTCAAACCCTCACTTGAAACACAACATCCAACACATCTACATCATGGGCGGTGGTGTCCGGTCACAAAACCCCACCGGCTGCTGTCCGGCGAACTCCACTGCGGCGGAATGTCAACCTCGACAGTGTGGGAACCGTGGAAACTTGTTCACAGATTATACAAGTAATCCTTACGCTGAATTCAACATCTTCGCTGATCCTTTCGCTTCTTACCAGGTACATTCTTCTACTCTTTAATTTTCTCACAAGGATTTGTTTGGTTTATAAACTACTAATTTTCTTTAAGTCTGTAACGTTTTATAAATAAATATGACATTTGTCTTAGGTCTTTCAAAAGTAGACATAACATGTATTTATTACAGGTGTTTCATTCAGGTGTTCCAGTGACTCTGGTTCCCCTAGATGCAACCAACACTATTCCGATCAACCAAAAGTTTTTTGAGACGTTCGAGAAGAACCAGAGAACATACGAAGCTCAATACGTTTTCTTATCTCTGAAAATCGCCAGAGACACTTGGTTCGACGATGAATTCTATAAGGTAACATTTGTGAATCCATCTCACCAAACTAGATTAAATCAAGAATGTTTCTCTCTTCTTCTTTTTTCTGAATTTTATTTGTGATATTCTCCAGAGCTACTTCATGTGGGATTCTTTCACGGCTGGTGTTGCAGTCTCAATCATGAGAAACTCTGGTAATAAGAACAACGAAAATGGTGAGAACGATTTCGCGGAGATGGAGTATATGAACATAACCGTTGTTACTTCAAACAAACCTTATGGAAGATCCGATGGCTCAAATCCATTCTTTGATAATAGAAGAACTCCAAAGTTTAACCTAACCGTTGGAGGAGTTCATAGTGGTCATGTTCAGATGGGTTTGCGAGATCCAGCTTGCTTACCGAAAAGCGGAGAAGGAAGAGGAAAGTGTAAGGTTTGTGTTTCATGAATATACTTTTTTTTTTTTTTTTTTTCTTATTTGGTTTTGTTTCAGAGTAAACAATACAATTTTAACCTCTTTAATGATTAACATTAGGATGGTTACACACAAGAGATCTCTGGACCTGATTCTGTTCGTGTTCTTGTTGCGACACGAGCTAAACCCAACATAAACATCAAAAGTAAACTTGACAGAGAGTTCTATGTTGATTTCCTGGAAGTAAGTTTTCATATTCTCAGAATCTAACCTGGAAAAAGTTACATATCAAACGTTTTTTTTTTGTTTGTTGTAACGGAGTTGCTTACATAATGAACAGGTTTTGAATAGACCTGAAGAAACAGGGAGATTTAACTTTTCATCTCAGTTTCCATACTACAAAGAAGAACTGTTTAGACCAGATCTTAGCAAAACACGTCTCGGAAAGCCGGTTGTTTTCGATATGGATATGAGCGCCGGAGATTTCCTTTCCCTCTTCTACCTCCTCAAAGTTCCAGTGGAAGAAATCGATTTGAAGGTAAGGTTTTACAGAGATCTAGCTTATCCGTGTTACAGAACTATTCTGTAACAAATAGCTAAATTACAACAGTTTCTTATTACACAAGTCACTAGGCTTGCTACACAAGTAACTTGGTGATTATGCTGTTTTCTTCAATATCCTAACACCCACTCTCTCTTGACTCGAAAGGCTATTATTGTGAGCCCAACTGGTTGGGCTAATGCAGCAACAATCGACGTGGTCTATGATCTGCTTCATATGATGGGTCGGGACGACATTCCAGTCGGTCTGGGAGACATGTTGGCATTGAACCAATCCGACCCGATTTTCCCACCGGTTGGAGGTTGCAAGTACGTCAAGGCTGTTCCACGAGGCTGTGGTGGATTTCTGGATTCCGACACTCTCTACGGTCTTGCTCGTGACCTTCCGAGAAGCCCACGCAGGTATGTATGTATATGTATATCAAAAAACCAATTGATAATATTAATGAGTGATGTGAAAAACTCCTAAGTTTGTTAATATTTATACAATCCTATCATTTAAGCAGAATAATATATCTACATATTTATGCAGATACACTGCTGAGAATTCAGTAGCAGATGGAGCTCCAAGGGACACTGATCGGCCTGAACTCCGACAACCTCTGGCTCTTGAAGTTTGGCAAAATCTAACCAAATCTGGTAACGGAGTGTCTAATATCACTGTACTAACCAGTGGACCGTTGACTAGCTTAGCCAAGATTATCTCATCAGATAAAAAATCATCCTCACTAATCAAGGCAAGAACTTCTGATACTTTCTCTAATGAATTCCATCAAGATCCGAGATCTAATAGATGGCTTCTGTTGTAAATTGCAGGAAGTTTACATCGTGGGTGGACATATAAACCCTGAGAAATCAGACAAAGGGAATATATTCACGGTTCCTTCGAATGCATATGCTGAATTCAATATGTTTCTTGATCCTTTAGCAGCTAAGACCGTTCTTGAATCCGGTCTAAACATCACACTCATCCCTCTAGCAACCCAACGCAAGTTTTCTTTCCAACCAATGCTTAATAGACTCAATCCCTCAGCGAAAACACCCGAAGCTCGGTTTGTGAGACGGCTGCTTGCAAGATTGCAAGCTCTTCATCAGAAACACAGGAGATACACGCACATGGTAACGCCTCTTTTGTCATTATGTTTCATCTTAAGAAAAATATGATTTTGTCCTTGATTTTTTCAAACACGCAAAGGCAAAAATAATCAAGACCCTCGTCTGGTTTTCAAGCTAACCCTACATTGTTGTTACAGGACATGTTCTTAGGGGAAATTCTTGGAGCAGTTTTCTTGGGAGGCGATCATGGTTCATTGAAGCCGAAACTGAGAGCTGAACACTTAAAAGTGATCGCTGAAGGGGACGAATCGATAGATGGTAAGATATTGATCGATAAACTGCGCGGCAAACAAATAAAGATACTCGAAAGAGTAGATCTGAGAAGCTTTTCTGAGAGTTTTGCTTCTAGACTCGATGATAAGAAACAATCTGCAGTCATAGGAAGCTTTGAAGAACAAAAGAAGAAATGGAGCACACCACCAAGCTGACTAAACATGTTGGCATAGATTTATGTACAAGAATAAACCAGATTATTTTCTATTCAATTTTGTTTTTAGACTGTTTTCTTTTAGTGTATTCCTTTTCTAGGGTTCATCAAATTTATTTCTCCTACTCTATATATATTTGTTTCCGTTTTCCTGAAATCTTCCATCTAAATTTCAAAAAAATTCCATGTTCTATCTATAAAATATTAAAATGTTGCAAAATATATTTGGAAAAACATAGATAATCTGATTGTCTAGATTCTATACTAATGCGTATGTTATAATTTAAGCATTAGTTATCCATTAGTTTTTAAAAATATGGATAGAAATTATATTACGTTAGGACTAGATGATTAGTTCTAAATAAATAAAAATTATCAACAAAATAAAAATATATAATCATAGTATCAAGATTAGTTACTTAAAAAATGTAAGGTTATCAAGATGATGTTTTCTTAAAAATGGTAACCTTGTTGTTAACCTTTTTGTCCTTTTTCGTAGTGTTTTTGATTTAAAATACAGACAAGAAACAGAATTCTCTGAGTTTCTTCTTCTTCTTCTTTGCGATGGTTAACCCACAAAGGTTTGTTCTAGTCGTCACCATTATTGGACTCTTAGGTCATGACCTCACATGTGTTCTGTCTAGCCCACACCGTATACTATTAGACACAGATGTCGACACAGACGACTTCATCGCTCTATTGTACCTCTTGAAGCTCAAGAAAACAGAATTCGATCTAGTCGTGAGCCTTAGCACATCACTTCGCCATCATTCTTGAACGTTTCTTTAATTTCTGTTAATGCTCTGTTTTTTGAAACAGGGGATTACATTAAGTGCCAACGCTTGGACAAACGCAGGACATGGAGTGAATCATATATACGACATTCTTTACATGATGGGTCGTGACGATATCCCCGTTGGTGTTGGAGGTGAAGGTGGGATTCTCGATGATGGTACTATTCTTCCTGACGTCGGTGGTTATCTTCCGATCATCGAGCAGGTTTCTCTCTATTGGGCTGATAAACAAACAAAAAAATATATACAAATTTATTTTTTATATGTTAAAATATAATTATATAATAAATTTACTCTTATATATACATATAAAAATATATTGTATAATCTTTTCAAAAGTTTCATATTTTTATGATAAACTATATTAAATTTATTTTTGATTTCAGGGGATGACAACAGCAGGAGGATGCAGATACAGACAATCCATTCCAAAAGGTCATAAAGGCCTACTCGACATCGACTCCAATTATGGATTTCGTAAACATTTTCTTCCTCAGGTATTTTATTTTCTTAATAAGATGATTTAGGTCTAGAATTCTAGATGCGTCTTTCTTTTTGTTAGTTTAGAACAATAAAAATTATATTGTTCAATTAGACCACATATTGGTGGAGACTGGAGATAACTGTTGATCTTCTGACATATATTTCTATTTCAAAGATGTTTGTTAGTCCTGTGGCTCATCCTATGTTTTGCCATTGATCACTCTGTTTTAATTTGTTTTCCTCCCTGAATTTCTTTACTGATAAATAATTCTAATATGATTTTTTTTTTGTGTGCAATAATTAAAGTATGATGTCAACAAATAATGCTATTATTATGTAACAAAAAAAGTTGTACATAAAATTATCAAATATACTGTTGTGGGAAAACAGGGGAACAGAAGATACACTCCTCTCGAGCAACCAACGGCACAAAAAGTAATCGTCGACAAAGTTTCTGAAGGTCCAATAAGCATCTTCGTGATCGGTTCTCACACCAATCTCGCTCTCTTCATGATGTCAAATCCTCACCTCAAACATAACATCCAACACATTTACCTTATGGGTGGTAGTGTACGCTGTCCAAACCCCACCGGATTCTGCGGGAACTTGTTCACAGATTTCACAAGTAATCCTTACGCTGAATTCAACATCTTCACTGATCCTTTCGCTGCTTACCAGGTTTTAAGATCAATCAAAGATATTATAGTAATGTGTTTTGTGTTTCTTCTATGTTGTTTAATGTCATGTGTTACGTGTTCAATACAGGTGTTTCATTCAGGTGTTCCGATTACTATGGTTCCTTTAGACGCAACCAATACAATACCAATTAACAAAAAGTTCTTTGAGACATTCGAGAAGAATCAAAGAACATACGAAGCTAAATACATTTTCTCGTCTCTGAAAATCATCAGAGACACTTTGTTACCCGAAAACTTCTATACGGTGACACTTTGTTACTTATCATTTTTGTTTCCTTTAGAATCCATCAAGATGTTTGAAAGTTGTCTAAAACGTTATGAAGTTGATTTGAATTGTTTTCAGCGGTACTTCATGTGGGATTCTTTCACGGTAGGCGTTGCAGTTTCGATCATGAGAAACTCTGGTAATAGTAATAAGAACAACAATAAAGGTGAGAATGATTTCGCGGAGATGGAGTATATGAACATAACCATTGTTACTTCAAACGAACCTTATGGAATATCGGACAGTTCAAATCCATTCTTTTATACAAAAAGAACTCCAAAGTTTAACCTAACCCTTGGAGGAGTTCACAGTGGTCATGTTCAGAGGGGTTTGCGCGACCCAATCTGCATATCGAGAAGCGGAAAAGGAAACTGCAAGGTATACACATGTGTTTCCCTAATCCTTTTTCAGTTTTAGAGTACAAAATGCAATCAATCTCTCTTTTATTTATGCTCATATTAGGATGGTTACACAAAAGAGACCTTCGGGCCTGATTCAGTTCGTGTTCTTGTCGCAACACGAGCCAAACCGAGCAAGAACTTCAACAGTGAACTTGATAGAGAGTTCTATGACGACTTTTTGGAAGTAAGTTTTTATGTTCTCATGAGGCCAATATAATTTAATCTGCCCTAAAAAAATTTGAGAGATCAAATGTTTCTTTTATGTTAACCAAGTCACTTATATAATGAACAGGTTTTGAACAGGCCTGGAGAAACAGGGAGGTTTAACTTTTCAACTCAGTTTCTGTTCTATAGAGAAGAATTGTTCATAGCAAATCTTAGTAACACACAGCTCGGAGGAAAGCCTGTTGTTTTCGATATGGACATGAGCGCCGGAGATTTCCTCTCTCTCTTCTATCTCCTTAAAGTTCCAGTGGAAATTATAGATTTGAAGGTAAGGGGTTAAAATCATTTCTTGCTACATAAGTTACTAGGTGAAAAAAGTAACCCTAATAAAATAACTATTGCTTTTTACACAAGTAACACTTCAGCTCTCTCATCAGTCTGAATTCTCCAGGCGGTTATCGTGAACCCAACCGGTTGGGCTAATGCAGCGACAATTGATGTGGTCTACGATCTTCTTCATATGATGGGACGTGATGACATTCCGATCGGTCTAGGAGATATGTTCGCCTTGAACCAATCTGAACAGGGTTTTCCATCTGCTGGAGACTGCAAGTACGCCAAAGCGGTTCCACAAGGCTGTGGTGGTTTTCTTGATTCCGACACTCTCTATGGCCTTGCTCGTGACCTCCCAAGAAGCCCTCGCAGGTACCTATATATACACCATGTAGCAATATACACCATGCGGCAAAATACTGCAGAGAACTCAGTGGCACATGGAGCTCCGAGGGACACTGATCGGCCTGAAATCCGACAACCTCTGGCACTTGAAGTTTGGCAAAATCTGACCAAATCTGTTAATGAAGTGTCTAAGATCACTGTACTAACCAATGGACCGTTGACTAGCTTAGCCAAGATTATCTCATCAGATAAAAAATCATCCTCACTAATCAAGGCAAGAACTTTCTGATACTTCTTTGATAAATTCCATCAGGATCCTAGATTTTATAGATGGCTTCTGCTGTAAATTGCAGGAAGTTTACATTGTGGGCGGACATATAAGCCGTGAAAAATCTGACAAAGGGAACGTATTCACAGTTCCTTCGAATGCATATGCTGAATTCAATATGTTTCTTGATCCTTTAGCAGCTAAGACCGTTCTTGAATCAGGTCTAAACATCACACTCATCCCTCTAGCAACCCAACGCAAGTTTTCTTTTCAACCAATGCTTAATAGACTCTATTCCTCGGCGAAAACACCGGAAGCTCGGTTTGTGAAACGGCTGCTTGCAAGATTGCAAGCTCTTCATCAGAATCACAGGAGATACAAGCACATAGTAAAGCCTCTCTTCTCATTCTGTTTCATCTTAGACAAAAATGATTTTGGCTTTGATTGTTTTCAAACACGCAAAGGCAAAAAAACAATCAAGATTATCGTCTGGTTTTCAAACTAACCCTACAATGTTGTTGCAGGACATGTTCTTAGGGGAAATTCTTGGAGCAGTTTTCTTGGGAGGAGATCACGCTTCATTGAAGCCGAAACTGCGAGTTGAGCACATAAAAGTGATCGCTGAAGGGGATGAATCAAAAGATGGTCAGATATTGATTGATAAACTGCGTGGAAAACAAATAAAGATACTCGAAAAAGTAGATCTCAGAGGCTGCTATGTGAGTTTTGCTTCTAGACTCGATGATAAGAAACAATCTGCAGTCATGGGAAGCTTTGAAGAACAGCGAAAGAAATGGAACACACCACCAAGTTCAGAAACATCAATGCTTGATTAGACAAAAACTGAGTTAGTACAGAGGTCTTTTCCAGAGACGTTTATCAACGACAATAATACTCCACCAGAAATTGCAACAATACAAGAAAAGGGTGAAACCTTAAATGGTTTGTGCCACTGGCCAGACATGCTACTTAGTTGACAATACCAAGAAACAAACTTATATTACATAACCTATAAAGTATTTGACTGAATCTATGTGTTTACATTATATTCTTTTCAGGAACAGTTATAGTTTTACAAAACTCCCCTTAGAACAAATTTCATTAACGACAACAACTCTACAAGAAACAACAACAAAAGAAACTCCGAAAAACAGAAAACTTTGAGAGTTTTATGGCACAGAACAAGAAGAAGAAGAGGTAAAATCAAGTCTAACAAGCCTTACAGCTATGCCTGCAATAGCCAGGAAGCTCTGTAGTTCCAACCATGTACTCTGGATTCTTTGTGCATTCCCCAAGAACTGCCCATCTCTCACAGCTCTCGTGCATATTCGTGCAGTTTCCACTTGGTGTCACAATCTTATCGAATGAGTCCACGTGGATCCACTTGGTTGCCGACCATTTCTCTCCTTCGATCACGGGACATCCACCGTGAAGGCTCAATGGGTCTGGGATTGCGTCTGGGTGGAGGTTGAAGAACAACAAAGCATCCCCTTTCCTTGGTTTCACTGATACCCATACAGCCACAAAAGATGTAAATTTTCTACTTATATCTTTTTTTTTCTTTCCAGGAAAAGAAGTATTATTATTATCGGTTTTCTTTCTCACCGGCGATTCCTCTCTTAGCACAATCAGAAAGATCTTCTTTGTTTTCAGAGAGTACTCGGCGAGAAGGTACCTATAAGAAAAAGATCTTTATAAGAGAGAATGACCCAAGAGTGATCTTTTGGGGGAAATGTTAAGCAAAAACTCATCGATAATACTAACCTCTGCATCAGGGAATACGGTTTCTCCACCTTTAGTCACATTGGATAGATACATAAGAACTGTTGCTATGCGGTGTCCACCACGGACAATGTTGACTTTGTCATGAAAGTAGTCAAAGTGAGCATCGTATTTTTGTCCGTGCTCGTATCTCAATACCTGAATGTCTTCCCCGTTTTCTGTCACCACAGAAAATGAAGGACTTTATGAAGATTATTTCTTGAAATCTTTCAAGAATCCAACATATTGAGCTTTCAAGATTTTTCAATAACTTAGTTGTGAACTTGTAAGATCTTCAGAGTGTATTGTACCTTTTGGAAGAAATGTCCAAGTGGAAATCTTGTCTTCTATACCAGAAACAATGGGATCCTGTAATTCACCAAAGAAAACTTCAGGTGATAGAGTAAGAGATCAAGGTAATCATAACAATGACACAACATTTACAGATCTGAATCCAGAAACTTTCATAGTTGATTACCATTTACACACAAAAACTTAACTTAGTCCGGGATTAATTTGTTAGCTAAGTAACAATCTAACATAATCATCAGGTCAATCTTCCAAAGTCCAAAATCCAATTATTCAAAGGATAAATGTCATAGATTGCTTAAGGATCATAAGCTGGTCACACATTGAAGTTTGAACTATCAAAATCTGTCATTTGCAAAAGCTAAGAAACACGATCTATTCCAAAACTGAACATGTCTGAGAGAGAGATCCAGTTTCTACTTGTAATTAGGGAAGCAAACAAAAGAAAAATCGAACCTTTCCTTTGGAGATAAACGTGCCAGAGCTGGTTCGAACCTCGCTGAATTTGCTCTCTCCACTATCATTATCAGCAACAGCAGATCTCTTCAAGCTCGCTTTTGCCTTTTCAACACATCGAAATTTAAAATCTTTAACAAAGAGAAGTTTCCAAAGTAAGCTCAAAACCGAAGATGAATCAAGACAAAAAAAAAACTCACAAGAGAAACCATATGATCACATTCCAATTCCGTGAGAAACCCTTCATACACAAACGCCCTGAACACAAGAAAAAGAAATTCGAATTTTTCAGAATTGCTAACATTCAAAGTTTTGAAATTTCCCAAAATCAATTTAGGGTTTTTGAGGAAACCTGGGTTTCGATGAAACCTGCTTGACTTTGGAAGGATTGTTGAAGACGCTAGAAGAACTAATCTGGGAAGTGGAGGATTGAAGCAGGACGGAGAATATAGCGAAGAATAAGAACAATAATCCACGGAGATCCATCGAAATCGCTTGGATCTAGATGTGCGAGAGACGGTAGAAGGAAAGGAGATCGGAAAAGAGTAAAATTTTGATTTTTTTTTTTTCCGGGAAAATAAAAGACGAGGAGAAGCTTTTTCTCGGGAAAGTGTTCAACGGTGATGACAAGTTTAAGCTCTGCCTAACGATACAACGACAAAACGCACGCGTCGCTTGCGTTTCGGTTCTATGAGAATTTTTTTTTATTTTTTTCACTCGATGGGAATTGGACAATTGGTTATGAACCGAACCGGCTCCTTCCGATTGCGCAGATCTATGTAACTATGTCTATCTGTGGTTTAAGAAACAAAAAAGATTGTACAATAATATTGTGAAAACATTTGAAAAAGAATTAACTAAAGAAACTTTCAAAAATGGCGAAATTTATTTTATGTTTGTACTTATTTTTTCAGGTTTTTTATGAAATTGTAATTTTTGGAGTGATTTTTTATACATTTTTAGTTATATATTAGAGTAGAGTGGATCGAATAATTGTTGATTTTGATAAAGCAAGTAAAACGGACTACTACGAATACCATAAATATTCAAGATATCTGATCCGCGTTTTTTCCTAAATAGTAGGTGAATACGAAACGAGGAACAAAAATTCATTAAAAAAAAAAAACAATAACAAACAGTAGTTCAAGTGAAATACGGGAAAAAGGAAAGAACACAACATCAATACATCATGATCATGACCATGACCAAATACATACACCATGGTACAACATATTTTAAGCAATATTGAACTTTTTTGTCCTTTCTCTTCTAACTTAATATCCAATCCTGATCGGATTCATCTCGCAATCCTCAGCAATCATAGAAATTCTATAGTGAACAAATATGGGTACTCAATGAAATTTTTGTCTTGCATTTAGCAAGTATAGAACATTTCAAGAATCCTTAGATGTTCCGAGAACGGTCTCCATGTGTCGGTGAATATCGTTTAAATATCTTGTCGAGTTGTATTCTTCGTTATCCAATAGTTCTTCAGAGTAAGTTCTCTGGAGTTTGGAGTTTTCTCGCTCTCTTAGCTTATCTAAGCTGCACTTGTCTCCCCTCAAAATCTCCACAACCTGTATAATCATCATTATAAAAGTGACCAAATTAACCACTTTAGTTAAAGAATAGTGGTTACTAAGTTATGGAATTGATTAATGTTTTCTTAAGTATGCCTGGCTCATCTGAGGCCGGTTCATGGAGGTTTGATGTATACACAAGGAAGCGATGAAGACAAGACGGTCCAACTCTTCTACGTCGTAGTCATCTTCCAGAATCGGATCAACAAGTTGTTTGATCTTGTTCTCTTTGATCAATGGCTTGGCCTACAAAAACATAGATGACGACCCATGTTAGTGATTTCACAATGAAAAAAATATCAATTGGATTTACAACTTCTAAGATCTTCCCAGGATTTTGAAGAAAGTACGAGATAAGGATTCTATCTAGCTAGGGTTTAAGAGAAGGCCACATCACATACCCACATGACAATGCTATGTTGTGAGCTGTCGAGGGCTTGTCTACCGGTAATGAGCTCGAGAAGCAGGACACCATAAGCATATACGTCTGTTTTTTCGTCTACTATCCCATGCATGAAGAACTCCGGCGGAAGGTAACTGCTCGATGAGCACATAAGATATTATGTAAGATAGATATATTATCAAACAAATGATATTTGTGAATCTGCGTATCAGATCTATAAAAAAGAGAGAGAGAGATTCCAAACCCGAATGTTCCTTCGACTTTCGATACAGTATGGTGAGTCCATTGGTCCGGTAGCCATTTCGCTAGCCCGAAATCAGATATCTACAGTCATCATTTGTTCGCAAGAAAAAAAACAGAGACGATTTTTGAGTTCATGCTTGTTTCATAATCATATCTTCAAAACATTATTAATTAGGGTATATATAAAGATCTTAGGTTTTCCTTAACAATCATTACCTGAGCCTCAAAGTTCTGAGTGAGAAGGATGTTAGAAGCTTTAATGTCTTTATGAATGATCCTTCTCTGACAACCTTCATGGAGATAGTATAGTCCCTCTGCTGTTCCCATCGCCACTTTGTATCTCATGCTCCAATTCAATTTCTCCTTCGCCTCTACAAAGTGTTACAATGATCTTTGTTAGGTTTTTGATCCAAATTATAGTTTGAGATGACATTGAAAACATCAAACAAAAGAGAATTATATATCACCGTAGAGCAAAGAAGCAAGGCTTCCATTAGGAGATAGCTCAAGAACAAGATGCATTCCTCCTTCAACACAATAACCAATAAGCTTAGCAATGTTTGGATGATCTACATGAACTATGATCCCAAGTTCGGACAGATAATCCATCGTCATCTCTTCTGCAGAACCTCTAGTCAACTTCTTTATAGCTACTATTTGCCCATCTGGCATTTGTCCCTTATACACCTCCGCATATCCTCCTTCTCCGATCAGATTTTCTGCCATAATATCCACATGTTTTCATGTTACATCACTTCATAAACAAGTATTTATCTATTGAAAATGTAACAAAGGGTTCTTTAGAGGTTTCCGGACCACGGCTGTAGTCATTTGTGGCGGTTTGAATATCTTGGAGAGAGAAGTTCCTCCAGGAGGGTTTGAAGTAGAACAAGTCATCAGTGTCAAGAGCAGGTATAACGGGAACCATGTTGTCCCTTATGCGTTTGCTCTTCCGTCTGGTCAGTTTTGGAACTCCTTTGAGAGGTGTGAACGTGTTGAATGGCATTGCGGATGATCCTTTCTTAAGTAAACGGAAGAAACCTCTTCTCCAGTGACCGTTGTTGGGACCTCCAGACGAATGGTGATGACGGTGATGGTGATGAGCTTCTGATGATGATGAGTCTGACGTACTCACCACGGAAGATGAAGTTTCCGATTCTATGCTCCTTAATAAGTCATCATCTAATTCCGATTTGATGGGGCAGAATGTTGTTATTTCTTCATCTCGACAGAATGATGATAAATCTGTTGCACAGAAAACGAAATTCATGCCAAGGACAGGGACAAGGACAATCTCAAGTCAATGAGATCTTTATAAAACCTAATGATGCAATTATTATTAATTACCATGAGAAGAGAAAGAATCAGAGAAACCAGCTCGAGATCTTCTTGTAGAGGGAGGAGTTAATTGTTTTCCACGATTCTCAACGTCTACATCGCTGAGTTTGTACATTTTCATATGAAATGACTTGTGAGACACGGTACATAATCATTTGCAAATATTTGTAGATGTTTCTGAAACAATCAAACAGTATCTCTAGAAAAAAAATGAAAGAAAAATTACCAGGAGGGAGACGAAGAAGACGACGTCGTGGAAGAGAGAGCTTGTGACGATGAGTCTCGAAGGCCTTCCATGGATTGAAGACAAAAAATGAGACAAAAAAGGAAAAGAGAGAGAAAGAGAGAAGAGATCAAAGACTAAGGAAAGAGAGAGAAAGTAACCATGATCATTGGTTTTCTCTTACACCACCTCATCTTCTCTTCTGTTATTAACTGAAAATCCGCCTCTTCTCTCTTTCTTAATTTTAGATGAAATATAAAATCCATTTTTGCATTTTAGACAGAAAATTGCCAGAGAATATACTCCATAGTTTGATAAACGTTTAAAATCCTAAATTTAGAGTAGTAACAGAAACACCATTTTGCAACAAAAACAATGACATTTTCTTCGATATTCAAGAAATGAAAAAAAAATTGTTTATGTGGTAGTTTATTCACTATTGATTGTGATAGCTCCCACGTTGGTGGGGTAACGCCACGTGGCACAGTAACCCGACAAAGGTTAGTGGAGCTGAAGTCATTTTGAGACAACAATCTTGTCTTTTGTTCAACTTCGAGTCTTCGACTTATCTCTACATGTTGACCACTTATGCATGAAAAGAAAGCTTCTTCTTAATTTAAAAATAAACAATACAACAACTAAACGGGCCTGGGCTTTAGGTTCAAAATAATTTTAAAAGCCCAAAAGAATAATTTAAAACGGAGACTTTCGATTTCTGAATCTTCGTCTTCTGCTGAAGAAACCAAAATGGAGAAGAGAGTGACGGAGAATCCCAATTCCGAGACGCAACCTCCTCCTCCTCCTCCTCCTCCGCCGAATCATCAAATGGATGCAGACGACGACGATGAGAATGTGAAACAGCTCAAGGAGTGTTCTTCTCTCTATTTGTCTTTACAGGTTTGTGTTTCTCACCTCTTTGATTTCCCCCAATCGAATTCCTTAAATCATTGATTTCGAGTTGTTTTCTCCGATTTTTTTGTAGGATTGTCTTGTTGATAGCAATAGGGACTGGAAATCTTGCCAAAAACGTACGTCACTCTTCTCTATCTCAATTTTTAAATTCTGAAATCTGAGGGTTTTAGAGGGTTTTAGGGTTTTTTACCTATTCGAACGAAATTGGGATTATTGTTGACTAGTTAATCTGAGTGAGGAACTAGTTGATTGATCAAAGAACTGATTGGATTTTACTTAGGTGAGGGAAATTTAATTAACAATGTTGTTGATAAGCTTTTGTTGTTGTGTTTTGTTTAAAGATGTTCAAGCTTTGAAGGAATGTCATGAAAGGAGAATGAAGAAATGATAGAGATGATTAGTTACTTACTTCTTATAGAGAAACCATATAAGTATGACATTTATATGTTCACGGTCTTGCAAAAATTGAATAAAAGAATGGTTTCCTCTGATTGTGTTCTTGTTGTAGGGATTCCAAAATGCACAAGCTTTCATACAATGTAATCTTGGTTTTGTTTTGTTGCTCGTTGGTTTTGGTTCATTGCACAGAATCTTTCTCTTGAGACTTTAAGTGTCACAGGGTTATTATTTCACAGAAGAAAACAGCAATGGTGTTGTTGTTCAGACTTCAGACAGCTTGGTTTGTTGTCTTCCTAGTTATATTTGGTTTTTTATTTTCTCTTTAGTACATATGAATCCTTCGCAAAGAACCTTTGTGCATCACTCTCCCAAAAGCTATATTCTTATAGTATGCTGCTTCTCTATGTTTTTTTTTTTTTTTTTTTTTTTTTTTTTTTTTTTTTTTTTTTCTATGTTATTGATTAGAGCATGAACCGTCTGATGGTAAGAAATTATACGAATTGACGGTGACTGAAGAAGAGCAAAGAAGCTTTTTGAAAGATTTAGTTTGGTTATTACTTATGAACTGGAGATAAGTATGTTTTGACAGTGGAAATAATAAAAATTAAGGTTTACTTTTAGCAAATTATTGTCACGTGCAAACTGGATTTTGATATGTTGGGGTGGGAAAATTTACATGCGCGATTATTAAAAGCAATTACATACTACTACAGTACTACTCCCCAACATATATGCGGAGAATTAAACAATATTTATTATGTTTTTAAATGGTCAGCAACAAAAAGTGTAACCTTACTTTTTTGCCTTCTCTTTTGTTAACTATGAGTTTTTTTTATTTATTGCATTTTAATTTTTGTAGTGTATTTCATTCTTTGACTGTTCTTAATGTTAAATGTCAAACGCACAAAAAAAAAGAAAAACATTTGCCTTAAGCCGCCAAACCCATAATATTATGTAAATTTTGGACCCCAAAAATTTGTGCATAATTTTTTGATTCAGTTCATTAGTTGAACGGTTCAACCTGAATACTTGACCGTGTCCGGTATAGTAGAAGTTTTGCGCTAGAATCAATCAGTGACAAATTAAAATGACAAATGTCGGAGTCGGAGACAAGCAACAAAATTATACGGCCGTCAATACTACAAATTTGTAAAAGTAAACAACGATGCTAACAATAACTTGAACGAATTTGTAACGTCAAATATTAGTGTCGGTAATATTATTGTGGTGCTAATTCTGACTTAAGATATGTTTGGTAACGACAAAACATATCGAACAGTAGTTAAGAAGGATCTTTTGAAGTTGTTTTACAACATATTTTGACATCATGATTAGTTTACTTTTAAGTAAAAATACTTCTTATGACTTAGGGTGGTGAATGAATTTGTAACCATATAAAGTAAGACCGATTAAGAGTTTAAAACCGTATATCAACAGTCTGATATAGAGAATTAAGATAATTTAAATTGAAAATATAAAAAACAAACATAAGAAGAAAAGAAAGAAACAAAAAAACAGACCAAACCATTTTTACCCTCCCCCACTAAAATTCTACAACACTGAACCTCAAAAATGCTTAGGCGTGACATTGCCACAAGCGCAAAGTGGGGTGCATGATCATATATGTTCCCACTTATATCATCCTTAAACCCAAATCAACCAATCATCTCCATCCACGTCATCACCTGTTTCTTTTTTCTCCTCTCAGCTAATTTAAACCTAATTAAAACCTTTTTTCCTTTTTTACTCCTCCGGCGAAGACTATTTCCGGCGAGGCGTGAACGACTGATAAACGACGGTTCCGGAGCCTGGAAACTCATCCATAAGACGGCTTCGGCACTTAAGACCAAGCTTCTTAGCCAACAAGCGCTCCACGCGCTTAGTCACATCGTTGTTATAATCATCGCCGCCGTAAGTGGTGGCGATCGAGACGTCACTTGGCCGGAAAACATCAATAGCCCGGCTTAAAACTTCAGAGATATCTTCGTGACCGTCGTCGTAGAGAGACAAACCACACTCGAAGCTCGCGTAGCTAAAACCGTCTTCAGGCGTTACGTGGATAGTTGAGTAACGGTCTCCGTCGACGCCGTTCATCGAGTAACCGCAAGGATCAAACGCGAAATCGCATATAAACGCGTTTGCGTTTATGTTATCGATACCGCTCAGCCGCGTCATCTCTTTCCCTGCGGAATCGCTGTTGTTTTTCTCGTCGCCTTTCCGTTTAAAGAAGCTCCGAGCGTTGACTCTGTCAAGCTCCGTCATACATACTTCAACGACGACGACTGACTCGTCGGATTCCACGTCAGCGCTGGCTGTGAACACGTGCCAAGCACGTGAGGGGTTATTAGAAGGCGTCATAACAGAGGCTTTACGGTAACAGAGAGATTTGGGAAGGCTTTCTTCGACGACTATGACTTCGTCTTTGAAGCTTGTGTAAGGGAAAGGCTGAGCTTTAGGGAAGATGAAGCTGCCGCGGGAGTAGCGACACGCTCGTAACGTGAGGCCGAGGTTACGTGCGAGATGGATCAACGGTCGGATTGATTTGAGGAGTTGCGTGGTACCACATGTTTTGATGATGATTTTTGTTGGGTAGACAAAGAGGCTTGACTCAGAGAGAACGTAAGCGTCGAAGCAACGATTCGCTACGGCGGAGACAACCGTACACTGCACTTCGTTTAAGACTTGGTCTAAAGATTCGAAGTCTATTAGACGGAGTCCCATAGGGTTATTGGTGATTGGTTTGTCATCGTCGAAGAACCGAAGTTCGAGTCTTTTCTCGAAACCCTCGAACCCAGACACTGCCATTGCAAAGATCAGAAGAAGATGTTAGGATTAGAACAGAGGAAGTTGCAAGAACAGAGCAGAAGAAATGTGTTTGTGTGTGTGTAGAGAGAGAAGAGAGAGGTAGTGGTGATTAGTGGGAGAGAAGTGGTATTTATATAGGAGAGTGTTTGGAGGATAGAGAAGAAGGAGCATGCGGGTTAAGAGACCAAGAATCATGATTGTAGGCATAATGAACGAGAAAGATGATGAGAGTTTGTGTTTTGTTTTGTATGTACGCATGTATGTATCTGTGTATGTGAGAGATCTAGTTAGTGTGCGTCTGATTCTGTTCTGTTTTCTTGTGTTCTGTAATGAGGAGGAGATTTTTGGGTTATGCGCATGCAAATTTGGATGTTTTTTCCACTATTTTACAAAATTAAATCTTTCTTGATATTCATCTTCCATTAGGTCTAGTTGATTATATTACAGAACTGATTTGTTAGTTCTAGTTGATAATATTGCAGAAATGCAAAATCATGAAAAAAATGTAGAATTGACGACATAATAATTATACCAAGAAACATGGTTTAACTCCTTTGACAACAAAAAAAAGAACTATGAAATTGTGAAAATCATTTATTTTGAATCATTGAACTTACTGAATAACGAAATGGATTAATGTAAATTTTGGATTCCGCATAATTATGTTATCAGTAAAACTATATAAATATATAAAATAATCACAAAGATATTTAGTCATTTAAATTGTTAGCCATAAAATGTCTCGCTACAAAAGCTACCAATCATGTTATTAAAAGATTGATGACACTAACACTTTTTAGAGGTGGTTTATGCAATCCAAAAATTTAAAGGGGAGACTGTATTTCTCCTTACATATAGTAGGGTTTGAAGTTGATAAAACATATAATTAATTAAATCGGTTTAAAGGTTATATTAAATAGTTTTTTTACCTATATATATTACATGAAATCGGAAGCGGTTACTTTTGGAAACGCGAAAAACAGATTTTTTAAACTTATTGGAATCGTGTACGTTTTGAAGAAAGAAATTTCAGAGTTAAATCTACTTTCATAAGTAGAAGAAACGATCCTTGCGCAGACTTGTTTGTACAAATGAGCTTGTCCATAAATTTCTCAATGTAATATCATTTTCTTTGTTATTCCATGGTCCATGGATGTCAATATTTGTGAACAAATAAATAATACCGAGCTTAACCTATAAAAATATATTAAGCTAAAAGAATATTACGAAAATAAAAACCGTGGTTTCAATTCAATTCGGTAATCAGCCTCTCCTACATTGGTTCCAATCAGCCGTTACGTATCACTCATCATGCCAAAATAAAGGACCCATCTTTATTTACGTTGCTATTATCCATACACACACACTATATCGTGGACAAGACACAAAAGATCTTGAAAGGCAATGGAACAAGTGTCTGCAAGAAACATCAATTTTACTGGCTTGCGTGTCAAACAATCGCTAATGCACATAAACGTTATATAGGCTTTGATTATTGGTGAACAAAAATAAAGTACTACAAGTGGTACAGTTTTTATTTTTACCAATCACAAAAATTTTATCAAAAGCGTTACTAAAAATTTTACTCTCTGTTTTTTTGTACAGCTTTCTCGTACCGCTCTTTCATACAGTTTTTCACTATTCCGATAAATTTACAGCTCCAGCTAACAGCTAAAAAACTTGTACAGGTTTTGGTTACCAATCAGACCCATAACTTTCATTTTAAGACATAGTAGTACATAATTAGACCGTAGACGCAGCATTATTTTCTCCCTACTTGTTGGTGAGCATGCCTCGTATCTTGTAAAAATGGGTCGCATTTTTTTTTTGTAGACTATAATTATTTTCTTTTTTGTTTATGGGCTTTCTTGATCTAAATTTTAAGGTTTACTCTGTGTCATTGACTCGTTGTAGTGCGGATGGACAGAACCCGCAAAAGTTCCCCTTTTTTTTTGTTGATTTTTATAAAAGTTTGTGTTTATACAACAAAATAAATATTATTCAGGTTGTAGGAAAATCATGGTATACTAGTTAAATTAATAAGAATGACGGCCTGAGATGTTTTTTCCGACAATAAGAGAAAAATTTGGAATTGAATACTATAATGCATAATGAGAAGAATGAATGGTTGTAGCAGAAGCTCTTTTTTTTTTTGTTGGAAAGAGAAATGATAAATCGTGTGCTAATTTGAAGATGATTTTGTTGGGGGCTAACTTTAGAGAGACCTTATTAAAGTTTGAATCATAAGTAGACTCCATTTTGTTGCCTTAATAAGAATCATTCACCATTTACCCCTCAATTCATTTGACCACAACTAGTTTGGTCATATCCAGAAAGGGATCGAGACTGCGAAAACTTAATAAATAAAGTTGAAACACAAGACATATAATCATACATAATTTAGTGATCACCAAAAGAGAAAATGGGTATAGCTATAGATTGAGAGATAAA